GCTACAATCTGTGGGAAGCTGTAATAAAATGGGAGGTCATACGGGGTCTTCTGGAAGTGTTGGGGAGAGCACAATGGAGGTTGCCTGAACAATCTCATGCCTTTCTGCAGAACTACCAGGTCTACTGGGAGTTAGCACCCCCAGTTCCATGCAGAGAGCCTACCAAGAACCTTCTTCAGGCTTCCCTACTGCTGAGCTGCTTTGGGGTTCACTCCTGAGCTCTACTCCCGCTCTGCTCTCCAACCCAGTTCCTCCTTCAAGCCTCAGTGTACAATGCTGACTCCTTAGGTTGGCTGTCTACCCTCTTCTGGCATTTAGTACTTCTTCATTCCACTTAATATGTGTTTAGTGCTTGTATCTCCTTCTAGAAGATAGGGAGCGAATTTCTTTTGTTCACCTGTGTATTAGTGCCTAACACAGGGTCTGGCTCATCTTTGGGGCTCAACGAAACTTTATACAATGAATGAACAACTGGATGAATGAATGAGCCAAACAGAAAGTGTTACATTCCTGCCCCACCTGTCTCAGATACCTGCTGAGCAGAATTTGGTGTCAGATGGCCGGCTGTGCCATGATCGACTATGCTTTTGAACAAGCCATGCATTTCAGAATCCTATAATTTCTGAGCCAACAGGATGCTTTGAGAGGTGATCTGGGGAAACTGAGGTCCAGAGAGGAGCAGGGACTTGGCCAGTATCATGTGACAAGTGCTTCTTCCTCGCTGATCCTTTCTGTTAAATGGGGTGCTCTGTCCGCTGACTGCCCAGTGAGTGTGGTGTGTAGGCTGCTGAGGTGGTCGAGAAAGTTAGTGGGAAGTGTCGTGGAGCGCTAAGCAAGCACGGTGAGTTCATTTTACCGCAAGAGAAGTTGGGGCCTTGTGCAGACTGAGGTGGATCCTGGCGGACCAGCTGAGATCTAGGTACACATTGGTCCCCAGGACCCTCAGGCAAGGACAGGGCACACCCCCTCCCTGCCCAAGCCCCAAATAGCATTGCAGCTGACAGGGAGACTGTCTGCAGCAGCAGTGAGGTGATGTCTGGTTTCTCCTTGTGCGCTGAAAGCAATGATTAATCTGGCTCGCAAAGCAAAGTATAGACCAAGCTCTATTACAAACATGGGTCGTGTGGAGACCCGCCTGCCAGGCAGCTGGAGGCCCCTTGCAGACTCTGTGGTCCCTGGAGCTCCCCTGAAGTATCTACTCACCCCTAGTGCCAGTCAGGCACTTATCACACGTGGAGAAATCATTGCCCATGGGTCCACCTTGTGGTGAGTGCCTGCCCCATAGCTACTGGGGCCCTGGAGAAGACAAGGGTTTAGAGTCTTCCAGGTCCTGGGGCCCTGTCATTTGTAGCTGTTTGGCTGGTCCCAGCTTGGTAAACACTGTTAAGGTACTTCCAGGGAGCACACAGACCTTCCCTCCTGCCTTGGCTGTGTTCAGTCTCGGCTGCTCCCAGCCAGCTAGAAGAAGTAGGTGTCCCTGGCAGTGTCCTTGGCCCCTCAGGGTCCACTGATTGGGAAAGACGTAGGTATCATGGCCTTCTGGACAAAGCACAGCCCAGTGGGTCTAGAGTTCTGGAATGGTCTGGGCTTGGCCATACTTTGCTAAATAACCTTAGGCAAGTCCCTTTCCCTCTCTGAGGCTGTTTCTCAGTCTGTCCAGTGGGAAAGGAGGTTTTCAAATTGATGTCTCAAGTGCTTTCCCACTCAGATACTTCACGGTCCTGCCACCGTCCTCTGCCCCAATGAGGCTGCAATGACCTGCATGCTCTGTCCTAGGGACATGGGCCTGGAAGGGGGTCTAGCTGTGGGTGGCCCTGTGGCTTTTCTAGGTAGGCCTTTGGCTTCAGTAAATATGGCTCATTCCTTGATTTGATGGTTAAGGGTATAGAGATTAGAGTCACAGCCTGGCACTGTCTCTGGAAAACTATGTGGCCTTAAGAAAGGCTCTTTACCTCTCTGAGCCTCAGTTTTCTCTTCTGGCAAGCTTGCAAGACAATTCCTACTTCCTAAGGTTGAATGCAGGGAGTTGGTGAGCAGATGTACTTAATGTTTTCATGCCAGGCCAGGCATAGAGTAGTCCGCTGTCCATGTCCCTGTTGACCATTCATTTCATTTTAGCTGCATCCTGAGTAAAGACTTTTCTTGAAATCTCCTGGGATTTCTCTGGCAACACTTCTCAGCCAACACACTGGTTTCCAGCAGGTGTCTTTGTGGCTAAAGAGGAAGCCAAAGAAGTGGGTGATACTCGGGGATTCCCTGGTGCCCTTTGAAGGCTCTCTTGGGATCCTTGTCCTGTATTGCAGTGACTCTTTACAGCCACCCCTTGAGGCAGGCAGAGGATGGCAGAGTGAGGCTCAGAGAGGACAATCGCCTATGCAGAGTCACACAGCCTTGAGTTCAAGGCTCCACTCATCTATTCATGGCAAAAGACCTTGCTTGTTCTTCTTCATCCACGAGTTCCAAGTGGAGAAAGGATAATAATGGTGATTACATGCCTTATAGCATGACACAGCCCTGCTCAAAAGCCTCCTGTGCTTTCCCATCATTTTGGAGGAAGGCCTCCTGTGGTTTCCCATCATATTGGAGAATGCCCAGCATCCTCTGGCTTCTTGCTGTTCTCTACCATCCTGCCCCTCTACCCCCAACCTCCTCACTCACCTGCTCCAGTCGCACAGGTCTAGTTCTTCCTTGAACCCACCCAAAAGCATTCTTGCCTCATGGCTTTTGCACCTGTTGTTCCTTCTGCCTGGAATGCTTTTCTCCAGAGAGTCAGGCCTCTGTTCAACTCCTCCGTCTCCCTTCCTGCCCACCTGCAGTCTCTGCCTGTTTCCATCACGGCCATTCTCTGCCCTCTAACTCTGCTCACTTTTCTTCATGGCACTGGTTATGACCAAACATTATCTCTTCTTTAAATTTTTATTTTTTATTTTGGTAAAAAGCACATAACATAAAATTTACCATCTTAACCATGTTTACGTGTACAGTTCAATAGTGCGAAGTATGTTCACTTTGTTGTGCAGCCCATCTCCAGAACTTTTGTAGATCCATGAAACAATAGCTCCCCATCTCCCCCTTCCCCAGGCATCATCTTTATATTGATTTATTTTTACATCTCCTTAATTGGACTGTAAACCCCATTAAGGCAAAGGATATTGTCCTCTCATTCCTCCCATGCCTTGAGTAGTGCCGGCACATACGATTTCAGTAAATGTTTGTTGAATGAATGGATGAAATATGAAGATCATGATGAAAACAGCATCTGGTCTTTACAGGGCTCTTGGATTCAGATACTGTGATAAGTGCTTCACACACATTATATCGTGCAATCCATGTGCCAGCCCCTATATTCCCATCTTACAAAAGAGGAAATCAAGACTCAAGAGTGGCCCCATTGGGTCACACAGCCAGCCCTCAGTGAAGTGGGATAGGAATCTAGATCAGTCTGAGACAAGAGATCCTACCCACTCTGCATGCTGGCTGCTGGCTGTGCCTCAGTTTGCCCACTGGGCAAAAGAGCACACACCCTGGCTCGGAGAGTCTCATGCAGCCATGTTGCATCAGCGTCATGGGCCCCGGATCTGAGATGCAATTATGTTGCTGAGCAGTCTTGAGATGTGAGTAGATGCAGAAGGAATGCTTGTAAACTCCCCAGATTTCTTGGATCAAAACCACTCTGCATATGTATTTTAGGAGACCCTTTTTCCAGGGGCTTGCAGGAGTGCACGTGTGTGTGCCTGTGTCTGTGTATGTGCATGGCCTGAGATGTCTGCAAGGCTCTCCCAGTATGGCCTCAGGACCTGGTGGTGAGTGTGAGCCTGCAGCTCCTGAGTGATGGGACTTGGGGCAAGTGGCTTCAGTTCTCCATTACTCAGTTTTCTCTTCTGTAAAATGGAGGTGATCATCCCATACCCCAGACTTGTCCTGCTGTTGGAAGGGCTAAAGGAAGTTATGTGGGTGTGGTCCCAGGTGAAGAGCAGTGCACAGAGGGGCTCTCCAGGCATCATGCAAGTGTACTCAAGAGCCTTGTTTGTCACTGGGAGCCTGAGAACTGTAGAGTTCCTAAACACCAGAGCAGAAGGGGGCTCAGCACTCCCACTCCCTCAGCTGAGGTCCAGAGAAGGGCAGTAACCCACCCAGAGTGGCACAGAAAGTCAGGAACAGTGTCTGAACTATGCCCGGGGCTCCCTGTCTGAAGGGGTCTCATGGACACCAGTGTGGCCACCCTGTCTAAAATGGAGACCTCTGCTCCGTCTTACTTCACAGCTGTCCTAAGCTGATGGAAGCTTGAAGTCTGGGATTTCCCTCTGGGGAACTCTTATGAAATGGCTCAGGTGGTGTCTCCAGCACCACCTGAAGTCACACACTCACTTTGCATCATCTCTTGACTAGAGACTTGGCCTTGGACCTGGTAGTTGGGCCATAGGGACAGAGGGTCAAGGTTCGTTCTGGTCATTGCCAGAGTCCTTCTCAATCAGGCATTTGGGTGACTGCCTCCTCCATGGACTAGGAACTGGGACAGTGGCAGGCAGGGAGGCAGCTCTTTGGGTTAATATATCTGACAGAAGGTCCCAGCATCTCATGGTGGTTGAGCATATCCCAGACCGGAAGGTCCTGATTGGTCCACCCATTCATTGAGAAATCAGTCATTCTCATTCTACACTGAGAAATCATTCAGAAAGAATGGTCGGGATATAGCATCACTCTGTCACACTTGCTATATCCCAGTTCAAAGGCCACAAATCCTGCTGGAGGAGTGAACACAAGCCCCCTGTTGTCCTCTGGTCTAAGAACCATTCACTGGGGGCAGAGAGGAAACCACAAGACGCGGCTGACTGATGTGCATGTATCCAAGCGTTTGGTGAGTATTTATTGAAACACAGTATATCCTTGCTGTAGCACAGGCAGCGCTGAAAGGACAGGCAGGGAGGCTGGGCCTCTGCCATCTGATCCACAGGCCCAGATGTGCCTTCCTGGCCTGATGCCATTTCTTTCCCCGACAGGGACACAAGGGCTATCCTGGACCAGCGGGGCACCCCGGAGAACAGGTGAGGGCCGTGGCCTCAGCCCTACTCTGCTTGCTCTCCCATGTCCAGCCTCTTCCTGGGCCCTGCTCCATAAGTGAGCCCCAGAGCCAGGCTGTTCTGTCTCCCCTCCTGCTGGGGCCCCTGCCCTGCCCTACCTCCCTCTCAGCTCCATCTGCCTGAAAGAGCTGGCGTCCACGCCGGGCCAGCATTGGCATGAGCCTCTCAACTCCGGTTAGGGCCCTGAATAGCTGGCCTGTTCTGGGCGATGTTTGGAGATATTATACACACAGCCATGGGGTTTGCAGGAATATTGGCTGCACTGGCCCAAGTCAGCCAGCAGCCCCTGCCAGCGTGAGAGAGCCAGCCAGGCCTCCTCAGTGCTTTCTTATTCCTGGGCTACAAGCACAGGGGTTTTGTCCCTCCGAACTGGTCTGACCAGTTTCCCAGAGGGGTGGGCTTGGGGACCTGGCAGTCCGGTGGTGTGGCTTCCCTTCCTCCCATTTCCTCTCACATTCCTGCCCTCCTCTTTGTCCCTTGTAAGCCCCAGTCCCCCACTGTCCCCCAGACCTGTAGCTTGGCACAGTCTCTCCTTTCCTTATGTCTCTCTCCATTCCTTTGCAGGGGCAGGCAGGACCTGAGGGCAGCCCAGGGGCCAAAGGTTACCCTGGCAGGCAGGTGCAGTATATGGCTTCTGGAAGCTCTGTGGCCATGGTGGTGTGGAGATGGCCACGGTGCCCCCAGGCAGAGGGTGGTAGCAGGCTGGGGGCAAGGAGCTGTACCCAGTGGGTGGGCCCTGAAGAAAGGGCTATTAAGGGGGCTGGACTAAGGAGCCCTTTCTTTGGAGGCAGCAGTTCAAGGATGCTCTGTAAGATAACAGAAGAAAGAAGCATCCTGGTGTTGTGTGGGTGGAGCTCAAGGCTCCTCCCACTCTGTCCCTGAGCCATGTCCCTGGGGCCCCGGGGCAGCTGGGGGCTCAGTTTGAAGACCAGGAGTCTAACCCACTCACATTCTGCAGAAGGGGCAGCTGAGGCCCAAAGGAGGCAGGACTCGCCCTGGGTTGTTGGCAGCAGGTAGGACGCCTCCATATGTCCTTGCCCCTCTGTCTTTTATTTCAGGGGTTACCTGGACCAGTAGGAGACCCTGGCCCCAAAGGCAGCCGGGTAAGTGGGCCTTGGCATGTGTCACGCAGGTGGGGCCCTGGGTGGGCATTACCTGTCCCTCCAGTGGGCAGCTGGGATCAGGGCCGTGAGCCTCTACCCGGGTCTGTCAGGCCGAGCCCCTCCCACCTGAGCTCTCTCTGGAGAGCAGAGGGGCCCAGGAGGGCCAGGTGATGGGAGACCCTTGAGCCAGGTAAGGCAGCTTGGTCCCCATGGCCAGGTGGCTGGGCAGCAAAGGTTCTGCTGGAGGTCCGGCCATAGTGCAGCTGTGAAAATCAGGTATCTGCTTGCCATGTCCCCCAGCGTATCCCAAGGGCAAGGCTTCCAGAGCTCGGGCCACTTTGCCTGTCACTGGGATCCTCAGAGCCCTCCCTCCCACTCCTGCCTGAGGGCTGGGGGCCCACCATTTTTAGGGAGCAGTGGTGCCTGATGGGTGAGTGCTGGGCAGTCCTGGAGGCTGATGGAGCATCTGTTCTCCCCCTCCTTTGAGGCCCCTGGAGCCATCAGTCCCAGTTTGCCCATCGCCACAGTGGGAATGATGTCCATTCCTACCTCTAGCATGGTTGTGGGGATACCAGAATCTGGAAGCAAATCCTGTTGAGGAGTGAGGAGTTTAGGTGGGGGCTTCCAGGTAGGTTGTGGGGTGCTGGAGAAGGTTCTGGGTGAATTGAATGGGGGTAAACAGAGTTTGAGAGACTAAGAGATCATCTTAGAAGGTGGGATCCTCTCTTCTGCATACAAGCAAACTGGGTTCATGGCGGGAACCTGGTGGCCCCAGTTTGTGCTGCACAGCTAAGGTGGAACTGGGATGAGGACCCAGGTCTCCTGAGGGCTGGGCTTGCTGGCTCTCTAAGAATGCTCAGCAGGAAGGCCACACAGTTCTCGGTCACGCCAAGTCAGGTGTGACACATCCTCCACTCCTGAGCCAAAGCCATTTGTGGCCACAGTCTCAGCCTAAATCCACGGAGCTGACAGGTGACTGTTAGGGGAGGTTCTGGAAGGTGGGCAAGTTCCGCAGGGTGTGGTGAGGATGATAGTGATATGCAGGGGCTGAGAAGGCTCGTGTCCTAGGATCCTGCGTCTCCCTCTTTTTATCCAGCTGTTCCCGTGAGCTGGGGCCCCAGAGGGGCCTTCTGAGCCCAGAGAGGTCTTCTTGGTGAGCCCTGGGGTCCCTGACCTGCCAGGAGGATGGGAGGAGACATACTAATGGCATCTAGGGTTGCCTGATGCTTGGCACATGTGGGGGGAGAGCTGGTCTGGCTCCAACCCTCTCTCTCTGGGATCGCAGAGCCCTAGCAGCCTGGGTGAGCTGGGGCCACTTGTCTGGTCTCCCAACCCTGCCGCCACCAGCCTCATTGTTTATGAAACAGGCAATGCACAGGCTTTGGGATCAGGGTGACTGGATTGGAAACCTGCTCTGCTGTTATAAATTGTGGGATCTTGGGCAAGTTGCGGTACCTCTCTGAGCCCATTTTCTCCCGTATAAATCTGGAAACATAAGCCCTGGTAGGAAGGATCAGCAAACATTAAGATGATGGGTATTTCTTACACGAGATGCCAAGAAGGAGGCTCATGACCGCTTGGCTTTCTTGGGGAGGGGATGGCTGTGAGCCTGCACTGGCTGCTCGTTTGTGAGAGGCAGTACTGCACAGTGCTTAGAGGCCAGCCTGCATCAGGTGACCTGAATGCAAATACTGCTTCTGTCAGTCCAGCTGTGTGACCCTGGGCCAGTCACTTCACCTCTTGGAGCTAACTGTTCTTCCCTCTATAGGGGCTGACTAATAGTACCTATTTCTTGAGGGGGTGGCGGGGCTGCAGTAAATATTTTAATGCATGCAAAGCAGAGAACTGGGCCTGGCACTTAGTTTGTGCCCAGTTAAGTGTTAGCTTTCATTACAGTTATTATTAAGTCATTCCACAAATATCTAGAGAGCTCAGAGTGATAGGAGCTCTGGGGTAGGTCCCTGCCCTTGAGAAATTCTCAGGCTAATGAGGACATAAAACATGGACATAGATAATGACGATGCAGTGGAGGAAGTGGCAAATCCTATTAACTGTAGTGCAAAGATGGTGTCTCTGTAGAGGAAAGAGATTGCTCTGACTCGGGGCGTCCAGGATGCTTGCCAGAGGAAGGAGCATGAGAGCCAGGCTAGGAGGGATTTGCTCTGCTTTCATAGGGGTGTGAGGGGCATGCTTGGTGGCAGGCACAGTGAATAATGGCTGGGAGGCAGAACGTTCTGGGTGCACTCTAGGCCAGTGGACTCCCAGCTGCACCTGAACTGTTGTGGCACTCTATCTCCGGAGCTCTGGTGTCCTTGTCTGTACACTGGGAGGAGTGACAGCCGATCTGCTGTGTCCTTGGGAGGGTTGAAGCTAGTGGCACACGTGTGTGGCAGGATGTCAGCACACCAGAGTGGCAGCTGCTGTGACGCTGGCATTCAGGCAGCCAGGGGTAGATGGGAGCCCCCGATCTGGGGCCTTTAAGGCCTAGGGGAGGCATTGCAGAAGCCATGGGCCCCTGCCAGCACCGCTTGGGGTGGGAAGGACCTGGTGCCACTCTAGCATCTAACCCAGCTGAGAGCTTCCTTCCTCAGGTTCCGGAGCCCCTGGCGTGGGGCGGGCCTCACCCTGAGAGTGCCCGCGCCCTTCCCTGGCGTGAGGGTATGTGCCTTTGGACTACATCGTGGAAGCCAGCACCATGCAGTCCATGGGCATATACACTTGCCTCAAGGCCTATGTCATCGAGGAGCCGCCGGAGCCACCACTGCCACCAGCGAGGAAGAGGACCCGGGGAGTGGGAGGGCAGCCACGTGGGGCTGGGATGGGTCGGGCCAGCCACACCCCACCACTCAGCCATTCTGATCCCCCACCTGCTCTTTCCTAGGGCTACATTGGACTCCCAGGACTCTTCGGCCTGCCAGGGTCTGATGGGGAGCGAGTGAGTACACTTTCTTTGTTGACCTCCCAACCCCCACCCCTCTGCCTAGGGAAGTCCAGCAGTCCCTGCTCAACAAGATGCCCTTGAGTTGAACAGGAGTCTGCTTAGGGAACAATTCAAGGCAGGCACCTTCCAGACATAGGGAACAGCGTGTGCAAAGTCAGGGACGTATGATAACCCGACAAGTTTAACAGTGACACAGTCAAAGCACAGAAAGCGAAGCAGGAATTTGGGAGATGAGGCTGGGGGACACCTGGGTGAAGTTGTATGGCCCTCAGGGCTGAGGTCGGGAAGGGGACTCTGTTCTGAGAGCTTGGGGAGTTTCTGAAGGGCTTTCAGCAGATGAGAAATGGGCCCACTTGATATCTCAGATGAAGTGTCTTTAAACTGGCCCATGGGCCAGATCCTGTGAGTTGCCTGTTTTGTAAAGTTTTATTGAACACAGCCGTGCTCACTTGTCCACCGGTTGCCTATGGCTGCCTTCACTTGGACAGTGGCACAGTGGAGTCAGCATGACAGACACCATACGGCCTGTAGGCCTCTGGACCTCCCTCCCTGTCCTGTCCCAGCCTGAGCCCGCATTTGGGAACTCAGTCGTAACCTCATCAACAAGCTGGGCATAAAGAACCTTAGGAAAGTGGGAGCATTTATTGAGCATCTGCTGAACACCAGGAACGTGGAGTGCTTTCCTTGGGCATTTCCCCAGCTCAGGTCCACACAGACTCCAGCCCTGCAGCGTGCAAGGACCATCCATTTGCTGTGGCATAACTGGTACCTGCTGTGGAGATGGCGGCACAATAGGCCCTCTGTGACGTCCCCGTGTGGGTAGCTCTGGGGCTGACTTGGGGCCATGCTGGTTGCCCCCTGCTGGAATCCTGTCCTTATTTCTTCCCTCTCTTTCCCCCTACAGGGTCTTCCTGGCGTTCCTGGCAAGAGGGGCAAGATGGGTAGGCCGGTAAAGATTTTCCGTGTCTATTATGCAGACTCTATGGGTGAACCTGACCTCTCATTGGCCACGCTGCCCTGCCCACCTATGGCCCGGGCATTCTCCACTTCTCTGCTTGGCCATCACTGTGCTCTGATGTGTGGGCTGGTGCATGGGGGTCCCCAGGCCTTGGGTCCTGCTGCCCTGTGCTGAATGGCTGCCGCCTGGCTGGGGCTGGGGGCTGCCATGGGCTCTGGACCCCTCTGGGGTGGCTCCTTTCTGCATGTCTGCAGCAGTTGCTCTGCAGTGCAGTGCAGTTCTGTGTCTGGGGATGTCTCTTGTCTGGGTCCTAAGTGTCCATCCTGCTTGTATTAAGGGATCTTGGCTAGGGTGGGTGTCTATGCTCCCAACTCAGAAAACAGTCTCCATATCTTGATGTTACCAAGTTTCGCTGGTACTCCCACAAGACCAGAGGGCAGTGGGGGTGTGGACAGGCCCACAGAAGGCATGACTCCCAGATGGGCTCAGCAGTAATCCCCAGGCAACCAGCTTTGCCCATGACTCTTATGAGAAGAAATTGCTTTCCTTTTGTGTGAGCATCTAAGGGGCAGGAAGGGAAAGCCAAGGCAAGAGAGACTGAGTCACTTGCCCATGGTTCACAGCACGTCAGCGGCAGTCAGGATTCTAACAGTTCATCTCTGCAGCCTTTGATCTCAGTGACAAATCAGGGCAGCCTCTCAAGTTCACTGGTCTGGGATAATGCTGTAGAAGTAGATTCCCTAGAAGCTTTGCCTGGAGGGAAAGTCATTCATTCCAATGGTCTCATTATTCATAAAGGAAACTGAGGCTCTGAGAGGCAGAGTGATCTGTCCAGGGTCCCACTGAGGGTCCCAGGCTAAAGGAGACCCAGGACTGTAACTGAGGAATCTTTCTTTCAGGCCTGGTCCCCATCGGTGGCTTAGGGCTCTCTGTTGCTGCCCCACAAGTTAGCCCCTAGATGTGAAACCATCAGTGGCTCTGGGTCCAGGCCTCCCTTTGCTGGTGGTTGGTAGACAAGGAGCTGTGGGGGAGGTTAGAACTTGAGAGGTGATTGGAAGGGAGCCAGGAGCCCTGAAAGGGAGTTATTCATGATGCTGGGGTTGACATGAATGTTCATGACCCCTGACTGGTTGCGGTGTATGGGTCGGCACTCTCTGGGCGCGGAGTGGGGCCTACAGAGAAAAGCAATATCCAGGTCCTGTTCTCAAGCTGCTGACAGAGAGGGCACCTTGCCCTCAGACCTAGACCTCTATGGCTGACAGCCCCTTTGTGCCCTGAGGTCTACCTGGCACCTAGACCTGGGCAGGGAGCAGCACCTGAGTCTTCCGGCTTTAGGACAAGGACTTATATCCACAAGAGTTGGGCTGGCATTTGGATCTGCTCCCCAAGACAGGTGACCTTGGGGAATGAGACTCATCTGTCCATCCATGCAGTCAATGAATATTGAGTGTGTGCTACAGGCCAGGCATTGTGCTTGGTGTTGAGCAGTAAGCAAGAGACAGGTCCCATTCTCATGGGCAGGCAGACTGACACACAATGTTGGAATGGAGGAATGAGGAATGAATGAATGAACATCTGATGGTGGTGAGTGTTAAGATGGAGTAGGGTAGGGGACAGTAAGTGCTTGGGGTATGGACTGGTAGACAAGATGGCCCAGGAAATCCTCCTCATTTCCTGGGAAACCTGATGAGGTGAGAATGGGAGTCATGTGACTATCTAGGGAAGAGCATGTCAGGTTGAAAGAGCAGCAGGTGCAAAGGCCCTGGAGCGTTATTGGTTCAAAGTCTCTGAATTGCAGTTTTCCCATCTGAGAAACAGGGATAATAGCTTCTAGCTGATGAGGTCATTGTGCTTGCCACATAGTACGTACTTAATAAACAATAGCAGTCATTGTTCCTATTTGTAGTTTCATGGGTGGCAGAGGCTCTCTCTGTGCTGTGTGGCTCATTTTCCCAAAGGTTAAGTTGCCTGGTAGGGGCAATTGACTTAGAGGATCTCCTCTGGGCCCTGTTCCATCACCAGGCCCAGCTCCAGAGCCATCAGGGGGGCATTTACTCGGACTCTGTACTGGGAGCCAGGCATTGTCACTTTACGGAGGAGGAGATGGAGGATCAGGAGTGAAGTCTTGGCCAAGGTCTTACGTCTTCTGAGAGCCAGCAGCCAGAGCTTTCACCTCCTTCCCCAGAGTGCAGCTGTCCAGGGCTTGCTTTCCAGACTCTCCTGAGCACAGAGGGGGCAAGATCGTGAGGCCTGGGGCACGCTTCTCTGCCACAAGGAGCGCGCACAGGCGTGCCCCAGCTGTGCTCTTCCCCCTCTCCTCTCCAGCCTCCCCACCTCCCTTTTCCTCCTTCCAGTGACCCCTTCGTCTGGCTTCTCCCTGCCGTGTACTAGTTTTCTCCTTGGAGCGGAAAGGCATACTGCAGGTGGCCAAGATGGCAGCACCAGGTCGGCTGAGTGCCCATTTTCCTGTCTGTGTATGAGATGAGGCCACTCATTCATTTCTCAGTCAACAAAAATTTATTGAACACCTACCATGTACCAGGTGCTGGCATAGCACTATAGCCAAAACATACCCCCCAAAAGTAACATTTATTGAAGCCCTTTTACCTGCATGGTGCTTGAACTACATGTGATTCTCCCACTGATTCTTTGTGGTGAGTTTGATTATCCCTATTGTCTAAATATGGAAATCTAGGCTCAGCAGTCAAAGCCATTTGCCCAGAGACCCTCTGAGGCCTTGCCAGCCTGAACCCCCATAACTGACAACTCGTCTCTGCTTCCTTGCTCTGTGCCTTTAACTTCCTAAGAATCCACCCCGTCCTTTGTGATGGGGGTGTTCCCTGGCACTAGGATGTCAGGTGTGGGCAGAAGGATTCCCCCCCTTCCTTCAGCCAAACAGCACTATGGCCACGTAGTACTCCTGAGGGCTGAGAAAGTCCCCTTGACTCTGGTCCAGTGGCTATGGTCCGCGAAGGGGCCAGGTCTGCCCCGGATATTACCTACTGTGTATGGAATAGGACTTCCCATTACCATGTCCCGGTGGCTTTGTCTCTGCCTCTGCTGGGCTTCCATGTCCACAGAGCCCTCGGCCTGCACACTCCCTGAGTGGTCTTTGGGACCATCCCCTGTTGCCAGTGCTCTTGAGCCTTTGATCTGGCTGGTGGGCTTGGGGGTCCCTTCTGTGAATGAGTTTCCCTTTCGTCAAAGCTTTGGGCCAGGTAATTTCTAGGCACTAGTAACAAGAGGAACTGTCAGGAGAATGAGCTGAATCCCCTTGTGCCAGACTGCAGCTGGCCTCACTGCTGGTGGGGCTGGTGATGATTTTGTGGTAGGCCATCTCTCCAGCAAGCCTAAGCTCAGGCCCGTGCCCACAGCCTCCTCAGTGCTAAGCCTGGAAGGTGTGTGGAAAGCTTTTGCTGATGGGAGCTGAGAAACAGACAGTGGAGGTCACAGTACATCAGCGCTACAGGAACCTTAGCATTGAGCATAGATGAAGCAGACCTAGCTCAGAGAGGTCAGTAACTTGCCCATAGTCGCACAGTAAGTCAATGGCAGAATCAGGACTTGAACCCAGGACCCTTGCCTGCTAGTACAGGCTGCTCCCCACATCATCCCTGTTCTCCCTCTGCCCACATTTTCAACTTCCAAGGAAAGCTTAGTCTACAGCTCATCTCATCTCGCCTGCTGTAAAGAAAGATGTATTGTGGTTTCCTGAGGAGGAGTCCAGATATAAGATATTACAAACTTGGCTGGAGCTGAAGGGATTTCTGCTGGGCCATCCTGGCTTGTTGGGAGCATGGCGCAGGGACACTCACAGCTGGGGACGGAGCCATGCCTCCTAGCCAGGGGTCTCCCGGGCGTGAGGAACATGTTGCAGTCAGTCTTCCTGGAGGATGCTCTGTGAATCCACTTTCAGGCCCACCAGCCTGCCTGGCAAGGCCAGCTACCACTCATAGCTTCTCTTGTGGCCTCTGGTCAGGCCTACCAAAGCTGGTGCTACCTAGTGAGTCAGGCCAGAGCCCCTGGTGCTACAAAGGCACAGCCCTGGCTCCAGCCCTCCCGGTGTGTGGCTCAGGGACAGCTGGGACTCTCCCAAGGCTGCACGCCTGTCTGGGGCAGGACAGCGCTTCTAACATGGTGCATTTGGTTTCAAGCTCAGTGTCCTTTCCAGTTTTCAGACTGTGGGGAGCCGAGAGCAAAGTGATCTTGTGTTCCCAAGTAGGGAAACTGAGTCCCAGACAAATGGAAGTTTCTAGCAGTGGTGATGCTAGTTGGTGGGGGTGTGGTCCCTAGTGTCCCAGACTTGAGTTGGAGCTCAGCATCCCAGAGCTGCTGGTGACCCCAGACTCCTGGTGAGAAGTCTACCTATATGTTTTTCCCTTGCTCCCTGAGGTGACTCTTAGTGGATTGTAAAGGGCAGGGTGAACACATGCTCAGCCTCATGAGAAGAGGGTGCGGAGGGCCTTAAGGGGCCTCTCCATGTTAGCACACTTGGTATACACTCATCTTCTAGAAAAGAATACGGCTACTTCAAGTGCAGTAGGAAGGATGCAGGTTAGATTTATACAGGAACTTTCCAACTGGAGAATTTAAACACTGTCAAGCTCTCCAAGATCCTTCTGCGGCCTCTTTCTAGAGATTATTAAGTATTCCTACTGTAGGGGCAAACTCGAACTAGTGTGTGGTGGCAAACTGGAGGGTACCAGGGGCTAGTTACAGATGTCTGACCTCTTCCTCAGCATAGCTCTGCCAGGTGTGCCAGACAGGACTGACCATTTTCAGGGCAAGGAGCTGAGCCTTCAAGACATTAGCAGGACTTCTGATCCTGGAGGGTCCATGCTTCCTGTGCACCATAGCCCACCTCTGAGCAGACCACTGAGGTAGACACGCCTGGAGGCAGGGGAGTGGATGAGGTGACCCTCAGAGGCCCCCTCAGCCCCTGGCATCCTGCTGTAGATGTGGCGGCAAGGACCCTTCCTGTTTTCACATCTCTTCCTCTGAGTTGCTGTAGCTGAAAGGGAAGGTAGAGTCTCCTGGAGCCTGGGTCTGTCTCCTCCTGGGCCTTGTTCTGCTCAGAGTACGAGGCGTCCAGTTCCCCAGGGGGCCCTGACCTGGGGAAGTAAAGAAACCATGTCTCTGGGCCCCGGCAGGGTGCCGGAGCCCATTCCTTGGGCTCTGGGCCAGGCTGCTGCAGCGGGAGCTCAGGCCTGTGGAGGGAGGTCCCGGTGCCGGCAGCGCTGGGAGCGTGTTCCGTGCACAAGAAGACATGGCCAGACAGAGGGAAGCAGACAGGGTGAAAGTGAGGCCGCATGTCCAGCCTGGCAGCTGCCTCTCTAAAGAGCCAGAGGACCAAGCATCGGGGGCCCTGGGGTGAGTTGGAAATGGGGTACGTCACTCAGTCATAGAGGGGTGGGAAGGCCAGCTGGATAACAAGGCTTTAGGCCTGCTCTGGGCCTTAGTCTCCCTGTTAGTGCAATAAGGTGCTGAATGTCAAAAACATCTAGGGTCTTTCCATCTTAGGGACTGTTCCAATCAAAATTTGTTCCAGCACTTTTAAAGATCTTTGCCCAGCTGTTTTGCTCTTAATTGCAAACCTAGATTCCTAGAGGTCACCTGCTTGACTCATCCAAAGAAAGGGAGACTGAAGATGGAAACAGGTTGGGTGCCTGTGCCCACCAAGTATGTACAAGCAGAAGCAGTTCTCAGCATCAGTAATGCCATTCCCTCATGTACATTAGCCCAGGGCTCTCATGGGCCCTTTGGGGGAGCTCAGGCTTGTATTCAGTACCCAGTCATAGCTAAGAGAACAAGCTCTAGAGTTGGACGGCTGTGTTCACATCCCAGCTTTGCTATCCTATAGCTGGGGGACTTTGGACACATTCTCTAGCCTCTCTAGACCTCAGTTTCCTTATCTACAAAGTGGGGCCAATAGTAGGATCCATGTCACTGGGCTTTTGGAGTTTGCCTTTATTGTCATTGTCCACCATCATCACCCACTGGTTGCATTTTGCTGCAAAAGTACCTCCTTTTGGGATTTTTGACTATTCTGATGGTCTCTTCTTTGCTTGTGCCCCCCACAGCTGTGCCCTCACATTGCTGCTGTGTCCATATGCCAGCAAGGGCTTGCCCTCTGTGTGACATCTCAGCTCTTCTCCGTACTCCCCACTGTACAGCAGAGAAAATAGGCTCAGATAGGCTCATGCGTGCAGGAGGCTGGCCTGGCAGCTGGGTCCGCGAAGAGTCCTTGAGCCAGCCTGGAGTGGCATCCTAATGCAGACCCATGGGTTTGAGATCTGTCTGGTGGCTGCTGGGTGAGAATACCTGAGGCATTGCAGCCAGGATGTGTATCTGGGGGACGCTGCCAAGATCTCCATCTTGCCCCAGGCTGAGTGGCATTGCAGTGCATAGGATAAGAGGTTCCTTTCTCAAACCACACCATGTCTGGGGGTTGGGACGAGGAGAAACGTTTGTAGAGATCACACGCCCCTAGCCTGAGCAGGACAGAGGGTCAAGTGAGGGTCTTCCCAAGGTCACACAGCACTCTGGAGGCATGCTCCAGATACTGCTCCAGATGCTGAGTTTGGAAAGCAGAGACAGACTTCCCAAGTCCTGCCCCTTGTGGGCCATGTGCAATTGTCCGGTGTCCAGCTGGACGGCATCCCCCTGTCCCGTCAGGGATTATCCTCCTTCGCTGCCAGGCTCCCAGCCCAGCCCCAAAGGCAGGGCGGGGGGTGGGGTGGGGGAGGAACTCAGTGCTTTCAGCAGGTTCCCCTGACAGCAGCTCACCTGGATGATGACTCCTGTCCTGGGAGGTGAGAGGAACCCCTTATGGCGTGACAAAGAGAAGCTAGATTGGGGTGAGGCTAGAATTTGCCAAGGAGACCCCAAGGATATGGGGAGAGAAATCTTAGAGCCAGATGTGTCCCACAAAGACTTGACCTAGAGATGGGCTGTAGACACACACCCCCCCACACACACACCCTGTGCTACTCTCTGAAACCAGCTGAAGCACACACTCGAGCAGCTTCCGCGTGCATGATTTACCTGTGGGCAGCTCAGACAGACATAAGATAGTTTGGAGAGGTGAGACCTGGGCTCAGCTCTTCCTCAGATTTGCTTTTTGGCTTTGGCCAACCGACATTTCCCCTGTGAGCCTCAATTTCCCATTACAATGAGACCTCTGACATACCCTCTTAAATGAGTCCAGTAACCATCCCCTCAGGGGTGGATGTCGAAGGCAAGTGGGGTGTTGCATGCCAGCGCTTGGTGTGACTCTCATTATTATGTCCTCATCTCCTCTGGGTGTCGGAATGAAGCCACGCCCCCTGTGTGAGGAATGCCAGCGCCTGCCCTTCCGATCCAGGAGGGTTTTCTGTCGGGATCTGAGAGGAGTAGGATTGCTGGGCAGGGCAATGGGTTTGGGTTGTGTTTTTAGGTTTCATCTGTGCACTGGAGCCCCGCAGTTGCACTGGAAACTGGAAACGAACTCTCCTCCGTGAGGCTCTTTACTGGTTGAACAGCTCAGGCATCCACTTAGTCAGAAAAACATGTGCTTTGTTTTTTATTACATTTCCCTGGAAAAATAATGATTTGAATTCAAGGAGGGGAGGAGAACGGGTTTCCCTAAATTCCAAGCTTGAGGACTGTCTTTTCCTTTTGAAGTAGAACGGACTTGTCCCCTACCCTGCCCGCCCCTGGAGGCATCCTCACAGCTGGTGTTTTTCCAGCTGCCTGTCTCCCCAGAGAGTGTGGAGTGGGGTCAGGGATGGGGTAAGAGGACCAGACCTGCCTGGGCCGGGCAGCCTGGCCTCCCTCTGAGCTGCCCAAACTCACCTGTGGCAGTGGGGCCGATGTTCACCAGTGGTGCAACCTGTGTGACCTGTGTGACCTTGACACTTAGGTTTCCAGAGCCTCACTTTCTTTATCTAGAAAGTGGGGATTGTGATTCCACAGGGTGGCTTTTGAAGAACATGTCATCGTCATGGAAGGTGTGGGCTGGAAAAATGCTACAGGAGCTTTCCCTTCTTTGACCAGTGGGGAAACTGAGACCTATAGGAGAAAGGGGCACTCTTAAGACTCTTAGCAAGTCAGTCACTGGTCCAGGCCTAGACCCAGCTTCCTGAGCCCGAGTGCATGTCCTTCCCACTCCATTGGACCAGACCGCCAGTTGAGGGGTTGGCATTTCCATGCTGGGAGCTGGTTACTAGTTCCTTTTCAGACTCTGGTAGCTAAGGAGAGGACTCTCTGGCTGTGGCCCTTCCACAGGAGCCAGTCCCTGTGAAGTTCTTCACGCGGGGGTGTTTGTTGAGGACACGGGGTGGCCTGGGGCTCCACTGCCTGCCCAGTTCCCAGAGCCCAGGGGTGAGCCTGCATGGACGTGTCCTTGTGCCGCCCCAGGGTCTGGCTCAAAGCCACTCCACAGGTATAAGCACTAATCTGCAGGTGTGTGTTCTCTCTCATGCCTCCAGGGGTTTCCGGGAGACTTTGGAGAAAGAGGCCCTCCTGGACTGGATGGAAACCCCGTAAGTATTCAAGTCTTTGGGAATAGGAAGGAGATTCAGAGTACACACCCAGCAGGTTTTAGGAACCCCAAGTTTGGGGTCACCCAGACTGGGGCAAACCCCAGCCCTGCCACCTACTATCTGGGTACTCTAGGACGAATGGCATGATTGCTCTGAACCCTAGGCTCCTGTCTGCTGTGGAGGCCCTTCGGCCCCCTGAAGAGAGCTCCCAGCCCACTCCCAGCCCCTGGTCCCAAAGCTCTAGGCTGTGGCCCATCCCCAAGGACTTAGGAAGCCCATGGGTCTCTCCACATCCGGGAGGCCAGGCCTGCTCCCATCTGACAAAGCACAGCAGGGTTTACGGCTGGCAGTAGCCTGGGGGAGCCCATGGCTTACGGCCCTGTGTGGAGAGAAGAGCTGGAGTTCTAAAGAATCCCCAACCTAGGCATGTTTATACAGTTTGTAAATAATTGAAGGCCCATCAGAGAGCCAGGTCAGCCTGCCCTGGGGAGCTGAGCCTGCCTTTCCCTTCCCATCCCAGGCTCAGGCTCAGGGTGGGAGGAGAGGAAGCTCATTCTCTGCCTGGGGGTGCAGACCATGTCCAGAACTCTTCAGGACACCTGCCACCATTCCCCATCTCTCCTTGGGGCTTCCTGCCTGAGCAGCTGGGCCCAGCTGGGCCCTCCCTGGAGGTGGCTGCTGGATCCGTAACCAGCACCTGATTATGTGGTCATTTCAGTTGCACAAATGCCCCTGGGTCTGAGCTGGGACTGACTCCTGGGCTCCATTTGGGGCTGAAGCCCTGGCCTCAGAGCCAGATGCACTTGGGTGTGAATCCTGTTGCACCACGTGTGGGAGCATGGACACAGCAGTTCACCTGTCTGAATCTCACTTTCCTTATTTATATATGGGGGATTGAAGGCTGGCCTCAGGGGTCTACTGTAGTGCTGAGATGAGACGGGGCAAGGTGTTTGACCCAGAACAAGCAGTCACTGGATGGAGCAATTATAAGTAGTGGGTAACAGCAGGCATATCTACCCGCAAGTTGCTCATGGCTGTCTCCCCAAGGTCATTGCACAAGGCAGAGAGAGATCGGTGGGGTCAAAGAGGTCCTGGGTCTGTGCAGGAGGCAGAGAGGAGCAGGGAAGACTCCTGGGGAAGGTGACATTGGAATTGAGATGAGGAAAGAGGTGAGGGGACATTCCAGGTGGAGGAAAGAGTACCTGTAAAGGCAGAGGGCTGAGAAATCAGAGCCTTTCCTCCCGTCTGTCAGTTACGGGGTTTGCCATTATAAATCACGGTATCATCCTGAGTCCCCTCCCCAAGGGATGTCTTTATACTCATGGCCTCGGGAAGCAGAAGGAGTGCCTGTGTGTGGTCCCAGCTCAGCCACACAGCTGTTGAATGACTTTGCACAAGTCCCCTTCCCAGATCCTCAAGTCCCTCATTTTAAGGCCAAGGCTGCTTCTCACCTCCTCCTTCTTGGTGGCTGTAGGGACCTCCTGTCTGGACAGCCTGGGGCTATACAGATAAAAGAAGACAAAGCCCATCGAAGATGTCTGCAGTTCTCATTGATGATCACCAGTGATCACAATCATTTCTAGAGCTCCCTATTTTTTTTCACACCTTTGCATTTTGAACTTTATCCAAACCCCTCTACCCATCTTCCCTGATGCAAGGCACTGGAGGTCCATTTTTAGAGATGAGGAAATGGTAACTTGCCCACTACTGCACATAGCTGCATCTCCTGACTCCCAGGCAAGAACTCTGTCTAGCATCTCGGACGCCCTGGGAAACAGGAACCTGACTGAGAGCCTCCTTCTGGTGGTGGTGGAAGTTTTCTATGGGCCCCAGCCTCTCCTGGCTGAGTGAGTGGCACTCACTACTTCGTTATTTCCTTGCACTTGACCTTGGGCAAATCACTTAACCTCTCAAGCCTGTTTGCCAACTCTGAAGTGAGAGAGTGAAATGAGATCTGGGTCAACCACCGGGCACATCTTTGTTACCACGATCAGGCTTCTACCCATTCTTTCACACTTACAATTGGAAGATACTAGAATTGGGAATCTAACCTCCCCGTTTGACAGATGTGTAAAGCTGATGGAAGAGTGGGGCAGGGTCTTGTTCAAGCTTCAGGCCAGGAACGAGGAATGGTTAGCTCCAGAGGATCCCACCAGCTACCATGTGGATGATGGTGCGGAGGGGGAGGCCCTGGAGGAAGAGAGGGCAAGTAACCACCTTATTTCCTCTCTGTTCCCAGGGAGAACTGGGTCTGCCAGGACCCCCAGGAGTCCCCGGCCTCATTGTAAGTACAGATGCCTGGGGCGGGGGAGCGCCAGGAGGGGGGTTATGGGGAGCAAGCAAGTCCTGCTAGAAAAGCTCATCTAATCCCAGGAGGACCTGGGGCAGGGAGCTGAGGGAGGAAAGCCCTGCTGTGTGGACTTAGGAGGATCACCTACCTTCTCTGAGCCCCTTTCTTCATTAGCCAAATGGGGGTGGGCCCTCAGAGTGTGAGACTGCCATTGCTTTCACATCCGCTGCCTGTCTGTTGCTGCAAAGAGGTCTAGGCAGATGACAGCATGCCCATTCAGTAGGTGAAATGCTTTAGGTCCAGAGGAAGGAAGTGACTGGCAGAGGAGCAGGGGCTCTGGCCCTCGTTGGGCGGCCTTACTTATCTTTTTCCTCAGAGCACTGACTTCGGGGCCAGACCACCTGAGTTCACATCACCACTCTGCCACATCATGGCTGTGTGACCCAGGCTGGTCACTTACCCTCTCTGAGCCTTAGCTCCTCTGTAAAATGGGGATGATGGTAGAATCCTCTTGGGGTAGCTCTGAGGATCAAATGAGGTATTGCATGTATAGTCCTTGGCCCCAGAGCTAGCATTTAGTAGGTTTTTTTAGTAGGTATGCAATTTAGTGGAGAGTTTTGTTAAGTTAATTATTTTTGTTACCTCCTGATGTGCCTAGGACTGAGAGAGGCCTGTTCATCGGGAGGTAGGAGGCAGTCTGACCTCTGGCTCCATCCAGGTTGGGGTAGGCCTGATGGAGTGGTTCTGTGGACCAAAACCAGGGCTCCCTGCTGGGCGTGCGGGGGGAGCCTTGACCCTGGGCCTGTGCCAAGGGCCAGCAAGAGGCCTGAGCCTGGGAAATGCCTCAAGGAGCTTCCCCCAGGGTCTAATGCCCCTGTGCTCTGTCCTCTGGGTCATTCCTTATGGTGTTTGTGTCTGGGGGCCATGGAGGGACACAAGTAGACTGTTCCCTAGTTTGACAGATGGACTTCCAGCTTTGGCTAATCCAGTACCTGTGCTGAGACATTCTGCTCAGAGGGAGGCTGGAGGAGGCCCCAGGAGCACTGGGGAGGCCAGCCTGCAAAAGGGGCCCAGAGGCCTCCAGAGAGTGTGCTCCTGCTCAGGTGGGTGGGAGCAGAACCTCGTGGGCGGGAGCAGAACCTCGTGGGTGCGGGTAGAGGCTCGGATCCGCCTGTGCCTGAATCCTGGCCTTGCATCCTCCTGGCTCTGTGGTTCTCAGTTATGGCCTCACTTCCTTGAGCCTCAGGGAGACCCTGCCCCTGTGTCAGATGGGATCTTGGTGCCCACTCCTGTCAGGACCACAGATACATGCAGTCGTCTAGTCCCGGGACTAAGAGGGCGATCCCTGGAACCAGATCACTTGCGTTTAACTCCTAGCTCCACCACTCATTTATCTGCAATTCTGAGCAAATTCCTTAACCTCCCTGTGCTTCAATTTCTTTGTGTGTAAAACAGGGATAATATTAGTACCTAGCTTCAAGGATTATTGTGAGGATTTAAAGAAATTAGTACATATCAAGTGCCTGGTAGACAGTAAACACTAAAGAAGTGCTCGTGATAGTAATAGTTATTATTTTGCACACATGTGTACTTTTGCCTGGTAGCAGCTGTCTGGATTGCTGCATTGAGACTTCAAGTCACATTGGAACTTAGTGGGAGAGGGTGCTGTGATTGATTAGTGATGCCTGCCCTGGCTTAGGCTGAGGAAGTGTCAACACATGAATCATACACTTGTCATCCCGGATGTCCATTCAACAGGACTTTGTGGAGCACCTTCCTTGGCCCAAAGCAATGACCTAGATGCTTCGGAAAAAGAAATATCTGCAATGAGAGCTAGAGGACTGGAGTTCTGGAGGCCCTCTGAAGTGTTCTAGTCCAGCCTTCTCTAAGCTCAGCAGGAGTTCCTCCTGGAGCATCTTGGCCATATGGTCATTAAACTCTAACTTGAATGCCCTGTGTTGGAAGCTCCATCCTGTGGGAACCCAGGCCAATTCCACAGGGCTCACAGTGTGCAAGATGTTCCTGTATACTGAGTCCAAGTCATCTCCCTGCCCCTGGGCGAGGCTGTAAAGATGGTCGCTGTTCTTCCCAAGGCTCCTTCCTCAGGCCTAATGCTCCCAATCCCCAAAGCTTTTCTGAAGGGATATTTACATATTCTGGCTGTCATCCTTGGCCTACTTTCCTATTTATTGTTGTCCTGGTGTCCACTAGGTTGGATCCTAAAATGGGGCAAGAATATTTGACCGAATTCACACAGATTCTGGAAACTCAAACTATGTCACCGCAGCCCTTGGCCCTCCTGACTCTACAAAACTCTTTCCCACCTATATTCCTCTTTGCTCTTCCCCATTAGGGTTGTCAGATAAAGTACAAGATGCCCAGAGACAACTGAATTTCTGATGCAATATTTGGTGCACATTTATACTAAAACATCATTCTTTGTTTGTCTGACATTCAGATTTAACTTTATTTTTATTTGATCAGTCTGGTAACCCTATTCACAGTATCTCTTGGGAGAATCCCATTTGGCAGATGGGAAGGTGGAGGCCCTTTCAAAGTCATCCACGAGGCAGGGGAGGATGGAGGCGTGATGGGAGGCCATGTCTCCCGACTCCTAGTCCAGGGCACACCTCTTCCTGCTCCTCTTCTGGGGGGCCTGAGCTGGGGGTGAGCCCTGGGCGTTTGTGCATTTCTAAGACCCTGGGCCTCCTCATAATACCCCTTCCCAAAGAGCTGACCCTTTGTGCCGTGTGGCTCTGTCTTGCCCTGCTTTCTCTGTCACTTTCAGCCTTGCTTCCCCCTCTTTGTAAATTCCTTTTGCTGCCAAAGATGAACCTACCAAACCACGTCAACTCCCAGAGCCCGTCAGTGCCGCCTCCCACCTAGGACACCCACTCCTGTCCTGGACGTTTGGGAACAGCAGCTTCTGTGCCTGGGGAAATAATTGCCTCTCCAAAGAGCTGGGGAGGAAAGGAATTTTCTAACCAGGACTTAAGGGGAAGAGGAATCCTGAGTCACCTGTGGTTTCCCGGAGGATGTGGGTTTTTAGCTGGGCAAATGGGCATTCCACATACTGATAATCATTTTAATGGGGATTTAAATTTATTCAGTGCCTTCTGTCTAGTCAGCTGAAGCGATTTGCATGCAAGCTGAAACTTCCCCTGTTCTGCAGGCCCTTGCGGGTGGGAGGAAGGGTGTGAGAGGACAGACTAACATTTATGGAGTGTCTGTCCCTCTGTGTGTTCTTGACATGCATCAGGCCACAGGAGCCTCAAGACACTTGAGGCGGGTGACAGCAGCCTGGTAACCCAGAAGGAGAAGCTGGGGCCCGAGGTCACCAGCTGGGGACTTGCAAGCCAGGTCTGTGTGACCCCAATCCCAATAAGCCGCTGGTAGCCCCCTGCAACCTCTGAAGAGAGACTGCCTTGAAACAGCACCCTTGGAGTAATTGAAACCCTTTGGCTAAGCCCGCAGGAGAGGGGTGCCTCATTCCAGAATCTGCCCAACAAAGAAGATTTCTGTCTTTTTTTCTTTTTCTGAGTGACACAAGGAATTTTGGCCCCTCCTTTAATGAGACCCAAAGAATATGTGGTCTGGCCCAAACCCAGCATGTGGGGCCCAGTGGATGAGCCCGCCATATGCTGCCACCAAATGATCATCTGTCTTTATTTCCTCCTTAGAAAGTGAGGTCAGGAGCCCCATTAGCTGACACTTAGCAAACTGCTGGGTGCCAGGCCCTATGTGAAGTATTTGTACAGCAAGCCTCTGAGGGATTGCCATTGTACCCTTGAGGAAACTGAGGCCCTGAGAGGCCGAAGCACCTGCCCAGGGTCACACAGCTGATACGCTGGGCCTGGGCCTGTGTCCATGGCTCCTGCCCCTCACCCCTGCACCACACGCCTGGCTCCACACAGCTTCTGGGCTGAATGGAGATGGCAGGTGTGTGAGGGGGCACTTATTCTGCCCAGGAGCCAGGACAGGCCACAGCCCTCAGGTCCTCCTTCCCAAGCTGCTGACCTCCTATCGGAGGTTCAGGCAAGAGGCCTGTTGCCTTCAAAGGCAGTTCCAGGGAATGTTGTGGCCAGATGTTATGAGAGCGTGCAGGTTTCTCATTCACTCACGAGTGAGCCGCTTTCAGTGAGCACCTCCTCTGGGGCACAGGGCAGACCCCAGGTGGCCACATAGGCACACACATGAATGGTCCTCAGTGTGGAAAGGGCTGAGAGCCGCTGGCAGGGGCCTGACCTGGCCTGTGGAATCAGGAAAGTGACGTTGGTGCTGCAGGTGGAAGGATGAATGGCATTCATGTGGGCACAGGGCAGAACACTCTGGGATGGGGCAGTGGCCAAGGATGTCATGCAGCGGAGGAGCAGCAGGGCAGGAAGGTGAGATGTGGGAGGTGGGCAGGGAGGCTGTGCCAGCATATTTGCCATGGAGAGTGGGCACTAGAAGCACCCAGGTTTTCTTTCAGGGGTCCCTTGCTGGTATACACCAGAGGAGTGGAACTCAGGCCTGGTTTTGCATCTCGAGCCCATCCTCATGCCCCGTCACTTACGAGTGACAGCTGCGATAGCGGTATCACTGGGTCCTTTGTAAACAGTCAGTACAGGGCTTCTGAATGTGGACTGTAGGGCCAGCCAACTGGCCAGCCCTGGGTTCTGGTCCTGCCTGTGTCCCCTGCTCGTTACTTAGTCTTAGGTAAGTGGCTTCCCTTCTCTGTAAGCCTCAGTTTTCTCATCCATAAAATGGAATAGAACTAACAGTGGTGCTGATGTCACGGGGTTACCGTGAGCAGGTGGCGAGTGTCCCAGCAGCCAACAGAAGTCCTGATATAGTGTCAGTTCTCACTAACCAGCACTTGACGAGCCTTCTGGGGCCGAGCGCAGGGTCTGGCGCACAGTAGGCACTCTTCAAATGCTGCTGACGTGGTTGGCTGTGTTCGTGTTGGGAGTCGGCAAGATGAAGGGCAAAGTGTGTAGAGCGGTGTCTTTGAGCTTTAGGCAAACGTGGCCACAGGATCCAAGTGAAGGTCGTTCTTCCTTGCGGGGACTTGCCATACTGTGTGTTGCGTGGCCAGGCTGCCCACAGAGGTGTCTAGCATGGAGCAGACTGGCACTCTGTGGGCTGTACAGGGGGAATGGTGGCCTGGAGTTTTCTCTGTTCCTCCCCTTTTTCAGCCCAGCATGGGGTCCCAGCAGCATGGGGGGACCTGCCCTAAGCAAGCCCCCCCTTTCCCATGTGTCCCTCAGCTGGAGCCCCTTTTCCACACAGTCCTTGCTCCTTGGGGTTGGATGTGTGCCCTGGCCCCTGCCCCTCCACTCGGAGCCGTTGAGTGTGCACCGGGAGTGTGGGGCCGCAGCAGCGCCCTGTGGCCTCACACAGGTGTCAGTCAGGCCTTACTGAATTCAGTCTCCACACAAGCCACCTTCAGGCCTGAGTGCGGAAGAAGGGGCCTGTGTTCCCGGAGCTGCTGGCTGGTCCTCTGCCTGTGGCCGGGCCCCCGTGGGAGTGACAAGGCCGGCAGAGCCTCCTCTGTTTGTGTACACGGGGAGCTCTGGGCGGGCCACCCCTTGCTCCCTTCATCCAGGAAAAGAGGGAGAGAGAGGCAGCAGCCAAAGCGGCCTGCCCAAGTGCAGCTTTCTGCAGAACTGCCTTCCCGTGACTTCAGCCTCTCCCTGGCCAGTGATCCTGGCTTCTGCATTCCCGTCTCTCCCTTCTCTCCAAAGATTACTTCAGAATTGCCTAGAAGCTCTGGAAACAGACTGCCTGGTGTGACTCCAGCTCTGCCAGCTCTGTGATTCACTCAAGCCCTAATCTCTCAGAGCCTCAGTTTCCTCACCTGTAAAGTGGGGATAGTGGTAGTGCAGATCTTGAAGGGCCGTTGTGAGGATTAATTGAATTGAGTTTTGTAAAGATCTTGGCACAGTGCCTTTTGACCAGTGTTTGTATTCTGTTATCACCTGTTAAAGTGAGACCTCACTTTCGTAATGAAAAGATTACTCAGTAGGAATGAAAGCAAAACTTCTTGGCAGAGGCTTAGGTAGAAGGTTTGGTTTGACCCAATCGGGGGGTGGTAGGTGGGTCCTGAGGTCCAGAGAGGAGAAGTGTTTTGCCCAAGATCATACAGTCTGTCCCTGGCAGGGCCACTGCCAGACTCCAACCTCTGCCTTGACTGGTCTAAGTTGTTCTGGGGGTGGGGGTGGGGAGAATCGGCATGGCCTCAGCCAGGCCACACTGCTGTCTGTGAGCTCTGCACCCTCCCTCCATCTCTACCTGGGGGTGCCTGCTGCATAGGCCCCTTGGCCCTTCTGCAGGAGCCAGGCAGGAATGTGATGTTTCATTCTTTACCAGCCTCCCTTCGAGACGTCTCCACCAGCTCCTACCAGAACCCAGGGCAGCCTTTTTGCTCTACTGCATCAGAGTACTCGCCAGGGGCCTCCCTGGGACCTGACTCAGGGATGTGGGAAACAGGCCCTGGGAAGTCAAGCACATGGATTGAGCTCACAGCACAGTCACAGGGGATGGAAAAGGAAGAGAAGAGCGTTCTCAGGGGCTCGCTTTCTCTGGGCGTGGGCTTTGTGATATGGCCCTTGCTGAGGGCAGAAGTGATGTGGGTAGGCAGGGAGTGAGGACATTTGAGGGAAAGGGAGTGGGCGGGCTTGTTCGGAGAAACTCCAGTCACGCCTTCCCTTTTAACCAGGGTTTCTCACTCAGCACCACCAACACTGTGAGGCAGGGAATTCTTTGTTGAGGCTTCCCCAGACTAGATGCCAAGATGCCCCATCAGTTGTAACAGCCCAAAATGCCTCCGAACAGTGCCGAGCACTTTATGAATGTCAGTTACTCCTCAAAACAACTCTAGAAGGTGCAGAGTATTAATCCCCAATTTAGGTGAGGACACCGAGGCATGGAGAAGTTAGGGCCCCAAATCACGCAATGAGTGGGCAGCAGGGGGAGAGGAAGCCAGGTCTGACTGTGCCATAGGCTGGACTCCCCCTTCCAGCCTCTCCCGAGCCCTCCGTGAAGGGCACGCTGTGCTTGGAACTCAGCTCTCCAGGGTCTAGGAACTCCTCTGCTCCTGCCTTGGACTGATTTGATCTTGATCCAACTTGTGGCCCAAGATCTTAGAATCCTAAGGGTCCATCTCCAAGCCTGGGGTGCATGATTGACAGCCCCACTCCTTCCTTGCTGCCATCCCAAGAAGAGAGCTGAGCTTCTGGGGAGCAGAACGTGCCTCACCCTCACTAAGCTAGAGGAATCAAAGCCTCTGTGTTTGCTTATTTAACCCTTGCAACCGCTCTCAGGCAGAGGGACTATTGTCCCTAGTTTATAGATAGAGACTGAAGCCCAAAGAGGTCAGTGACATACCCGAAGTCTCTTATCTAAACCTAATAAGAGGTGGGGAGAGGTGGTGGGAGGGGCCGCAATCAAGAATTGAACTTGCGAAAGAACCTGTGTGAACTCTATGCCAACACTTAGGGGAGGTAAACAGAACAGGTAGCACTTTGATTCCAGGACCCATCCAGTGGGACTGTGTCCCAGAAGCCCAGCCCCGGGAGCCTTGGGCATCCTCCCCGCGGGCCGGCTTCCTGGGAGCTGCCTCTCACGGCGTCCTCTCCTTTTTCTCTTCCCAGGGCGACATGGGAGTGTTGGGTCCTATTGGTTACCCAGGACCCAAAGGCATGAAGGTAAACAGGAGGCATCCCTTAATCTGGGTGTCATTCCAAGTGGGCGTCCTCGGACCCATCTCAGCCCAGGAGGAAAGGAGCCCTGATACAGTGTTGCAGGGGGGAGGCCAGGATCCTTAGTGAGGTGCTGGGGTACAAGTTGGCAGGTCAGCAGCTCGGTTCCTGGGCCTGAGAGCCTGTCATCAGTATGTCCGTTATGCCAGACATCTTTACTGGACCGGAGTCCCTGAGCTGAGCATGAGTCTGATATGGACCTCAGGACATTGGAAGTCCAGTGGGGGGCATCACCAGGGGCATGGAAACTGTAATGGCAAACTAGTGAGCTCAGTACATCCCTGAGTGGGATGCGCATGCAGGAGAAAGATGGGCTAAAACTGCTAGGTCCACGTTCCAGGGACGAGGCCATTTGGTCAACCTGCATTTGACCCTGCTCATTAAAGCCCATCTCTCCCCATCAGTACGTTTCTCCTCTGGATTTGTTCAGAGTACTGTGGTTCGCAAGTCGCCTGCCCCTTCTCATGCTCCTTCAGTCCACACCATTGCCCTCTGAGCTAGGGGTCATTGTCCTCTTCTGCAGATGAGAAAACTGAGCCCTAAGTTGGGGCCTCTAGTGCCAGGTCTCCCAGAAACCTAGGGCTTCTGACTTGTGTGGCTTTGAGCCTACCCCCCAGCTGGACTCTGGCCTTTGTCTTGCAGGGACTGATGGGCAACGTGGGGGAACCCGGACTGAAAGGTGATAAGGTGATCTGAATACTCCCTTATTGCACTGTGTTTTATCTGCATGCGAACAACCCCCCTCCACCTCGACGCTGCTGCTGATTTCTCACCAGGTCCACTCCCCTGCCTCCCCTCTGGCTTTCCTAAATCTGTGCTCCCCAGCTTCCTCCTTGTACCTCTGGGTGGGGCTCAGACAGATGGTCTGGGGGGCATGCACACCTTACAGACAGCATGGGGAAATGTTGAGTCGGGGATAAGGCAACGCTGGTCTCTGAATTCAGAGAGCAGAGCTGAGGCCAGCTTCTGGGCTTAGAGGCAAATGCCTCAGAACAGAGGGAGGGTACGGGTTGGGTGGGTGGGGTGTTGCTGAGAGGATGGGCCCCGGAGCAGAGATATGATATGGATCCAGAAACCTCTGCCAGGCATTGGAGGAAAAGGGTCCACATAAACCTTCCAGATTGGAATTGGAACCCAACCCCAGAGAGCATGTGGTCTGAAAATGCCAGGGATGAGCCAGAAAAGGCCTCTGAGCCCCTGCCCCACTTTCCTCCCGGCTGCCATGTGTCCTCCCCACAGCTCTGCTGCTGAACTCACCCCGTGCCAAACCAGAGCTGTGGGTGGGTAGGTGGGACCCTGTGGCCCAGAGCAGGGCAGCAACTGGCCTGGGTCCTGCAGCATCTCAGTGACAGACACATGGGTGGTGGGGGGCAGTGTGCCCTATACTCTGCCCTGTGGCCATCTTTGTGCTCCCCCTTCAGTCTGTTGGCAAACCAGGCACCCCAAAGTGGGTGAGGGAGGGCTTCAGGGCAGCCTCCAAGTTTCTACAAGACTGAGCAGTTGTGAGCTGCCCCACAGTTCCCATGGCCGGGCTCCTTGTGCACCTGTCTTCAGGTGACTCTGCTCCCCTAAACCTGAGAAACAGGAGCAGGTGTCAGTGCTGGGGGCCATCTGAGTGCTCTGTGGGGCTTAACCCATCCATCCTCCAATCCCCTGTGAGGTCGGAAGCTTGCCTGAGCGTACACAGCTAATACATAGTGTCAGGATTTGAACCCAGGCACCTGCCTCCAGTGCTGACATTCTCAGCTGGGTCGACAGACCCAAAGAGAAGAGATGTGTCAAAGGAAACTCAGTGGTCCAGTAGGGGAGCCAACCCAGGTCCCTAGGCTCTTAGAAAATTAGAATTGCTGGGCTGCAATGGGCACAGCCAGATTGCCTTACTCACACCCCCACCCCTATGTTGCCAGGGGCAGGGGGTGCAGAACTACTCCTTTCTATGTCTCCTTCCCCCTTTCCATCCCCTGCTGTCACGCCAAGCCTCCAGCCACAGTCCTCTCGGCCTCCCCCACTCAGCCCCGCCTTCGACTCTGCCCTGCTGGCTGCTAAGCCCCCTCTTCTGAGGCCCTCCCTCTCCAGATAAACGGGCTTTCTGTTGGAGGTGGGGGCTTTCCCACAGCTACCTGTTTCCTCTAAGGTTTGACTTCAGCACTCCGGAAAAGCTGAAGTCATGGGCAAGGGGAAAGGAAGTGGGGGAATGGGAGTAGTGAGCTTTTTATAGGTCCCTTTGCAGAGCTGGCCTCTAGCTCATTTTCTTCAGGAACATGGAAATAAATGTGTTACATAGAACTCGGCTGGCGTGCTGACTAGTGGTGCCTGGGACATGTAGAAATGTGAAATCTCTGGAAAAAAAAAAAAAAGAAGTAGAGGAAATTATTTTCCTGCCTGTAGTTCTTAGGAAAATCATATAAGCTTGGGGGTTAAAAGAATAGAGAAAGAAATCTCTTTCCCACTCCTTTGGCTGGAGAGGGGTGTTAATGTTGCTGAGAGGGGGATTCTGATCAGCCTCTCTTGCACTTCCCACCCCTGGACCCTCCCCTGGGGTGACAGAGCCATCCCTGCGTGTTCCGTGGTTGTCCTGCCTAGAATCCCAGATTTTCCATGACCCAACCTGGCCTCAGTCCCACTTACAACCCCTTGGCTCCAGTCTCCCCACATGGAGGCACATTCTGGAACCGACTTGCCTGCTCCAGGCCCAGCTTTCTCCAAATCCATTGTCCTGATTTCCTAGATGTCTTTTAAACTTCTTTTTTTTTTTTTTCTTAACCTCTCACTCCTCCTTTGAATATTTAAAAAAAAAAGGAAAAAAGTGTTCTTTGGTTCCCAAAACCCTGGGATGTTGTACAGAATTTTCCAAATTGGAAAAATCAAAGTAAGTTTTAAAAAAGTTTTTAAAAATTCTGGCTTTTGTTCAACCAAGGAAGTTCCTCTGCTGGGCCAGAGCCTTAACCGTACAATGTGGGTTTGCAAAGATTCCCCATCCTTTCTGGGTTTTTCCTCCCCGTTCTACCAGTGCTGCCAGGGCTGTGAATGTTTTCTGCAGTCCGGGGGCCAACGTTCTGTGGGTATGTCCTACATGGAAAGCTGGAAACGATGAAATCTGTGTGATGTGATCTGGCTCTAAGATGAAACATCTCCCGATCTGGTTCTGCGACAGCTCATTTACCAGGACGTGGCTGAAAACAGGGAGGGAGCAGGAGAGACCTCCGACAGCCAAAATCAGTGTCACCAAGCCTATGCAATATGTCATCTTAGGGAAGAAACACCCCGACCTAACTCAAGATCAGTTTACTTGCTGTTTACACAGAGTCTTGGCCAGCCAGGCTCTCTGGTTTCTCATACTATAGCTGATGAAAGGCAACTGATTAGAAGTAGACCTATGCCGGTGCTGGCATAGGAACTCCCACAGAAAGAAGTGACAGCTCCCTGGTGAAGAGTATCAAGCCACAGATGCAAGCACTTGGCAGCCACAGTGGTGTGGGCCTATTGTACAGGCTGCACATGCTCCTATGTGACGTCGCTGATGATGAAGAGGTTGGAAGAACAAGAAACAAGTTTCTCTGACCTGCGGATGTCAGTTCTCCAGGAAAGGCCAGGCGACAGTGGGCAATTTCGCTTCTGTTCGTGAAGTTTTCAGCCATCAGAGCAGCCACACGCAGATCTGCAGACAGGCTGGCTCTGTCCCCCACCAGGGCCTGCCTTCCCCAGCCAGGCTTTTCACTGGTCCCCGAGTGGCCTGTCTTTTACTGTCACAAGGTTGCTGCTGGTCAGGTCAATTTCCGGGAACAGCCTCAGCAAAGCTGTACCTTGCCAGTGGGTCTGGGAGTGGGGGAGACTTCCAGAACCCACCATGGTCTCCAGTGTGACCTTCTCTGCTGGTGTATATTTAGGGTGAACAAGGGGTTCCGGGTGTGTCGGGAGATACCGGATTCCAAGGAGACAAGGTAATTGCAACAGAGTCACCCCTCCGTGCTGCTCCGCTCTTCTCTCATCCTGCCTTCCCTCCCAGGGCCCCTCTTGGGTCAGGATCACCTGCAAGATGGCTTCCTTTCACACAGTCCTGTCTTCTCCATTCTCTGTCCACCCTCTCATCATCTCTTCCCTGGACTTTACAACAGCCTCCTGACTTATTTCCAGACCCTCAGCCTCATCCCTCCCAGTCTGTCTTTGTCACTGCCACAGAATTGTCTTGACAGTACAGCTCTGCACTGTGCTCACAAACCATCCATGGCTCCCTACTGCTTCTAAAGTGAAGCCCCGGCACCCAGGACCCCAGGGAGCAGGCTGCCCTGACGTTTTCCTGCCCCTTGCCTTTACAGCGCCAGCCCCACTGAACTGCCCACTGCCCATTGAGGCTGTGGCATTGCTGCCTGGCCGGACACAACCCCCTCCCAGCCTCAGCACAGCACAGCCCCGCCCTGTTATTTAGAAACCTGCTCGGATGCCATTTACTCCACTTGCTCAGGAAGTTGATAGAGAGACTTGTGCTCAGTCCCCTGCCAGGCAGTGAGCTCCCTAAGGAGATGGCCCGAGGCTGCCCTGGCACAGCTTGGCTCAGGGTCCTGCACAGAAGAATGAACATTTAGGACATGTTTGAGTAAGTGAGTGAATTACTGGCCTTCCTGATTGACTGATGAGCTGAGGCAGCCTGCTGAGGCTGGCTCTTCTTTACCTGTGTCTGGCACCATGTGGCCACATCTGGACCTTACCCAGTCAGTCAGCAAGGCCCAGAGATTGGCCAGCTCCCTCTTGGCTGGCTTGTCCTGACCCAGCCTCAGTGTCTCTGGGGGGTAAGCTCTTCTCCCCAGGTCCGGCTGCTTCTCCCCAGGCCCCAGCGTTCCCCAGGCATAAAGGGCGCTATGGTGTTGGCTTAGAGCCCAGGGTCCCAAGTCCCAGGATGACCTGGTGAGGACAGAGGCTGCTATCTCACCTCGCGTTCCCAGGGTCCAGCCCGCAGGGATGCTGGGCTGGAGCTCGCAAGCAGGGAAAGACGGAGAGCTCCTCCCCACCAAGGTCTTGGCAGGCAAGGAGACTGAACAGCTGACCTTCTGGCCATTTCTGTTCCTCACTAACCCCAGCCTGCTCTGGCTCTTTTCCAGGGGAGCCAGGGATTGCCAGGGTTTCCAGGTGCACGGGGAAAGCCAGGGCCCCTGGTAAGTACCTTCTCCAAAATCCCCAAACTTCACATTCTCCACGTGGTCATGGAATGTGGCCAAGGGCACCATCAGGGCCTCATTTCCTCCTGCAAAGCCCTGGGAGGCAAACACAGCAGGGCAGGAATGAAGCTTCACCCATTTTACAGATGAGAACACTGAGGTCTAGAGGGGCAGGAATTCACCCAGCATCATAGGCCTCAGTCAAAACCCTTGCCCATCACACAGGCCTCCCAATGGCTTGTAAATGGTAATGTTATTAGTAATAGCAGTGGGTGTCATTTTCTTAATGTTACAGTGGATCAGATCCTTCCTCTCCTATACCTCTCTCAAGGCTGCCAACAACCTCAGGGGATTAGACAATTATTATTGCTCCCATTTTATAGATGGGAAAGCCAAGGTTCTGCTAGGTGAAGTGATTTGCCCAGCATCCCGTGGCTAATAAGCATAGGAGACAGGGTTTGAACAGTAGCTCCTAGTTGTCTAGGCACATTTCTTATACTGCTGAGCTTTTCCAACCACCCATTACCAGGGGCATAATACAAGGGGTCAGTGGAAAGTGGACCCTCACTTACCACTGCCTCCCCTGCAATCTCTTCTCTTCCACAGGGCAAAGTTGGAGACAAAGGATCCCTTGGGTTTCCTGGCCCCCCTGGGCCCGAGGTATGTGATGCCCTATTTCTCTGTATCTCACTGCAACTGGAGCTGGGTGTTGTCCTGGGGAAACTAAGGCCCACATATGGGGAGTGACCTGTCTGAAGTCACTCAGCAAATGAGAGGTGGGGATGAGAATCAAAATTCTGAGCTTTCCTTTCTGCCTCTGCAGCATGCCTCCTCCTCCACTTCTGGCTTCCCCAGGGCCCCCTACAGCAGTGGGAGAGAAGCTGGTCTCAGCTTTGTGGCCACCTTTACAGTCACCAGAAAACACATCAGGAAAGCCCTCTAAGCACAGGCCCTTAACAGGAGCTCCCCACATCCTCTACCCTGAGATTTCAGACAGCAAACCCCTCTGAGTCCTGGAACTTTTCCATCCCCTCATATCTACCCTGGAAGTTCAGGGCTCAGAGCTCCCAAAAATGGGGAGCAAGAAGCAAAAGTACAATCCTAGTGTTTGAATGAAGAATGAGGCATAGTATGAGTAAGTAGAACCCTGAGAGTTTCTAATACAGGTGATAATCAGCATAGGTAGGCTAAATGTTTATTAAAGCTGACACTCACATACAACAGAATGAGGCCCCTGGTTGAGTTCTTTTTGCCCCCCTCCCTCCACGCCCCAATACAGGGACTATTCTCTGGGGAACAGGGTGAGCAGAGCAGTGCCAGGGCTGTTGTTTGTCAAACCCCAGCCTGCTCTGGCTCTTTTCCAGGGGAGCCAGGGATTGCCAGGGTTTCCAGGTGCACGGGGAAAGCCAGGGCCCCTGGTAAGTACCTTCTCCAAAATCCCCAAACTTCACATTCTCCACGTGGTCATGGAATGTGGCCAGGGGCACCATCAGGGCCTCATTTCCTCCTGCAAAGCCCTGGGAGGCAAACACAGCAGGGCAGGAATGAAGCTTCACCCATTTTACAGATGAGAACACTGAGGTCTAGAGGGGCAGGAATTCACCCAGCATCATAGGCCTCAGTCAAAACCCTTGCCCATCACACAGGCCTCCCAATGGCTTGTAAATGGTAATGTTATTAGTAATAGCAGTGGGTGTCATTTTCTTAATGTTACAGTGGATCAGATCCTTCCTCTCCTATACCTCTCTCAAGGCTGCCAACAACCTCAGGGGATTAGACAATTATTATTGCTCCCATTTTATAGATGGGAAAGCCAAGGTTCTGCTAGGTGAAGTGATTTGCCCAGCATCCCGTGGCTAATAAGCATAGGAGACAGGGTTTGAACAGTAGCTCCTAGTTGTCTAGGCACATTTCTTATACTGCTGAGCTTTTCCAACCACCCATTACCAGGGGCATAATACAAGGGGTCAGTGGAAAGTGGACCCTCACTTACCACTGCCTCCCCTGCAATCTCTTCTCTTCCACAGGGCAAAGTTGGAGACAAAGGATCCCTTGGGTTTCCTGGCCCCCCTGGGCCCGAGGTATGTGATGCCCTATTTCTCTGTATCTCACTGCAACTGGAGCTGGGTGTTGTCCTGGGGAAACTAAGGCCCACATATGGGGAGTGACCTGTCTGAAGTCACTCAGCAAATGAGAGGTGGGGATGAGAATCAAAATTCTGAGCTTTCCTTTCTGCCTCTGCAGCATGCCTCCTCCTCCACTTCTGGCTTCCCCAGGGCCCCCTACAGCAGTGGGAGAGAAGCTGGTCTCAGCTTTGTGGCCACCTTTACAGTCACCAGAAAACACATCAGGAAAGCCCTCTAAGCACAGGCCCTTAACAGGAGCTCCCCACATCCTCTACCCTGAGATTTCAGACAGCAAACCCCTCTGAGTCCTGGAACTTTTCCATCCCCTCATATCTACCCTGGAAGTTCAGGGCTCAGAGCTCCCAAAAATGGGGAGCAAGAAGCAAAAGTACAATCCTAGTGTTTGAATGAAGAATGAGGCATAGTATGAGTAAGTAGAACCCTGAGAGTTTCTAATACAGGTGATAATCAGCATAGGTAGGCTAAATGTTTATTAAAGCTGACACTCACATACAACAGAATGAGGCCCCTGGTTGAGTTCTTTTTGCCCCCCTCCCTCCACGCCCCAATACAGGGACTATTCTCTGGGGAACAGGGTGAGCAGAGCAGTGCCAGGGCTGTTGTTTGTCCGGGATCCTCAGCACCCAGGCCCTCCAGGAGGTCTGGGCCAGTCCAAGCCATAGCGTCCCACCCACCCACAACTCCTTGGCCTACGGCCTTGCTCTTCCATGAGGTCTCGGAGATGAAAGTCTGGCTTTGCTGCATTCTGCAGACCCTTCCGAAGGTTACTCCTGGTGTCGCCCCGATGGAGGAGGGAGTGTTTCCTGAAAGCTAGCTCCAAGTTCTGACTTTCTACTTTGTTGACTTTGGCCATGACACAGTCCTATCTTTAGACAAATGGAGCTGGCCTCTCTTCCATGGCCCTGATTCTTTCAGGAATCTTCAGTCACTGTGGAAAAAGACTTTTCTGGGAGTCTGGGTTTCTCAGCAGTCTAGCCAGTAAGGGTGGAAAGCATGCCCCCTCACAATTATTAGGCACCACCTTGTGCCAGGAGGCTGTGTATTATCTTTGCGACGAGAACTTGTTGAATGACTCTTAGGACTGCATGAGGCAACTATTACTACCACCATTTTATAGATGAGGAAACTGAGTCATAGAGCAGGGCAGTGACTTCCTCAAGGTCACCCACCTACTTGTAGTGAAGAAGGTCTACTTCGGCTCTCTCCTGGGTCCCTGGGTAGACCGGGGGTCTGCTCTCCCATCTTTGTGTTCTGTTTGGATTGGCTGACTCCATATGCAGAAAATGGCTCTGCTCAGCTGAAGACAGAAGCTGATGACCTTTCCCAGTATTTGTCCCTTCCAAGACCGTGGGTGGGAGCTCTAGCTTCCCAGCCCTCACGTGAGTGAGATCTCTCGCTCATCAGTGGGTCCGATCTGTGTGAGTACCAGAATTTGATAGCATCCCGACATCCAAGTTCTCCCTGGAGATAGGCCCACCCCAGCCAGACTTGTTTTCCTAGGACACAGGATCCAAAATCCTTATGGATGCAGATTTTTATTGAGCTGCATTTATTATTAGTTCAGCTGCCAGGCCCTGAATGAGGCACTTGGCTTGCATTGTTCCTTTTGAGCTTCATAACAGCCCTGTGAGGTGGTATTATCGTCACCATTTTATAGATGAGGAAACAGAGGCCCAGAGACGCTCAGGAACCTGTCTAGGGCCACACAGTGAGTCGGTAGCAGAACGGGATTTTGAGCCTCTCAATTTGAAGAAAAAGACATGGGGCTTTGGCTTCCTATGTTAATTCAAAATTCAGGGTCATTCTTGCCTTTGCTAGTGAGAAAAGTGAGAGGATGTTTGAGCTGAAATTTAACAGAAGTTACCAGAAGATCAAAAGAAGAAAAGAAAAGCTACTTAGGAAGGCAAAGTGGATGTGGTAGTGAGAAGGGTATTTTGGTCTCAGGAATTCTTGTAAGAAGGCTTTGGTTTCTAGCTGGCAGGAAACTGCTGCCCCCAAAGCAGGTGGGACTCTAGGCTGAATTAACAGAGGTGTTATACCTAAAACAAGGAAGGGGATGTTCCCATATTGGCCTGTGCTGGTCCATTCACACCCAGAATAGCATGGGGACCTAGTCATCACCAACAGTAGAAACTGACCAATTGAAGGCAGTCAGACTGAAGGGCCCCAGTCCCCTGGCTAGACGCAGTTGAAGGGACAGGTACAAGCAGACCTCTGGGGATGGGGTAACTGGTCTCCAAATTGTGCAAAGATCACAGTGGGTAGAGTGACCCTTTGTGGGTCCCTGAAGGGCAGCACGAGGTTGTTGAGGGAAAAGAGATGGGATTCTGCTCCATGTCAGGAAGAAGCTTCCACTACGATTACCCACTGGGAATAGGCCCTGTCTGGAGCAGTGAGTCCTACACGCTTAGCCAGGACATCGTAGGGTTTTAGCTTTGTACAGAATGAACTGAGATTAATTAGCTCAGCATTTTTCAACCCTTCCAAAGTTATGGCAGATCCAGAACTTAATCAGCCTGCAGAATCACTGCAATCCGAGGTTGATCCTTTGCAGAGCAGAGGATGGCTCTGAACTTTTCGAAGCAGAGGCCCGGGACACAGGAAATTCTGGGCTAGATGCCCTTGTATGTGCTTGTTCCTGTGCTCAGTTCTTTCCTTCATCGTCTTGATTTTCTTGGCAACTCTCCGAGGGTGATCCCTGCTGGAGAACCAAGGATTGCAGGGTTGGGGTGGTTAACTGACCTGCTCTAGGTCAGCCCCCTCGAAGACCTATGCTCTTGGCATCTCCCTTCACAGTCCCCATGCGTGACCCCTGCTCTCTGCTTCCTCTCAGGGATTCCCTGGAGACATTGGCCCCCCTGGGGACAACGGCCCAGAAGGCATGAAGGTGAGTCCCTGCCCAGGTAGCTCCAGCCCAAGAAGCTGAGAGCTCTGTGGAAACCACAGGCCCTCCGGGCTGGCTGCCTGGCTTGGAAGCAGAGGAAGGACTTGCCAGCCTGTGAAGGAGATGGAGGTGCTACCTCTGAGACCCCTTTCTGTTCCCTTCTCACCAGGGTAAGCCTGGAGCCCGAGGCCTGCCGGGACCCCGTGGGCAGCTGGGCCCTGAGGTGAGACTGTCTGGCCCTGACTCTTGCCCTTTCCTCCACAGCCCCAGCCTGCTGCGTCCTGGGTCCTGGAGGCCTTAGCTGGAGGCCAGGGCCCCTCAGCCAGGACGCAGCCCAGAGTGGCCTTGGGCTCACCTTCTAGCTCATCCTTTGCAGCCCTGCCCTATGACCCATGCAGGGTCCTTCCCTGCCCTGGTCTGGCTGGCAGGTCACCCCCTCCCTCCATGGCATCCCACCAGCGTCGGGTTGGTCTCTTGGTGGCTCACAGTAGCATGTGTGTTGGGCGTTGTGTGGGAATCATTAGCTCTATCTTAGAGGAGAGACCCTGAGACTCAGAGGGGGTGAAGAAACTGTGTGGGGTCCCATGGTGTGGCAGACAGGGTCAGGATTTGAGCCCAGGTCTGCTTGAGCCCAAAGCCGATAATAGATAGACTCTGCGCTTCTGGGAACTGCCTAGCAGCATCCCCACAAGACTTGAACAACAAATACTCTTAAGTGGCAGAGTGAAGATTTGCTTATTTATTCTCATGATGACGGCAATTGAGAAGTTCTCCACAGGCCTGTTGGAGCACTAGCTGGAGGATTTTCGGGTACCTCAGGGGCTAGCCCCAGATTTTGCCTGTGCACAAGGCCCTCTGCCACCCACCTTGGCTTAGACTCCAGGGCCACGGTGAGAGAGGAGACCCAGACTCACTGTGACCACGGACAGGCATCCAGCAGGCATGAGTCCCTTTTCACGCTGGCTTTGTGTCTGGCAGGGTCCCAGTGCAGCTCTGGAACCACCACATGGGGCTGCTTTCCTGGAAGCTGGGGGGACAGGTCTGGAGGGGGCCCCTTGGTTAAGCCTGGCATGCCAGAGGGACCAGTTTGGAGGCTGCCCACACCTGTGGGAGGATCTGAAGAGTCTCCATAGGCCAGAGTAGGAAGAGTGGGGAGAGGAGGGAAAGACAGTGCCAGCCACGTGCTTCTGTCCACACTTGCATTACTGCTGGAGAAAACCGCCAATATTCCTGCCACTTGCTCATCTCTTCATTGATTCATTCATCCACCCATACGTTCATTCACTTCTCCATTTATTCCCTCCCATACTCTCCTCCCGACCATCAGTCACCACACACCCACTCAACACTGCACACCCATCCTGAGTCATGTTTGCTGGGCGGAGTTGGGGGGGCTTCATAAAAGAATAAGAGATTGTTGCTGTCCTCCAGGAACTCAACTTAAGCTACTCATCCTATTTTAGGATGATCCTCAGTATACTGTTACAGACAGGGAAACTGAGGCACAGTGAGGCTAAGGTCTTTCAACAAGTAAATGGCAGAGTTCAGAAAAGAGCTCTTAGCTTTGTGCTGCAATCTGGGGCTCTAGTCGCACAGTATACGATGGGGTTTGACTTTCCTGCGCAGCACTGCCAGGAACCAGGCTGGTCACATTCAGGTGACACTGGGAGCCTCATGCACACTGCTCCCTGTGTGGCCTGGCCTCTAGGCCATGACCTGTGCCGCCTCTGCCCTGGGTAGGGCTGGGGGGCTGCCCAGGTGCACCATTTCTCTTAGTCCAAGAGAGTTCTCCCCTGTCCACCCCTTTCCCTCCTTTCTGGCCAGGTTCTCTGATTCTCCTCCTGATTGACTTTGTTCTTTCCTCTTTTGTGTCATCCAACTCTAGGGAGATGAGGGACCCATGGGGCCACCAGGGGCCCCTGGCTTAGAGGTAAGTGCTGCTGGTCTGTGTGTGGGGGGATTTGTTGCACCGACCCAGCTTAGGGGGATGGGCGACATCTGGGTGGTGCTCTGGAGAGAAGCCATCAGTGAGGGCCTTGGGCCAGCCGGAGAGGGAACTCGGTAGTTCAGACCCCAAAGGAGAGAGGCAGGAGGCAGGAAACCAACCAGCTCCTCTTCTTTGCATTCATCTTCTTTGAATTCTCCCAGGAGAGGGGCGCTGTTTTTCTTAGATTCATTCAAGGACATCAAGGCTGCAGGAGCCGGGGGTTTAGCCTGGTATCTGCCAGCCAGGAGCCAGGGTGCCCCGCCTGTAACCTCGCACTCCGTTCTCTCCAGTGCTGCAAGGGACCTTCCCAAGGTCCTTGTCCCACCCCATCCTCCTCCCAGCCATTGCAGAAGTCAGCAGTTCATGGATTTTTTGGTCTCAAGAACTCCTGATGCTCTTAAAAATGGTTGAGAACCTAAAATGCTTTTCTTTGTGTGGGTTACATCTATCTTTCTGAGTTTAGTGATTAAAACTGAGAAATTGCAAATGTATTTATTATTCCACTTAAAATGAATAATAAACTCATTTCATGGTCACAAAAATAATAGCTTTACAAAATATAAATATATTTTCCCAAGTAAAATAGCCTAACAAAAAGAGTGGCATTGTTTCGCCATTTTTGCAAACCTCTTTAACGTCTGGCTTAAAAGAAGTCAGCTGGGCTCTCCAGTCTACTTACACATTCAGTGTTCTAATGATGCCACATGTCATGTAGCCTTTGGAAAACACTGCTTGCATTTACGAGCATGAGCATGGCACAGGTAAATGACATCTTAGTATTATTACAAAAATAGTTTTGATCCCATGAATCTCCTGAAAGGGTCTCAGGGACCCTGTCAGGGGTCTGGCCCTTCTGCCAAGTCCCTGCCTTTTCACTCCCCTTGAAAGCAACTTTCATCCTCCCTGTTTACAAAGGAGACCAGCAGGGAGAGGAGACTTGCCTGAGGTCACACAGCAGCAGATCCCCCCTGCATCCCCGGGACAGCTGGCAGCCAGTGACCTCGGGGCTCTGCCATGCTGCCCCTCCCAGCTCCTCTCACTCACCTCTCTCTGTTGCAGGGTCAACCTGGCAGGAAGGGGTTTCCTGGGAGGCCTGGTCCGGATGGCTTGAAGGTGAGGGAACTGGGATGTGGCTGGGCTGGTGGGCAAGGGGAGGGAATGCCTGGAGAAGAGGATGAAATGGGGAAGCCTGCATCTAAGGCCCCCCAGGAAAAACCCTGAACCCCATGGCCAGTTGTGAAGAACAGGGTGAAGTGGTCCCCATTTATCACAAAGTATAGGTAACAGAGAGGAAAAATGGACATATCCTAAATGTCCAACTGTGGGCTAGTGTTTAAGTGATGGGATACAATGTGGCCACTGTGGCTGGTCCGGTAGAGTGTTGTACAAGACGGGAAGTGCCTGCACATCCGGAGGTGGTGGTAGGAAGCAGGTTGTAGAATGGAACGTCATGGCATGCAGGGGCTGGTGGCACCACGTTCTTAGGTGCTCAGAGCAGAGTAGAATGTGGACAGGGTCATCTCTGGGTGGTGGGAGTACAGGAGATTTCCATTTTCTTCTTTGGGCCTCTATGTTTTCCCAATTATATACCATAAATATGTACTGCATTTGTGAACAGCTTTTTTTTCTTGAAGTCATCAAACAAGACCTGGCCGGGGTAGGAGAGTGGTGATCCTCAGCACACGGGCAGCCTTGATTAATGACTTTCCAAGGACTCCCCTTGAGAGGTGGATTTTCCCAGCCATCCCGGGCAGGGATTGTTGGGACAGGCTTACAGCTGGGCATCCCCACAGAGGGTTAGGGGAGCCTGGGGCAGCCGCTCCCTGCCCTCAGGGGAACTGGCCCCTGTGCCTACCTGGAGCCTCTGGTTTGTGAATATGAGGTCTGGGGGAAGCGCTGGGTGGAGGATGAGGCTCAAACCAGGATTGCAGCCACACTGACTGGTGAGCCGAACTCCTGGCTAGTCTGAGCCCACGTCCTGCCCTCTGAGGAGTCGGCCTTTCTCCCTCCTTTGCTACAGGGTTTCTGTGGTGGGAATGCCAACATAGCCCAGGTGGACTCGTCCCATGGGTCTGCTTGCTTTTCTGCAGCCCCTGCTGTGGGAGACCCGGGTGGCTGTGGCTGCCTGAGGAGCAGGAACCGCCACAGCATGGGGTGAGGCTGACATGCAAGGCTGAGAGAAGCTGCCAAGAATGAGCTGGAAATAGCCTGGGAGACCAATGAGTTTGATTCCCCTTCTTTACAGCTGGGGAGCCCACATCACTTGAGAGCTGGTGGCAGAGTGCTAGTGGACTAGGGTCTAGGACCCAGGTGCTCTGCTCCCTAGTTCTCTGCTCTGCCTGTGGTGGGGCAGCCTGATGCAGTTGGAATGGGAATATCAGTCAGGCAGACCCAAGTTCCAGTTCTAGACCTACCTCTAGCTTTCTGTGTGACCTCAAGCAGGTAACTTTACCTCTCTGAGCTTCAGTTGCCACCTCCACAAAACGCAGTGGGTTGATGAAGGGGCCCAAATGAGATCTAGACATTAGGATGCCGCGTATTCTGCCAAGGACCACTCAGAGGGAATGCGTGACTTGAATTGTCTCTGGGGCCAGAGGTTCTGTCCAAGTGTCCCTTTGTCCCCGCCATTTGTTTGGAGTCTCAAAAACCAAACTCGAGTTGGGGATGTCTCCCAGGAGGCCTAGACTCCCACTGTCCCTCCCACGTGGTCCTCTTCTTTGTTTCTGTGCAGGGGGAGCCAGGCAATCCTGGAAGGCCCGGGCCGGTGGGTGAGCAGGTAAGTCAGCAGCACGCCTGGAGCGTAATGGCTCCCTTCATGCAGTGCTCGCTCTGTGCATTGGGGGAGCACTCCACGTGACCCCTCATTTCATTCCCATCCCAGCTCCAGAGGTAGGTCTGCTCCTCTCTCCTTTCATTGATAAGAACACTGATGCTTAGGGAGGCGAAGTCACTGAATGAGGAAGCTGTGAATCATAGTCACGACAGCCATTCCCCACGGCCTGACTCTGCGGATGTTTTTGGGGCATTTGCCCAAATGCTTTACATGACTTTGCTCCCAGAACGGTTAAACTGGAAGAGCCCTTAACAGTTGCTGCCCATATTCATTTACACATGGGGAGGCCAAAGACCAAAGAAGCATAGCCACTTGCCAGAGGCCCTTGGTCCAGGCATCCCTAAATCATAAAGGAAACGAAGTTCCCACACAGGGCTCTGGCTAACTGGGAAGCCAGACCAAGGTCTGATGAAGAAAGGAGGTTGCAAGTAGTCTTTAAAAGGAGATTGGAGGAGGATCACGGCCTTCTTTATCAAGGGCCCAAGCCCTCGGCACTGGAGAGCGTCACGTCTGAGCACCGGCTGGACAGACAGCCTTAGTCCTTCCTCCACAGCCCGGCACCTCCTGAAAGGTTCACCTCTGGGCTAGGAGGTGATGTCAGAAGGTGGTAGTGTTCCTCACAAAGATGATGATGACCCCTTTAAAGAAGGACCTCACTCCTGAACCCTGCAAGGGGGGCTCAGGCCAGAAGGAGGAATGGTGCTGGGGACCCAAAAGAATTTGCTCCCCCAGAGGAGCCCCAACAGTGGCATGAGAGCCGCATACAACGGGTTTTTCACCAGGCCTGCAACATCTGTTTGGGGGGAAGAATGGGATTAAAGCAGGAGGAGGACTGGATTTTTGAAAGCTTTCCAGTGTCATTCAAGCACAGTCTGTGGGAAGCCCGGGAGTTTGGAAGGGCTGCTGTGGCCTGGATATGTTTCCTGACTGGAAAACAAAGGGAATATGATCAGCAGATTTCATAGTTAATTTCACAGTTCCACTGATGGTACGGCTCTCAGGAAGGAGACACTCGGAATCCTAGAATGTCAGCATAGGAAGGGTCCTTAGAAATTGCTCTGTCCTGTGGTCCTAACTTCCTTTGTGCCTGGGAGCACTTTGGCAGGCTGGTGAAGCTCATGGACCTCTTTTCAGAGTAGTTTATAAATGCATTAAATAGAAAACAAAGGATTACAAAGGAAATCAGTTATATTGAAATGCAAGCATGAGAATATGTTAAAATGTGACATGCTTCTTTATTGATGCATTCAATAGTGAGATCGAGCAGCAGGTGTAACAATGGCCTCGCTTTTTAAGTGGTGACAAGCTTAATATATTTTGAAATCTCTGCAGTAATGATGGCAGTGTGACATGTAAATGTCTGCAACAGTTACAGGTATTGTGAGGTTGTTGCCTGCAATCATATTTGAGGGAAACGCTACATTTCAATTAGAGGGTCGTGAAAATAAAAGTCATAAATTTTCCCATTCAAGTTCATGGAGCCCCTGAATTACATCCATGGACCCTTCCAGAGACCCCAGGTTAAGACCCCTGGATCCTAGTCCATGTTGGCACCCTGGGATTCATGGAGGAGAAGGGGCTTGACTAAGATGACTGAGGAAGGCAATGGCAAAGCTGGGGCCAGGAGGAGTGGCAGCCTGTGTGGAACAGCCTCATGTCCACTGGGTTAGCAGAACCCCCAGCTAGCTGCCCGGCTGGCCTGGACATAGCAGGAGAAAGACCTGTCTGAGCTGGAGCCCTGTGGCTGCCACTAGGCACCCTGGGGTGCTCCACCAGCTGTTTGTTCCCGTGGCCCCCTCCTGATGGTATGGGAAGGGACAGGCAGATTCAAAATTAGAGACGTCTCCAGGAACGATTATAAGGACTTCCTTATTATCATAGTGTCAGCTCCATTTATAGGACACCTGTCAGGTATCAGCACTGTGCCAAACATATTCTACACCATTGCCTGAAGTTCCTCTGGCAGCCCAATAGGCATAATTATCTCCATTTTACAAATGAAGAAACCAAGCCTCTGAGAAGTTAAGTAATTGCTAACACTATCCCAGGCAGTAACATGTCAGAGCAGAGGCTGACACTCAGGTCTGCTGGCTTCCCAAGACCTGCCCTGGAGGGTCTGGAAAACCTTTGACTTCCTGAGCCCTTGCAGTTTTCTAACCACCACAGTGCCCATGGCTTACCAAGCCCTGTCCTAGGTACTGGAACACAAAGACGGTGATGACAGGCATGGGCCTTGCCTTTAGGAAACTCTGTCCAGGATGAAGCCAGGCACGTAGACAACCATCCCTGAGATGCCTAGTCCAGCAGAGGACCCATCACTGTCCTCCTGCCCCTTGCATCCCCAGGGCCTAGCAGGATGTCTTATGAGAGAAGTGAGGGAGGGAGCCAACTCCCACAGCAGGCAACAGCCCCTGAACTCAGGACAGCGTGAGGCCCAGGCCAGCCTTCTCCCCAGAGCAGGGACTCAGATCCTACCTGGGCACTGCCTGCTATAGGGGACAGTGCTGCCTCTTCCCCTGTGCCCTCTTGCCAGCTCTCTAGGAGCCAGCTGTGCCCACAGCTGTCAGAGCAGCTTCTCTACCCACCCCACCAGGTGGAAGCCCTGGGCCTCTGGGGCTGGCTTCCCGGCCAGCCTTAGCTCCACCCGCAGGACAGGCCTGCCAGGATGTTCCGGACAGTGCCCCAGGGGAGTCCAGGGGCGGGGGGTGGGCAGTGGGGCACTGCTGTATGGCCTTCATTCACTGGGATCCTGTTTGGCTTCTTGTTGGAGGTTTATGACCCTCCTGCCTTCCAGGACCCAACAACTCGTAAATTTAAAGTAGCTATGAAATTTCTGCTTCTCTGGGCCAGTCCAGAAGTTTCTGGGCCTCTCAACAGAGTGGTTTTTATTCCCTCCACGAGGTGTCCTCTAAATGTCTGAGTGCTCCCTTGTGGGGAGCTCAGGCCTCTGTCTTAACCCTGTGCCCTTTTAAAATAAACCAGAACGGGATGGGAGGGAACTAAGATTTATTGAGTGCCTGCATGTGCCATGCATTATCCCCAATACTCAGAACTACCCAGGAGGTAGGGAGAGACCTTTATCTCCAGTGGCCTGCCCTTCAAATGCGGCTCAGAGAGGCTCTGCTATTTGCCCGGGGTCTCCAAACCTGACGACTGAAGGCCAATCACACTGATAAAGCGTCAGGTACTGAGTTTGGCACATAGTAAGTGCCAACTATTCTTATTAATATTGCTACCTCCTTGAAGATGCTCCAAGTTAATTTTTTTAAGCAAGTTGTTGCCAAAGTCAAATACTTGGTTATTTTCTGTGACTTATGAGCCTTGACCTCATTCCTTGTACCTTACCCCCCTCGCCTTATACTTCGACCCTGAAGGGCCTCTGAGCCCAGAGAACTAGGAGCCCCCATGTGTTGTGGTGGTGCTAGAGTGCTCTGCTCAGGGCCACGTGCTGGAGGGACAGGTACATGGGCTTCGGAGCCACACAGACCAGACAGAGCTGAATACCTGGCTGCAGCGACAAGACACACATGGTCCTGGCCTGAGCTGCTCCCTTTAAAACTGTCTGTGAGACCCACAGAGCAGACCCTTTAGAACTGGGTGCCGTTCCTTCCCTCTAGTGGACAGACAGGTTGGCCAGCTCCACTGACTGAATGTCAACTTCTTATCTGTTTCTGGTCAGGTTCAAGGTCTCATTCCTTTTTGGCTATAGTCTGGGAAGAGAGCAGGTTTTATGGGACAAATCCACTCATTCCTCTATCTTTCCTAATTTTCCCACAACCTCTTGGCTACAAACCTGGGTTCTTCTAAAGGCTTTTTCCATATTTGCAGCCTTGAACTACACAAGATCCCTCTCTGCTAGAATTTTCCCTAGCAGAGCAGAGTGTGGGTCTGAGCAAGGAATTGTCTGTACTTTACTCGATGACTCCTCTAGTCTGTTCCCCTCACTGTGTGTGCGCATGTTTGCCTGCTCAGGGGGGCAGTGAGGCCTGCAGCCACCTAGGGGAACCCCTGGAGCATGGAGGCCAGTTATCAGCCAGTGGAGTTAAAGAGCAACAGGAACCGCGGTGTGTGAGTGTGTGTGCCCTTTCAGAAAGGAGAGGAAGCTTTCGCAAGACAGTATAAAGGCTTCCACTTCCCAGATTTCAATCAGGTCTTTTGGCAGAGGCTGTTAATGGTATTTCTATTCTGACTAGCAGGTTTGTTTCTCACTTTGAAATGGCCCCAGAGCCCCAAAAGATGAGGACAGATTGCTCACAGGCAGGCCTCTTCCCAGCTGAAGGGCCAACCCCAGCCATCCCCCAAACGTGACCGCCTCCAGCCTGCCTCTGGCGCGGGAAGAATGTGTGGCGCTCCCAGGGATGCTGGCAGGGGCCCCACTGCTTGGCTCCTAACTCAGAACCATCTGGTGGAGTGAGGGAAGTCAGGACCGTGCCTGCAGAGAAGCAGCTCTCTCCTTGGTGGCGGCCGCACGCCAGCTGGCTCGACAGGCACAGGGCAGGAGGCACAGAGAGATGAGTCCACGAGGAGGGAGCTGCCTTTGCAACTCAGCACGTCCCTGAATTCATGTGGCCTCCTTTTTCTCACTTTCATAAATGTGTTTTATAGGGACTTCTGGGATTCATTGGTCTGGTTGGGGAGCCAGGAATCATGGGAGAAAAGGTAAGTTCCGCTGGGGGCAATATATAAACAAATACAGCTTGTATTTTCACATTTTAAGAGATGAATGGACCAGTTAACCTGAGGATTTCAGACCTCTAACCCTCAGTCTCTCCTAGCTCCCCTGGCATTCCAGACTCTCAAAGAGCCATTATCCCCTTTCTCCGCATCCCCTGGGGCCTCTGCCCTGCCCTCCTGTCAGCACCCCCAAGCGCAGTTGTATCTCTGTGTGACAACCAGCTGATGCATGTAGTCTGGGCCGTCGCGGCTGTCGCGGCTGGGCACTGGCCCTGCACAGAGGTGGGCAACAGAAGGGAGGTAAATGGTCATCTTTTTAAAAAAGGAGAACAAGTCTTTAGGTTGCCTTTTAAATCCTCCAGCAATTTGTTTTATAGAGCAGATAACCAAACCTTAAACAGGGGAGGTAACTTCCTTAAGGTCACTCACATGGGAAGTGGCAGAGCTGGGATTTGAACCAGGTTTAGTACCCAAGGCTCCTAAGCCACTCAGCCTTACATTGGCTCCCAGCTCACAAACAGGTTGTGGCTTCCCACTTCCCACCAGGGGCACTGGAGGGTACCTGCTTTCTTTTGTAGGCTTGTCTGATCCCTAAGCAGGTCCTCTCGGGGATCCAAGCTTATCCCTATTGGACAGATGGAGAAACTGAGGTCCAGAAGAAGGAAGCCTTTACCCTAATCTGCTCCCCCACCACCTGCCTCTCCAGGCCCATCTGTGCCTCCCTCTTCATCATTTCCTGTGTCCCAGACCCTCTGGCCACCACCATCTCCTTCTCCTCCTCCTTCCCTCCCTCCTTTCCTGTTTTCAACCGAACTTTTCCTTTTGAAGTAACTGCAGATTCACAAGAAGTTGCAACAAATAGTGCAGAAAAGGTCCCATGTGCCTTTCACCCCATTGCCTTCAGTGGTAACATCTTACATAAATATAGCGCAGTGTCAGAGCCAACTCTGGCCTCCTTCTGTTGCACAAATGTTCCATGTCCCTCCTCACCTGTGAACTATTGGTGCTGCCATCCCCTCAACCAGGTTCACCCTTCCCACGCGCACCCCTCCACCTTCTCTGCCTAAATGATTCAATTGTCCTTCAGCTCTCTTGGGTCAAGCAAGACTTCCTAAGGGAAGCCTTTCCCATCACATCTTGGAACCCAGGTGGGTCAGACCCCCTACTGAAATGCCTCAGCACGAAACCCACTCCCTCACCACACTAATAATGCCATTTGCATCTGTTTCAGTGATTTGTGTCCATCTCCTAACACTCTGTCTCCCTCCATGAGAGCAACGTCTGTTGTTTCCACTTACCATCGTATCTTTGGGAATTAGCGTATCATGCCAGGCACATATGTTATGCTCAATAAATAGGGGTGTACAAAAAATAGCCTCACAAAAACAGAGCCAGGATTCCAACCCAGAGGCCCTGCCTTCCTGCCGGCTATATCTCTGTCTGCTACACCCACTGTCTCTGCCCGGTCTGGATTGGTCACGAGAGAATGAGTGACATCTCATTTGGGGGCAAGGGGTGGGGAGAAAGAAAGAAATATCTTCTGTTGCCATCTGCACCTCAGCAAGCCCAGCCCAGGGGATGCTAGGCCTAATGAGCACCACATGACATAGGTCAGGATCAAGGGGGACAATGCAATTAGCGCATCCTTGATCTGGACCACCCCTGCACAAGGGAAGTGCACTGTGTGGCATGTTGCAATGGGATTCTGAGGCCTCCCAGGACTTGCTGGGGGTCTTGGCTTGTGCTGAATAAAATTGAGTTCCCTCCCTCTCCTGTCACCATCCTGGGGGATGTGGCTGTAGACCTTGGACAAGTCCCTGCCCTTCTTTGGCCTCTGGAAGGCCCTCTGCATCTGCCCCCCACAGAACCACCCTACAGCTGTGACCTCTCTGAATTGCTGTCTCCATCACAGGGTGACCGGGGCATGATGGGCCCCCCAGGCATGCCTGGCCCCAAGGGGGCGATGGTAAGGAGAGAATCGGCATCTCCTCTTCCTCTCTTGTCCCAGCCGCAGTGACAGCTGTGCTCTCCGCCTGCCTCCACATACTCCAGGCACTCATGATGACCAGCTCCTTCTCCCTCCAAGGCGCCTGCCTGCTGCCCTCATGGCCCTGGGCTGGGGCTGGGGCTGGGGCCAGGGTTGGGGCTGAGCTGGCCAAGGTGGGGCTGAGGAGGTTGCGGCACCTTCCACAGCTGAGTCCTTCTTTTTCATCATTCTCTTGGTAGGGTCATCCTGGAACTCCAGGTGGCGTTGGGACCCCCGGAGAGCCTGGACCCCCGGTAAGCAAAGCCCTCATGTTCCCTGAGCTCAAACCTCTTGGGCAGTAATGGTGTACAGTCCAGGGGATAATGAGTTCAGGCTGCCCAGGCCCCTCCAGAGGCCAGCCTGAGGGGCTCTCTGGGGTGTGATGAGGGAGGGAACAGGAGCCCTTGATGTTCACACACACCAGTTCTCTATGCCTATTAGGGAAACAAGGCCTACTGAGTTCCTGGACATTTCCAAGCACCTGCTGCATGAAAATGATAAGAAATAGGTCTGCTCTTAAGATTCTCACTATCTGGTGGGGTGCCAAGTATAAGCATTCTCTCCTTCATTAACAGACCTTTACTGAGCACCTACTCTGTACCAGGCAGCCCCAGGTGCCAAGCAGTGGTACGGTGGGACTAGCCTAGGGGCAAGAGGCCTGGACTTGGGTAGCCATCATCCAAAGACAGAGGTGCTGAGCACCAGGTGGCTCTGTCCGCCCCCCTCAATCCTTTTGATGAGGTGGAAAACCTTCACAAAGCTGAGTTGGGACCAGAAGCCAGCATTCTGGGCTCCCGATGGTATGTCTTCTCCCTGTTCATGAGGAGGAAGAAAAGCCACCTCTGGCCTGGGGCTGGAAGGGCTGGTTGGCAGGTAGAGACACCCAGCTTGGACTCTGAGTGTCCCCACCCACCCTGCCCAAAGGCTGCTGCCCCCTGCCTTCCACGGTGACACTGGTCCTGGTACCAGGGTCCAATAAACACTCCTGGAGAGGGGCTGATTGGATGCCTTCAGCCTGGGAGGTGAATCCCCTCCTTCCATGGCTTCCCTGACCACCTCCCCACCCTGCTCCTCAATGCCTCCATCTGTTTAATGGGTTGGCTCGGACTAAATGAAATCAGACAAGCTTGTGGCTTTCAGATCCCAAGGCTGCCGTTGAGCCTTCACTGCTGCAGTCTAGGGCTGGTCCCCTGGATTTCCTGGGGCTCCTCCTGGCCAGCCGGTTGCCCCTAGTGCTGCCGGGGAAGCAGGAGAGCCGCCAACATCCAGAAATCTGACACACGTGAGTCAGATCCTGGCCACTTACTGTCTGTGTGATTGTTAGCAACATTCATAGCTTCTCTGAGCCTCAGTTTCCTCGTCTGTAAGCCAGCACGGTACTACCTTTATTATGAAATCATTGTGAGAAAAAAATGATACAGTGCATAATACAATGCTTAGCAAATCACCCACATATACAAGTGCTTAATGACTGGTAATATAATAATTCTATTACTATTTGTTAGGCACAATTATTATGAGCATGATTTGTAAGACTGTTACTATTAGTGACATTTCTAATGATACTATTCACATCTGATTGGCATCTTCCCACTTCTCTATCCATGTTCTCCTGCAGCCTATTAAGGTCGTCCGAGATTATTATCTCCTTTATTTGGGGGAGGGGAGCCAGTCATGTTCTAGGACCTCCAGTTTCTGACCTCTTCCCCCTTAGATAGAGTTGATGACTACCCTTTACTGAAGATTCTCCATGTCATTTTGTCTTCCCCACAACTCTAGGAGCTGGGGACTCTCCTTATCCCCATTTCATAGATGATGAAACTGAGACCCAAAGAGTTTAAGTCACTTGGTAAAGGTCACAGAATTATTAAGGGGCAGAGCTGGGATCCGAACCTAGGTCTCTGGTAGAGCAGTCTGCTCTGAAACTCTACAGCCTCTTAGTCAAGACTTGGCTCCTGAAATCTCCCAGTGACACATTGCATGCCTTCCGCAGTCCGAGATCCCTCTATAAATGGTCTGTTCTCACCCAGTCTTCATGTTCTTCACCATCTGGGAGTTAGATCTGCCTGTTTATGGGGCCAAGCTTGCTCCACACCTTATTGCTCTGCTAACAGTGGGTCAGGTTGGGACCCAGCCCCTCCGTCAGCCCTGGAGAAGCAGCTGTCTGAGGGTCTGCACCCCTGGAAGCCATGAGGAGAGAGGAATGAGAGCAGCGCTAGTTTTCCTGAGGCCCCAAACGGAGCTGGGCCTCTCCTTGGTATTTGAAAGGGGGGTGAGGCTGCCTCTTCTCGTAAAGGAGCACGCCCAGTCGGGGCTGGGCTGCTGCGCCAACGGCTCCCCGCGGCCTCGGGGTGAAGGCACTGCTCGGTGTGTGCAGCTGAGAACCCAGGAGAGACGGTGGGCAGTGAGGCAGCCTGCTTCGTCTCTTGGCCTTCTTTCTCTCCCTCCCTACCCTCTGTCCTCTTCATTGTCTGTGTATTCGTGTTCCTTCGACAGATCCCTAAATCTTCATCAGGCCTGACCCAGGGCCAGGTGCTGGGAACTCCAAGCACAGGCCGCCCTTGTTATCTTCCCGCCCTCCCGTCTCTCCCTTGTGCCTCTTGTCATTCCTTTGTCAAGCTGAGATGACTGGGGGTCTTCCCCAGGCCAGGCCCTGTTCCCCACTCTTTGCTTCCCTGACCTCTCCCCCCCACCTCAGGGCTGCGGTCTGGTTCCTCCCCTCTTACCCCAGGCTGTTCCTGCCCTGGCCAGAGCCTTCTTTGGCTTTCGGATGACATCCGGTCCTGGCTGGGGACAGAACATGGGTCACTGTACTCGTCTTACTGATGGGGGGAGGAAAGGGGGAGTGGGCCGGCCTTTGAGGAGACATTTGTCAGGAGTGTCACTGTAGGTTCTGGTTGTTGGTTTTGAGATAAGAAGGAAATGGCTCATCCATCCCCACTTCTAGATTTCCAAGGAAAGTGAAGGCCCACCTGCACCCAACCCAGGGCACTGCCGTGTGCTCAACGTTGCAGCTTACTGGGTGCTTCTTCCAGTGGGTCAGACTTGTCCATGAGGCCAAGTCCTTCAATAGGGAAGCTGCTGGGCCTGGGCAGGAGCCACTCCTGAGCAGCACTGGTGTGAGGGTGGCAGGCCAAGCTTGGTCCCATCCTCCTAGCCCTCAGTGTTGCAGTTTCTCCCAAAGAAGAGGCTACTCCAAACTCTTTCTCCTCCCCACAGGGTCCTCCAGGATCTCGAGGCTCACCAGGCATGAGGGGTGCAAAGGGACGCTGGGTAAGTGGGGCCCAGCTCCAGGGCTGACCTTGGCAGGGCCACCTGTTGGGGGGCCTACCTCCTGGTCTTTGTGCCCTGCCCAGCCCTGGATCTCTGACTTTCACGGCATCAGGCAGGGGTTCCAGGCACATCCAGAGTTGACTGTAGGCATGGGACTCCCACTGGTCTTTTCCAGGCCATTTCTGAGCACCAGGTCTTGCCATCTACTGTTGAAGGCTCTGTAGATACTGTGAAGAATAGGACAGGTGTGACCCCTGCCCACCCTCATGGCTCTATCAAGTAGGTCAAACAGACAGTACAGGGTCATTAGCACATTGCTGGTGGAAGCACAGATAGCCCTGGAGCCTGGAGAAGGCACCTCACCTGGATAAGGGAAGGCTTCAGGGAGAAGGTGATGCCTGCACTGAGGCCAGATTCCAGGCAGAGGGAAAGCCCTAAGGTGAGAGAGAAGGTTTGTCATGTGTGTGGATCCTCGGTGCTTCAAAGGGGGAGAGGGAAGAGCCCAAGAATTAGCAGGTGCTGAGCCAAACAGGGTCTCAAACACCCCAGCTAGGCCTATGGGCTATGTGTTGAGGGTAGTGGGGAGCCACAGAGGGTTTTAAGCAAGGGCTGGCCTGAGCACAGCACCCAGAGGTAATTCTAGGACTTACCATGTGCCAGGCACTGTCTATCACACACATTAACTCTTTTAATCTTCAGCACTCCCCTACAGAGCAGATGCTATCCTTATTTCCATTTTACAGTCCAGGAAATTAAGGCACAGAGAGGTTAAGTCACTTGCCTCAGGTTGCACAGGTGGAACGTGGCAGAGGTAGGGAGCCCAGGGAATCTGGCTCTTTTGTATATTGAAAGCAGTCTTATTTTCAATCAGACAGGAAGGGCTGATGGAGTGGTTTCCTGCCCACCACTGGTGTGTAGGTACCGGGCCGTGCAGCCCTGTAAAAAGGAAATGAGATGACACAGGTAGAGCCGGCAGCCCAGGCCTGATGTCCAACCTCCGTACAGGGGATCTGTGATGAATATTCTCCTCTTGGCTAAATTTCAAGCAGTTTAAAATTCTCCCCCCAAACCAGATGGCCTGGGCAGTTTGCCTGGGAGAGGGGAAATTAAGAGGCATTCCTCTGGTGGGGCAGGGCCCCTCCCAGTGGCATGGCCTGGGTCTCTGCAAGTGGACCGAGGCCCATTGGCAGCCGAGTTCCACCTTCACCCTGTGCACATTCCCTCTTGCCCCAGGAAGCTGGAGGCTCAGGCTTCCCTCCCCCACTGAGCTGCCGGAGCCCAGCAGTCTCTCCAGTGCTTCCCAGCAGTGGTGGGAAGAATGTATCTCCTGCTTGAGAAAACGCAGGCTCCTAACCTCATCAAAGTCTCCGGGGCTGGGAGGGGAGCTTCAGGAACATGAGCCCCTCCCCCGTGGCTGGGTTTGGTATGCAGAACCTGTAGACCTGTAGATAGGCCCCCTGGGTCCCCATTAGCCACTTCTCAGACAGGTAACTGAGAGGCCCTAGAGAGGAACCCATGGTGCCTGCACAAGAGCTCAGTTCTGGGCAGCTCCTGGCTCGGCCCTAGCAAGGCCTTGCTGCTCTCCTGGCCTCAGTTTCCCCATATGTGCCATGGGAAATGTGCTTGGAGGTCTGCAAGGCCCTGCCTTCTCTGCCCATGTACAGGATGGGCCCTGCTGCCCCCTCACCCTCTGCCCTGGGAAGAAGGAGGCCAGGAGCAGGATAGGGCCCAGACTCTCAGCTCTTGGTAAAGTTGCAGCAGGGTCTGGGTCCCTGGGCCTCAGTTGAAAGAGAAGGGCTCTGGGGTCAGACAGGCATAGACACAAGTCTCAGCTTCCCAGCTACCAGCTCTGGCACCTGGGACCTCAGGACAGTTTCTTAACATCTCTAAGGCTCGGGGGATGACACAAGGAGGAAGTTGTTAGCACCCAGTATTTCAACTCAAGTCAGCAGACGCCCATTTTTTCTACCACTACCAGTCAGTATTTATCCCTGTGAGAGTGAGCGCCCTCTCACAGTGAGTGTGCGGATCAGGACTTAGAGGAGCCCGCCAGGAGGGCCGCGTGCCGCAGCAGAGTATAGGAGAAGGCAGTGTCTGAAGTCCCTGTCACCTGAGAGACTCCGCTCTCTCCCTCCACTGTCCATTCTGAGGGATAGTGAGGATTTTGACATTCTAGTGGCTGACACTGGACTCTGCTCCTGTGGGCAGGGCTTAGAGCTCAGCAGACCTGGCCTCAAATCCTGGGTCCTCCTCTTTGACCTTGGGCATCAGATTTTCCTTCTCTGAGCCTCTAGTTTTCCTCTGTAAAATGGGTTAGCCACAGAACCAACTTCAGGATGGCCATGGGGAATAAATCCTTCTGCCAGCGCCTCGCACCTGGCAAGCACCTGATGCGGAAGCACTGCGCTCCCTCTGGGCCATCCTCCCTTTTCACAAGAGCTGCGACTGGCCAGATTTTCTGTCCCTGGCAGGGGCTCCTCCACACCAAGCCTGACCCTGAGCCTGGCTGATGGACAGCCCCAGCTGCGATTGCAAACATCTTCCTGGAGAGCCGCTGCAAGGGAACAGACCTGTGGCTCTGTTAGAACCCCAGGCCTGCCTCCAGCAGGGGCCCCGTGTTCATTAAGGGAAGGAGAGGGTGGGACTGAGGGATCCAGAGGACACAGGACAAGCTACAGAGTGGTGCAGAGCAAGGGTTAGGGTGTAAGGCTGTCCTGGCTCCTCTCCCTGCACAGTGGAGCCAGGGAGGGAGGGTTGGGCAGGGCCCGTTGCCTCCTCCTCCCTCCAAACAACAAAGAAAGATTGGTCCTGTTTGCCCCAAGCCAGCCGCAGCTTCTCCCTGAGCTCTCTGGTGCTTCCAGGGGATGCAGAATCTCCTAGGTAACAGGGATTTTTAAACATTGTCTTTTCTAACACTCTGCCCCATTACAGAGCCTTCCTAACAGGCTCCTCTGGGCCCTGGCCTGCCCACTCCCTGTGATGGGGAGCTCACTCCCACACTGAGAACAGTGACAGGTAGTGGTGGAAAAAATGGTCATCTGACTGAGTTGGGGTCACATTCTAGGTCCTCCGCTTACTAGCAGTGTGAGCACAGGCTGCTTCCTTCTGTGTAAAATGAGGATGACAGCTTTCACTGTTATTGCTGCTACTATTACAGAGAACATACCATTTCTCCCAGAAAGGCTTCCACTCTAAGGACAAACAGGATAATGCTGTGTGATTCAGGCCAAGCCATTGACACCTGTGGGCCTCCACTCCAGTCCCAGAGCAGCCCTTTCAGGAAAGTTTATGCCTCAGCTAGAAACAGAGGCCAGGGGCCAGAAGTCATCATTCATGAGGGTCCAGATGCCCACCCATTAGCTCAGTCTCTGTCCCAGCTTCTGTGACCTGGGATGCCCCCACCCCCCGCCAATCTCCACCAGGCCCCTGCCCATGAATCGGCCCAGGGCGGGGACAGGGGGTGAGGGGGTGGCAGTGAGTCTAACACATAGTCTGACAGTGTCCATCCGAGACTGAACCCCAGAGAGGGGAAGGGTCACACAGCAAGCCAGCAGCAGAACAGGACCAGCACCCACACCCTCTAATCATAGCCCATCTTGAATCTGTGAAAACTTGGCTGGTTCTCTGTGGCTTCCTGTAAAGTGCCTGCTGTGAGGAAGGGGCTGAATCCAGCTTTGCCAAGCCATTCCTCTGTGTCACTGTCCCTGGGGAGCCCTCAGCCACCTCCGGCAGAACCAGGTATTACTGAGCACTTACCACAGGCCGGGTGCTGAGTTGTCTGCATTATCTCCTGCCTTAAGGGAGAAATTTCTCATCCTCATTCCAGACATGAAGTAACTAAGGCCCAGTCTTCTGTCCCTGAGATGCAACATTTTCTAAGCACCACTGTGCCTAGTACTGGACCCTCGTGGGCCCTGGGCCTGGGCCTGGAGACACTGGGAACAAACCCTTCTGGACCACTGGCTGTAGCCGTGTGGTCTCCTGTCCTAGGTTTCTTTAATCAGCGAGGTGCTATTTAAGGCTGTGGTGTGGCACTGAAGCACCGGGAGCTCCAGACAGCTGATAAGAGAAATTGTCACCTTTTTTGGCTGTCATTAATTGAAAAATTTTAAATGATTTCTCTTTGTTCCATCTTCACATCCCTCATCCTTCTTACACCCAGACATGTCCCAGCCCCCTTTTATGGCTGGTCCCCACACTCCCAGGCTGGGGTAGGCAGCCCCCTTCACAGGATCTCCTTTGTCCCCCCAACACAGGAACAAACACCACTCTGTTCTCCATGGGGACTTTTTCCAGGGGACCCTGTCCCATCTGTGTCTCTGTGGGAGTCTTCATGGAGGGGGTCACCTGGGGCAGTGGGTAGAACCCTGGAGGGGATACAGCTGCTTATGTGTTAAGGGACCTTAGACAAGTCACTTCCCTTGGCTGGGCCTCTGTCTTCCCATCTGTGCAGTGGGGGAAGGGGGTGTATTCCACCTGCCCCAGGGTCCTCCCCCCAACAAGACTCCTGAGCCCAGAGCTCCAGGAAAAGCAGCGTGACTTCTGCCCTCTTCCTGCCCCTCCTCATATCAGCTATCCCTCCATATGCTGGGCCAAATTAACTTGCACATCTGGCTGGAAAGAGGGCTGCTCCACACATCTGGCTACATGCAGACCCTCCCCAGGTCCTTCTCTGTGAGTTTCCCCAAAAGGCTATGGTCCACACACCTGTTTCTGCCTCATGTATACTCTGGGGAGAGAGTGCAACAGCAGAAGCTAAAGCTATAGAGACTTGACCATGTGTCTGTAGGCTCTGGACCTCAGTCTCCATGTCTGTAAAATGGGCTGGCTGGCTGACCCCCATGGTCTCTTTAAAACAGCATCCCCATTCCAGAAAGGGAGGGCCTCTAGCTGAGTCCACCCATTCTGAGCCCCTGCAGAGCCATCTCAGCAGGCACATTGCACGTGGGTGAACCACCTCAGTGGGGGATGTGCAAGACGTAGGGGGAGAAGGGAGCCCCAGGCTTGTGCAGGGAGAGGCTCAAGGCCGTAGGCAGCCCTGCCCTCCTGGTTCCCAGGCCAAGGGAGACCCCTGCTGTCCACTGTGCTAGTCCCTTTTTCCTATTCCAGGGCCCCCGAGGACCAGATGGACCAGCTGGGGAGCAGGGGTCCAAGGGCCAGAAGGTACCAACCCCCATGGCCTGCCCTTCCTCACCCCTCCCACTCTGGGTCAGGAGCCCAGGAACCAAGGCTCATACCTTCTCAGCACCAGACCCTTTGGGGACAACAGGGAGCCCCAGAAAGGCTGCATAGCACATTCTTGAGGGCTCATCCGGCCACTCCTCCTCTGCCTGGAGGGGGGATATCATGGAGACAGAGCAGAGAGAGAGGGGGGTGGAATGAGGCAGGCGGGAGGAAGCCAGAATGAGAGGGAGAGTGGGGAGGAGGCACACGTGCCCTCTGGCCCCTTCCCTGGGATCCCCAAGCCCCTCCAGGGCCCCTGAGAGCTCAGACTCCTTCTAGAACCATCAGGAGCAAGGGAGCCTCAGTTCTCGGTGCAGAACACCTGGCAGCTATGGAGAGCCACCCCCTGGCCGGGCCTTCGTTCTCCCACCTGCACAGTGGGGAGGAGGGTGGGTACTGCCACCCCGCCGGCTCCTTTCCTCTCCCACGGAAGTATGGGTCCCCTCTCTGTGAAGGGGCCTCCCAAGCCCCCTCTCGCACCTTGCATGCTCTGCTCATTGCAGGGCCCTCCAGGACCACAGGGCAGACCTGGCCAGCCTGGGCAGCAGGTATGTCGGGCTGAGACTGCCAGCCCCACCTCCCCGCTCCCTGCTTGGTGACACACGCCTCTAATGAACCCAAATGTGCTTCCAGGGTGCAGCTGGCGAGCGAGGGCACGCGGGTTTGCGAGGCTTTCCTGTAAGTAGCACCAGTTCTTGAAATTCCATGGGCTTTGCAGGGAGATTGTAGCCACTTTAGCCAAGTTCCCATCCTGCTGTGGAAACCCCAGAGATTTTAGTTGTCCACACCCCATGCTGAAGACCCTCCAGCATGTCTCTTCCCCCACAAGGCTCAGTCTCTCCATCTTTCACATAGCAGAGGGTAGGGGTAGGACCCTCATGCATTGCGAAGGCTTGACTGAGGCCAAGGTTACAGGCTGGGTGGAGAAGGCCATGGAGGGCCTACGGTCACCTTTGTTTCTGCAGGGTATCCCGGGTCCCTCAGGCCCCCCAGGCACCAAGGGCCTCCCAGGAGAACCGGTAAGTGCCCTTTCCCTCCCTTTTGGCATCTTTGCCCCGGCAGGCTAGCCTCAGGTGGGCCGTGCACCCGAGGGCGTGGCCAGACAAGGAGAAGGCTTGGAGAGGTGCCCTCCTGGGGCAGGCCTCAGTGGTAGAGACGGCACTGGCCCAGGACATCAGGGGTTCTGGGCTGGAGTCTAAGCTGTCTTGCCTTCCAGACTCAGTTTTCTTGCCAGAAAATGGAAATATGTATCCCTACCTTGCCATCCTCTTGGGACAATGACATCAGAAAATGTAGATAGAGCGCTTAGCAGACTGAATAGTGGAGGGAACAGTACTTCAAGTCTCTGAGAGACGGAGGATGAAAATAAATAAGCAGGCCACTGGGAGCTGCAGAGTCCGGTGTGGCTGGGAGGAGAGAGCTGCCCATTGAGGGAGACAGGAGGAGGTCACAGGGGCTGGCTCCCCAAAGTCCTCGAGAGCATTCGCTCTTTATCCCAAGGGCAGTGGGATCCACTGAAGGGTTTGAAACGGAGGTGACCCTTCATAAGATCTCCCTGGAAGAGTGGGTTTGGGGGTGCCTGGGGAGGATGCTCTGCTGAGGTGGAAGTTTGCAGAAGTGGATCCAAGGTGGAAGAGCATCCAGGCAGAGGGAACAGAGTGAGCAAGTCTCGAGAGCTAGAAGGCTCCTGAGCAGGGGAGGCCAAGCTGGGTTTTAGGTAGGTGAATTAGAGGGTGTGCAGGTGGGTCAGAGGGGATATGCTGGAGATGGGTGGTGGGGAGGAAGCCACAGACCCCAGGACCTCAGCATGGTGGGCTGTGGGAGGAGGGGCGTGGGCTGCAGGGTCCCAGCTCTGTGTGTGCTCTCCCTCACCACCCCCTCCAGATGGCATTCTGAATCTGCAGACCCCAAAGAGGGTGCAGGGCTGCCTTCTCCCAACTGTATCTGTCTGTCTTCCAGGGCCCTCAGGGACCCCAGGGGCCAATGGGCCCTCCAGGAGAGATGGGACCCAAGGTGAGTGCTGTGGGACCCTTGCTTGTCCCCTGATGTTGCTGGGGAGGCAGCAGTCCCTCCCATCCTCCTCCTGAGGCTTTGAGAGGGCCTCAGGTACCCCTCCCTTATCCAGAGGAGAAAACTGAGCCCCAGGGCTTGTGCGAGGGCTGCAGCCACAGCAACGGTGATACCTCGGGACCCCTTCCTGCCCTCGTAATCCTGGCCTGGCTGCAGAGAGAAGGGCTGGAATCCCTCAGCCCTGAGTATATAGCCTTCATTGGCTTCCTCCCCTGCTGTTAAGTGAATCATGAAATTTTCCTTCCTGTGCTTGCCAAGGGGCTCCTAATGTGGTAAACCACACTCGTGGGGAAGGAGAGGGCTCCAGCAGCCACTGGGTAGCCCCGAGGCTCAGCAACCTAGACCCAGCCACCCTCTCCCCCAGTCCTAGCTCCAGGATCTGAGAAGGCCACAGCATGCTCCCAGCTCTCTGTCAGTCTTGCTGTGTGACCTCAGGCATGTCCCTTGCCCTCTCTGAGCCTGCCTTAGTTACTGGCCAGCCCTTGCTCTAGGAGGGACTAATGGCATTTTCTTGTAGGGGCCGCCAGGTGCAGTAGGAGAACCAGGCCTTCCTGGGGAAGCTGGGATGAAGGTAAGTCAGCATGAAAGAAGAGAAAAATGCCTTGTTGAGACCAGCTCCCAGCTGGCGGCCACGTCCTCCCTACGGAAAAGAAATAGCCTTTCTTGTGCCCGGGATAATAGGTTCTCTGTGCCGCCAGCTGGGGAGTAGGTCCTGGCCATGGCTGCAGCTGAGGGCCCCGCCGGCCTGGAGCCCGCACCCCTGCCCCCTCCCCCCCGCCCAGTGATGTTTGATCTGGCACCTGCCCCACACCGGGGCTGCTGAATCTCCTGGCCTCCCAAGATACCATCTGCATTTCATCCCCGTGCCCCTCATTACCTGCTGGGAAACAGGCACCCATTGAAACCCGGGCTCTGGGGAGTGCCCCCTCCCTGTGCTGCTGTAAGAAGAGGATGCAGCTCCCTGTGCAGGCCCTGGGGCTGATGAGCGATGCTGGCTGCCTGAGGGCACTGTTGGGCAGGGCCTGGGGGAGCCCTGAGGGACTGTGGGGCTTGAGGCCGATCACCCCTGCCTGTGCCTGAGTTTCCCTGCCATTCGGAGGCAGCTGGACCAGGCCTGGGACTTCATCTTGGCTTAGTGCCAGCGTCCTTTGCTCGAACAATGCAGGAAAGCACACCATGTATTAAACAGAAGGGGCAGCCCTGGGGGCTCAGAGCTCCATCTCCTTGTGCCTCTGGACACCAGTAGGGAGGGAGTACAGTTTGGCAACCCCCTCATAAGAAGATGTTTTTGGGGTGTTTTGGGGGCAGGTGACACTTATTCTGGTTTATTTAAGGGCCTCTTCCTCATCTGGGTTTCTCTGCAAGGCTCTCAGGGAGAGTAAGGAAGGCAGTTGGCTGCAGGGTTGCCATCCCTGCGTCTGACAGTCCCCAGCCAAACTGCCCAGCTTGGGTCGTGAGCCATCCTCATTAGCCCAGGGGCTTCTCCGTTTGTAAAAGACCCCTGGCCCAGCAGGGTTGTCATGAGGACGAAATGTGTGACATGGAAAGGTACTCATAACAGCTCTGTGTGAGTGTGAGCTGTGCGGGTGGTGGTGGTGGTCCTGAAAGAGGGACCTTGGTGGGCATTTCACGATTTCTCTTTGGTCCTTGGGAAGAAGGAGCTTCTCCAGCACCCCCTCCCCACATGAGAGCTGGTGAGAAAGGAAGGTGTGTGGGGGTTGGGACTGGCCCTACCCACCTCATGGACTTGTGTCTGGCTTCTCCTAGGGTGACCTTGGGCCTCTGGGTACCCCTGGGGAGCAGGGCCTCATTGGGCAGCGGGTAAGTTGAAGCAAATTCATCCTCCCTAGAAAGCCACTCCAGGGGTGTTTGGGTGGGAGAAGGGCTTTCCTAACCTCCCTGAGCCTCAGTTTCCTCAGCTGCAGAAATAGACCATGAATCTCTACAGCCACATCCAGTCTCTTCTGGCCAGCATTGCCACAGGGTAGAGGCACTCTTCAAACAAAAGCCATCTGTAGTTAAAATGGGTAGACTCACTGCATGCCTGGTGTTCTGTCTTACACATTAGCTGTAGCATTTTCAAGGCTCTGAGAAGGCCTGCAACCAAGAAATTGATTCCTTTTGGATTAGTCTAGGGTCCCCAAACTTATTTGACCTCCAAGCACTTTTCTTGTAGAGTACCTGTTATCATTCCTGGAAACTTCTGTGGAAGGTTATCTTCCCCTTTTCCAAAAGAATCCCACACAGCTCGTCTTTCTCTGAGAAGCTTGAGATGCCTCTGTGTCTGCCTCTTCATGCTCTATATCCATTTGTAAGGTCCCTGCCTGAATGTGGCTCCCAGACTGCTGTGAGGGATACAGAGCAGGCATCCTCTAGCCCCCTACAGGTGGAGAAGGTGGGCCCCAAGAGTGAGCAGTCTCAGCTCATGGGACCCCCAGTCCAAGTCCTCATTCTCATCTTTCTTTTTTTCCAATGCCTCATGCTATCCCCTGCCCAAAGCTAACAGAACACCCACAAATTGACTTAAGACAGAATGAGAGGGGAAGGCCACAGGCCAAGAGAGGGTGAGTGTGGAGCTTGAAGCTCTGAGATGGCAAATCTTACCTGTCGATGAAGATTGATCAGTACGGTTTTCTTAGAGTTGCCATGTTAAAAGCGAGGCAGGTGCAGTAGGAAAGAGAATGATGAACCCCCACGTGATGCCCACTGTGTGCCAAGCACTTCCCTCAAGGCACTGGGAACGCAGCAGTGAGTAACAAAGGCCTTGTCCTTGTGGAGCCACATTCTAACAGATCAATTAGTGATGCCTGCCTGGGCACAAGAAGGGGAGAATATACACACCTGTCACATCTTTGCCATCCCTGCATTTGGTGACATCTGAGTCCCCTTCCAACTCCAATGTTGAACAGCTATGAATTCTTAAAGGAGAGAGAGACCCTAATTTGAGAGACTTAATTTGACAGCCATTAAGAGAACTGAGGAGTACAGGGGCATCTCTGAAGCTAGAAGGGCAAGCAGGGAACCTGGCTGAGGGTCAGATGGGGATTCAGGGTCTTGGTATCCTTCCCAAACTTGCTGCAGGAAAGTCTGAGGGCTGGCCTCACTTTCCTCTTCTGAGAAATGGGGTTCCACCAATGAGTTCCATGAGGGCTCACTCCAATTCCAGGACTAATATATCTAATGGCTACCATTGGTGGGGTGCTTACACTGTGCCTTATAGAAATTCCTAAAGAAAGTGGTATCGGCCCCATTTTCAGATGAGAAAACAGATGCCCGTGGAAGCTAAGGAGTTTCCCTGTGGTCAAGCCTCTAGTGAATGGGCAGCCTGTGGGAGCATTCAGCACTGTCTGACTTCAAAGCTTTACTTGACCACTAAGCCACACTGCCTCCCTCGTCCAAACAACCAACTGGACATGGCTACTCTGTGACTAGCACTTTCTAACTCATGACCTCTTATAGCCCCTGCTGCACTCCACCCTGCAGACAGGGTGGGCTGTGGCTTAGGGATCAGCTCTTTTCTGCAGAGCTGAGAGCAGGTACCTCAACCCCCTGCTCACTCAGTAATTCAGCCACTGTTTACTGGGCACCTGCTGTGTACCTGGCCCTCCAGGACCCTACTGCCTAGAGACTGGCATCTGGGGTCCTGCCCCAGGGAGGGGAGGAAGTAGAAACATGCTGGGGCCCCCTCCCCTTGATGTCTCCTCATCTTTCCCCACCAACCTTTCCAGGGAGAGCCAGGCCTTGAGGGTGACAGTGGCCCTGCAGGGCCTGATGGGCTTCAGGTAAGTGTCCTCTGTCTGGTGCATCTGGGAAGCAAGGGGGGTTCTGGGACTGCCTCTGACCTCTGCCCCCACTGCCTTCCCATCTAAGACCTAAGTTTCCTCCCAGGAGCACTGTATTTCCACAGAGCTCTGAGAGCTGACCTCCAGCTCCCATTGAGAGCAGGGTGAGGGAGGGAGAGCCCTGTCCCAAGCCCACTGTCCCCTACCTGCTCAAGAGGGGCTGAGGGTCATCCCCGCCTTCCACTCCTAACTGCTGCCATTCTAGAAACTGAAGCTTCTCCCAGCTAAGGGTGGTACCTGAACACTTGATCTATGCCAGGCTCAGGGCCAGCAGCTTTGATGCCTATTATCTTTCAAACATCCTTAAAAATCAGGAGAATAGTAATTACCACCCAAGACCTCTAGTCACTATGGAGGACTAGTCACATATGTGTCTGGTGCTATGCGAAGCCCTTTATATGTATCACCTTGATCAATATTATGGGGTAAGTTCTGCTGGTGGATGAAGAAACTGAGACTCAGAGGGGCTAAACAACTTGCCCAAGAACACACAGCTAGCAATTGGCACAGTGAAGACCCAAGCCTTGGCTCCTATTGATACCTCTCTAAATGTGTGGAGACTGAGGCTCAGAGGGAAGCAGAGGTATATTCATTGAGAGTCTATGACTATGAGCGGAGAATACAAAATTAAAACCCAGGGCTCACTAGCACCAAAGGATGTGGGCCTAACAGCCCTGCTTTGTCCCATAGATTTATCTGTAAGCCACAGATGCTGGGACTCTAAGCAGACTGGGCCTCCCCCGAACATGGGTTCATGGACATTTCTTTCTGACTTACCAGCCCCACCAACATCCCAGGGCTGTCCCTGGCCTCCATTCCTGACCCAGTCCTGGACCTATATGTGGGCTTTTCCCAGTGTGGACATGTCGTATGGTATGAGTCAGCTCCCCAGCCAAGAGTCCCAAGTGCCCCATCCCAAAGGATTCCCCTTGTTACCCATTTACTCTGCATGGTACCACAGATAAGCACTCCTCTTCTCTGGGCCTCAGTTTCCACATCCCCCAGATCTCCCCGCTACTGCCCCATCTGCATAGTTGCCCTTGGTCCAGGGCACCCCATCTCCTGGGATGCCTCCATGACAAGCCCTTGCCTGGCTCCCCACCTGCCCCGGGTTTTTCCTGCAAGGCTGAGAGCTCCCCCTGTCTGTCATCTGCCTGCCTTCTCTCCCTTCCAATCCTGCTGCAGCCTGGGGTTCACCCAGGTCTGGCTCAGGGCACCCACAGCACTTGACAGCCCCACCACACGCTTTGGCAAGTACCCTCTTGAACTGTGGTGACGTTGAAAAACATCCTGGCTGAAAGGCTTTGTGTCCTGACCATGTGTTTGCACCACCTGTCTTAGGAGCTTTACATGGATTAACACATCTAATCCTTCCAGCGGCCCTAGGAGCTAGATTCATTACCATCCCCGCTTGACAGATGGGGAAGCTGAGGCACAATGCAGTGGCCTCGTCCACCTCTGGGCGGCCACCTTTCTTCTTGGAACCTTTGCTGGGGTGGGGTGGAAAGGGGTCTTCCAGGCTTGGGTGCTTCACAGTCCTTCCTGCTCACTTGGCCCTGTTCCTCAGCCCTGGCTGCCCCCTCTCACTGCCCCCAAAGCCACCTCCCCAGACCTCAAGCCTGAGTAGTTGCACAGATGTACAATGTCTTCCCTGTTCCTTGCATGAATCCCAGGTGAGAATCTGTTTTCTTTATGGTATTTGTCCAAGAATCATCTGTATGGTGAGAACAACCTCGTGGGCCATGCACAGCATTCTATAGTTTATAGGGTGTTTTTATGCTGATTATCTCTTTTAAGTTTGCTGACGACCGGTTAATGGTGGGTCAGAGTGGTGGTGACTCCTGGTAATAGCTAACCTTTATCTAGCACTCATGCCAGGTACTATGCCAAGCTATTCTCTGCTTTCAATCCTCACAGTAACCCTTTGGTACTTTTTACAAAGGAGGAAACTTGCTCAGGGTCGCACAGCATTGAGAGGAGGCAGCAAGATTTGAATTTAGGCAGCACAGTCCCAGGGGTGAGGGGTGTATTGTCCACTGCGCAGAGAACCTTGGAATTAGAAGAAGTCAGAAGCCTGTGGTTTCACCCATACTCTGCCCCTGACTAATCTGTGGTGTTGGGAAGTCTCCACCTCTCTCTGGGCCTCAGTTTCCCCATCTATAAGTTGAGAGGATTGAGCTAGGCAACTTCTAAGGCATTTCTGGTGCTGGTAGATTCCCTAGGATTCTGGAATTCTCCAGGACCCTCCTGAGTCCACTCTGCATGGGATGCACAAGGACACCATGCAGTCGTGTGGGAGCCCAGACGGCGGGGGTTCAGGGTGGTCCCTGGAGCTAGAGCCCCTCACTGAACCAGCCCAGCCCCTTGAAACAGGCTGCCTGCCTCTGCAAGCCAGGAGGGCAGTTGGCCAGGGTCAACAGCCAGCGGGAAACCCAGGAGCCTCAGCGGTCTGCAGTAGGGCCATCACGGTCATCTCGGTGAAGAGACCTCAAAACCCCATCTGTCTAACACTTCCCTGGTGTGCAGATCGTCTGCACTGGCTCACACCTCAGCTTGGAGCCTCCCTCCGTCATCTGTGTCCCCGTTTCCAGACCCCTCTCTATTTGGGAAGTCCCCCCCAGCTGAGCTAGAATCCCCCGTCCCCAACAGCATTTGCCCCAGCAGTCTCCTACGCAGAGCCCAGTCCCCAGCAGGACCATCCTGTTCCCGGGCTCTGGCTTTGTGCCTCCCGCACCCTGCTCTTTTTCCTGGATGCACCAGTATATCGGTGTCCCTCGTAAAGTGTGGTGCTAGGAAACAAAACAGGCCAAGACTCTCTGCTTCTCCAAGCCTGCGCCCACCCACCCCTTCCTCCTCCCTGTGACTTCATGCCCTCTCCCACCGGCCTCTAACAGTCACAGCTCAGTCACACTGGCCAGGGACCCCACTGCACCTGCCAGCCCTGATGGAGGTGGCCTTCTGACAGGCACTGCCCTGCTCCTCGCGGCAACTGGCCCTACTGCACCACTCACACCTCTGCCCGCGGGGCCAAGGGCAACAGCCCTTGCCCCATCCTGGCCCAGCCTAGCCTGCCAGAACATGGCCTGGACATGGCAGGTGCCGTATAGGTGCTCACTGCCATCCATTCGACAGAGGATGTGTTCAGCAGCCAGTAGGAATGAGAACCGTGCAGAGCAGACAGCCAGGAGAGAGCATGCTCACAGCAGAGGAAGGCATTAGTGATGCAGAAGGCCGACCCGGCAGTCCAGTTGGATGATGCCTTTAAGGCTTATTTGCTGCTAACTAGCCTCACTGCTCTGGAACAGTTGTTGCGCTGCTCTGAGCTGGTACACAGCAACTGACGCTGTTACCTAGTACTTAGTATTATTACTGTAAACCATTTTCATATAAGTGAGGTTTAAAAATGCAACTCAGAAAAATGGAGTTAGTTCTGAGAGGAAGAATTAGGTGAATTTTTTTGCTTTATAAAAATTTCCTTCAGTTTCTTAAGACTCTTGTCCTCCCAATGTGTCTGTGTTGGGGGGGAAATAACTCTAGTCTCCCAATCCTGCCCCCTCCCCGTGAACTCCCTCCCTGTGAGCCACTCCCTCCCTGGCCCGGGTGCTGAGGACACTAGAAACCTCCATGTGGGAGGGGTCCCCTGTCTGGCCGGGCCATGCCAGCCTGACTCTTTCAGCAGCTTGGGAAGCCTTTTGGGAATTGCAGGGCTGACAGGCTATGGGCACCCAAATGGAGCCCTGAGGTGTGGTGCCTCTGATGGACTTGGTGACTTGTTCATACTCTCTTCCCTCCTCATGCCCTTCCAACCCAGGGGGACAGGGGTGACCCTGGGCCTGACGGTGAACGTGGCGAGAAGGGTCAGGAGGGACTGATGGGTGAAGATGGGCCTCCTGGCACCCCTGGCATCCCTGGCGTCCGGGTGAGTGTGCATGGCTATGCCGTCCCTGGGGGCTCCCGAGTGGAATGACACTCGGGTTTGTTCAGTTAGGCAGGGGGGCTTTTGCCAGCAGCCACCTAAGGGTCTAATGCTGTCATCCTTCCCCCACCTGGGAGTTTCCCAGAGAACCAGTCTGATGTTCCTCCCCTGCCTAACCCTCCCACAGCTCCCGAGGGTCCTCAGAAGAACATCACTTCCCTTAGTTTGGCTGCTGGGCCTCACACAAACCTGGCCTCTGCTGACTTTGTCCTGCCCACCCCCCACATTCAGCCACCCTGCATTTAGCAGGGGAATTCAGCAGGAGGGGCACTGGCTCTGATTCTCCATCAGTAACGCTGTGTGACCTTTCACTTGCCTTTGCCCTCTCTGGGTCACATCCTTGGTATAAAAAAGACCTTTGGAAGGAATATGTGCTGAGATCACTTTGAGTTCCAACGTCCCAGGGGCTCTTTCTTGATGAACTTTTGAGCATCATGGCTGTGGAATGGGCAGCAACATGTACAGAAATAGCTACGGACCCAGAGTCTGAAGACAGTTCTGGCATAAGCACACACTTTCTATGTGACCTGGGGCAAATCAGTGCCTCTCCCTGAGCCTTGGTTTTCTTATCTACAAAGAGTCAATGAAATTTTAGACAGGAGAGCACTTTATAAAATGCACCAGAAATGTAGGAGATTGTCTTTATGGATTCGGAGGAGGAAATGACTAGAAGCTACGGTTGTAATGATGGTGGAGATGGTGAAAATAGCAGTAGTGACCATAGTGGTGACTGGTGGTGGAGACGGTCGTGATGGCGGTGACGGTGGTGGAGATGATGGTGGTAAGGGTGGTGGTGGAGGTGAAGTGATGGTGTGAGGGTGGCAGTGTTGGTGATGGTGATGGCCCTGGCGGTGGTGACAGTATCCATGGTGATGGGGGGTGTGGTGGTGGGGGCAGCAGTGTTAATGTCTGTATTTGCTGTCACTCCCAATTCCCATATAGTGGGACTGGAAAGAGGTTCGCTGGGGCCAGACTGTGTATGTGGTGGGTGACAGAGGTGTTGAGAGGCTCTTTGGCATCAGGGCTGCAGGACAAGTATCTCCCACTCTGTGGCCTGGAAACACTGGAATATTTAAAAATAGAATTTTATGAGCTATCAGGACCTTTCCAGAAATACATCTAAATGGATGGGGGCCCAGCAAGTCTTCGTTCTGGCCCCATAGCCTCACCCCAGGGGAGGCTCCAGCCCCTACTCAGGATTTCCCACACAGTGGGGATGCTCCCAGCTGGAGGGGGCTGTCAGAACACGTGGCTGGCTGCCCTGGCCGTGGGGAGACTCCCGTCTGCCTGGCCTTGGACTGAATTCTTCAGCACTGACTCATTCCTCCTTCTGACAGGGGATCAGCATGGCAGCCTCAGCCCGGTGGTAAATTCCACCAGCCCCTGTACTGTGGTTTCACAATCACCCAGACAGGACCAGCCTGCAACAGGGGTGCCCCGGACACTAAAGATCCCCATTTCATTCCAACCTGGCTGGGTGACCTGCGGACTGTGCCTTTATCTCACTGAGCCAGTTCTTTAGCTCTAAAATGGGATAAATAATCCCTTCTCTGCAGCCCTGTGACCAGAATTGGGTGAGATTTGATACAGAGTGCCTGGCCGTGGCTAAAACTGTGGTAACTATCAGTGTTTTATCACTAGTGGAATAGGAGACCTTGATATTCTCTAGTCCAGAATATGAACTATGTGTGTAGTTTAAAATTTTCTAGTAGTCACATTTAAAAAGATAAAAAGAAATGGGTGAAATTAATTTAATAGAACATTTCATTTAGTACAATATATCCCAAAATACTAATATTTCAACATGTAATCAATATAAAAATCAGTAATAAAATTTTGCTTTCTTTTTTTGTCCTAAGTCTTTGAGTTTGGTATATAATTTTTGTTACAGAACATCTCAATTCATCTAAATTTTCATTGAAAATATTTGACCTGTATTTAGATTTCATAAAATGTACAGTTGAAGATGTAGCTTCATATCCCCAAGTTGTCCCAAACATACTTAAAAGTTTTCCCAATAACTGAATTATCAGTTTTAACTTTAAATTTATTACAGTGAAATCAAAGTAAAATTTCAGTTCCTCAGTCACAAAAGAGACATTTCAAGTGCTCGGTAGCCCCATGCATCATGAGGCCACCATACTAGACAGGACAAGGGTGGTTCAAGACCTTCATATTGGAGGTGGGGAAACTGAGGCACAGAGAAGGAAAGGGACTTGTCCAGCATCGCATGCAGACTCAAGTATCAGGATGCAGGGCAGTCTGTGCTTAGTCCTTCCAGGGCCACACTCCCCCTTTTCTAAGGGTCCCAGGGTCGTCTGATGAGCACTTCCCTTTGGGACACAGTCATCTTCCCCAATCCACTTTTGCCATGTTGTGTCTTTTGTGCAGACACTTCTCCCTTGTACTGAATCAAAGCTGGCCCCCCCTGTAATTTCCATCCACCAAGCACCCCAGACAATGCAGCTGCCCCTGCCCATGGCAGCTGCAGAAATCTGCAGACAGGAATCAAGTCCCTCTGGGCTAGCCCAGGTGTTTCCTTGTTCCTCTAGGATCCCTTCTTCCTGCCCCTCGTCTTACCAATTAGTCAGTGCCTCCTCTTGGAGTACAACGCCTATTCCACTATGGGACCGTCACCTCCCTCATCCTATAGCATGTGCCTCTGTTAATGCAGCCAAAAGGATTGAATCAAACCAGTTCTGTCGTGCTTGCCAAAAACACCGAGATTCCGAGCCCTATTTGATTTTTGAGCCTTGGGGGAACTGCCCTCTGGGGGCATTTGGGCTGCCCTACTCCTACATCCCAACCTAGTGTGGCCCAAGGTCAGGACCACTTTCTCAATCTCTTCCTGTCTCATCTCTCTCACACTCACACATGCACACTTACACACACTCACCCCACACTGAATTGAGTTTCCCTGACAACTGTGGAGACAAAGGCAGAGTGGCCCCAGGGGAGCAGCATTTTGGGATGCCCTGTGAGGGCAAGAATGACCTGTTTGGAGAGAGCTCAGTGTGGAGAGCTGCTCCCACTGGGACAGCCTGGAATACTGTGCCAACAGTGATATATGAGCAGTTATTATGGGCCAGGCACCTTGTAAGCCTGATACTGCATCACCAGGTTGATGTGGGGCAAATAGGACCACTGTCCCGACTGTGCAGACAAGGACCTCGGTCACAGGAAGTCAGGTCACGCTCAAGGTCACCCAGGTGCTGGGTGTGGAATCAGTTTTGAGCCCAGGCAGTCTGCGCTCTAATGCTCCATGGATCTGCCTCGGTGGTTTCATTTCAATCTTTCTTTTTTCCTTCCTTCTCCCTTCAGGGGCCTGAAGGAAAACCTGGGAAGCAAGGCGAGAAGGGCCGGACTGGTGCCAAGGCAGGATCCCCCTGCTCCCCCTCCCTGCCTCCCCTCCCCCAGCCCTGCCCTCTCCCTCTCCCTCCTGCTTGGGCCCGGTGACAGCCGTCTCTTCCTGCCGCAGGGTGCTAAGGGTTACCAAGGACAGCTGGGTGAGATGGGCGACCCCGGAGACACCGGACCCCCTGGTAACCCAGGCCCCAAAGGGTCCCGGGGCAGCATGGGATCAACGGTGAGAACTCTGTGGGGGTCAGACGCAGAGCAGAGCTGGCCAAGGGCATAAAGGGAGGTAGTGCCCACCCTGACTCAGCGAAACACATAGCGACCGTTGTCCCTGCCACCTCTTTTGAATCATGGATCCCTTTGGGAACCTTCAGAGATTGCAGCCCCTCTCCCTGGAAAAGGTCACACAACACAAAGTATTTCTTGCAATTTGAAGGGGTCTGTGGGTCTTCTGAAGCCCTTTGTAGACCCAGATGAATAAGCGCTGTTAGGGGCAGGAATAAGGCACCAGACCTTTGGGAGTGTTTTGAAAGAACGAGTTTTCCCACTGGAAGCAGATTCGTGAGGGGCCAGTGAAGCTGCTGTAGATCCCTGGGTGACCGAGGGCATCCCGCCTGCTGCTGGCCAGCCCTGATGGAAGGGCCTGGGGGCTCTGACAGCACCCGGAGGAAGCTGGGTGGGAGGGTGCGGCTGAGGGGTGACGCAGCCTCTCTGAGCTGCCAGTGTGTGCCGGTCAGCAGCTGCACTGTTTGTGGCACTTGCCAGGTGCCGTGGTGGCCACGCCTCCCACCGTGGCTGATTTCAGACAACCAGCATGTCGTCACTGAACACGGGCTTGGGAGATGCTCCATTATCTGCTTTTCCACCACAGCTTCACTGGACAGAAATGACCTCATGAGCACAGCTAGTAGTGAAGTGTAGTAAAATAATTAGGAAGAGATGAGTATTGCGTATCATGTGTTTTTATTATGATTGATTTAACTAAGTTTATATAATTTTTCATAATGGTTCTGTTTAGTGATTGGCTCACAAAATTGGGGAAGCGAGGCACCCTGGAGCCAGGAAGGAAGGGCTGGGGGAGGAGGGAATAGATGCTGCTGGCTCCCCACTCTCTGGCCTAGGTTCTGGGCCAAGAAGCCAGGCTGAACTGGGCCGGAGCCCAGGGGAGAGATGATGCCCGAGTCTTTGTTATGAGAGCCGTAGTCCATACCAATGCAGGTCTGTCCCTCTCACAGGGTGCTCCAGGCCGGATGGGGGCCCAAGGAGAACCGGGACTGGCTGGTTATAACGTAAGGAAAGCTCACCCTAACCCCCTCCGGAACTCTGTCCTGCTTGGCATCTGCCTCTGCCCCCCAGCACCTCCCAGCTGAGGGCAAGCCCTTGTGCCACTGAAGATTTGTGAGCTCCCCTGCCCCAGGGAGCAGTGGGGCCCACAGACTAGGGTGGGGGTTGGGGCCAGCTCAGGGGCCCCCATTCCTCATGTCTGAATTTCACAACTGCAAGGGAAGGGCCTCACCCCATTTTTGCATCCAAGTTGGCATCTCCCATAGAGGTGGCTGAGCTGAACCCATGTCACACTCAGAGAGGCATGGAGCTTGCTCAGAAGGGCACACTAAGGCTCAGGGAGGCTGAAGAACACGTGTGCAAGGCCTCCCCGCTTGCTAAGTTTGAAGGTGGGATCCAGCATCTGAAAGCGATAGAGCAGGGAGAGGAGAGTGCCAAGGAGATGGGGCTGGACGGGGACAGTGCTGGCAGCCCCAGGGAGGAATCTTTAGTCAGTGCCCCCTGCGGCCGGGGGAGCCCCTGCCCCAGGAGGAGAGCAGCTCTCCTGAGATACGGTCCCAGGTCTGCCCCAGGGTGGAGCGAGAGCCCCAACCATCTGCGCAGGCACACCTCTTAGAAGTGTGTCTGGGACCAAAATGGCGTGTCTGGGAGGCCAGAACCCAGAGAGGCACGGGACCCACTCAGAGTCACATAGCAAGTTGGGGCAGAGTCAGGACCCAGTCGCAGAGCCCAGCATCTCCATCTCTGAGTTCCTATCCTTCATCACTTGTCCCTCCCGGGCCCCCTTCCCCATGATTTCACCTCCTGCCATCTTGTTTCCTGCAGGGACACAAAGGCACCGTGGGACCCCTCGGACCTCCTGGACCAAAGGGCGAAAAGGTAGGTGTTCAGCGAGAAGAGGGGAAGCCCCTGCTCCCTCACCCCTGGGGCTGGCAGGGGCACGCCTTCCGCACTGTGGCCAGGGAAGCCCAGGAGGTTCGTGCGAGGCTCACCCCACTCCCACCATGGCTGTGCCCGGCAGGCAGCAGCCATTATGCCCCCGTTCCGCACAGATGCTGGGTGTCGTCCCTGTGCAGGCAGAGGATCAAAGACAGACACAGTTCCTGGCCTTCTGTGGCTTCCGGTCGAGCAGGGAAATGAACACGTCATGTAATGTCTAGAATGGTGCACTTCCACCATCTCCGTGAACATGGGAAAGAAGCCTTGCTTGTGAATGAGATCACCCAGCGGGAGAAGGAGGGGACTTAGTGCCAGCACTTCATAGCCAGGAAGGAACCACTGAGGCAGAGGGGAGGCACGTCCGTTCCCCCTCCTTGGCTCCAGCTTTGGTAGGAGAGGAATTGCAAGGAGGAAACCTGCTAATGGTTACACTCTGCCCCACCATGCAGGTGGGGACGTGGGGAGCAGGGGTCCAAGGCCCTGGTGCTGGGTCACATTCCAGGGCGCGTGAGCTGGCCTTGGCACCCTAGCCTCGGGTCCTCCATCTGAGCAGCTCTGAGCCCCTCCTTCCCTCCCCACTCCTCCGTGAGGCTCCGCTGGAGTGCCTCCTAGCAGGCAGCCCGCTGCTGTCTCCCTGTCCCCCTGCCTCTCCGGCCCTCCTTTCTTTTGCCGAGTCAGCTCCCCACTAACTACATCCCGCTGTCAGGGTGAATCACCCTGGCCTGGCTTGCTGTCCGGCTGGCCCCTTCCTCTCCTACTTGGACAACAGATCTGCAGACGGCGCGGGCCGCAGGCTCTGACACATCCCACAGGAAGCTGTGGGAAATACCACGCAGTCCCTGAGTCCCTCCTCAGCCCCGAGAGCCACTACTGGCAAAGAAAGGGTTAACATGGGCCTAACACACGGGGGGGCCTTCACTCTGGGCTGTCTGCAGCTCCCAAAACAGTCCCTGTGGCTGCTGAGAATGGAACCCTAACCCCAAATCTGCCCTAAGTCTGCTGTGGCCTTGGTTGGGACCCCAGGATTCCCTGGCCTTGATGGCCTCCTCTGTTAAATGGGTGGGTGCCTTGGGAACTCGAGGCTAAGCAGGATATCACATATCTGTCACCCAGATGCCTTTTCTGATATTAGTTCAGTCACTCATCCAGCTATCCAACAGGTATTTATGGATTTATCATGATTTCCTGAATGACTTCTTGGCACTGACTAGGGGCTGCAGAATTATGCTCTAAAGAACTAAAAAATAAGAATAATCACAGGAATGAGAGCCGACCACAAGCTGGATGGTGCCGGGAAGGGAGAGGGCAGGTCTGGGGAGAGAACCCCCTAGCATGATGGCAGGGTGCAAAACTCTTTCCCCAGGATTTCCCCGAGATCCTCGCCAGGACCCCAGGAGAGAGGTGTCGGTACCCCACCCCACAGGTGGGGACACTGAGTGCCCACCATGCTGAGGGACTAGCTTAGGATCAGTGGCAGGGTGCCAGGACCAGGACTCAGACTGCCTGATGCCAGGCCTTGCTTCCTTAGCCGGAACAGATGCCTGGACGGGCCAATAGGCTGTTCAACTTGGGAATTCCCTGTGGGTGGGGCACATGTCTATAAAGGCAGTGGCCAGAGGGATGTGGAGATGGGGTGAGACTCTGGGAACAGTGAGAAGGGGGCACAACGTCAGCTTTCTGGTGCTAAGAAAGTACATCCCCCAACATAGCCACAACGTTGCAGGGGAGGGAGAGATCTGGATAGCTGGCTTTTGGCCCAGACCACCCCTTGATTCCTGTGTGGCCTTGGCTAAAACACCCTTCCTTCCTTGGGCCAGTAGTCACAGCAGCATAGGGGTACCATATGGGGTCTATGAAACGTACCTCATGAAGTGTCTGCACATAGAAAACACTAAGTAAACACTGCCCCCTGCCCCCAGCCCCAGTCCAGCTGCCTCCCTCCAAGGTGGGACTGAATCCTGGAACAAAGAGCCAAAGAGAATGGCCAGGGAAGAGAAGGAATCCCTACCCCCTGGGCCACCACCCTGGGTACAACTCGTTCTAGGCTTTATGCTGAGTCCCTCCTGCCTCCAGTCTCTGCCCACAGGAGCCACAGAGAGCCTGGGGTAAGGTGCAACTGCTAGCCCTCAGGGCTGGGATGGGCCCAGGAAAGGCTCCAGCCCCTCTCTTCTGCCTCTCAGGCCTCCCATAAATTCCTGCTGGCAGTGAGAGGGCTCAAGGATCCCCTGGCTTGAGCCGCCTGCCCAAAATGTGATCGCATGGGGGGTGACACCCGATGTCTGGGGCTGGAACGTTCTAAGCCCTGAGGTTCTGCCACTGGCTGTTCTGCTTACACCTTCCCCGGAGCTGGCACAGGGCACCCAGCCACCTGTCCCGTGGATGGGCCAGGGCCCAGGGTGGCCCAGGAACCTCCCCTGTAAACTCCGCTCCACTCCCAGTCTGACTACATCTGTGTCACACGTCATCCCCACTTTTGTAGCTATTGGTACAATTCTCCCAGCCGCCTGTGGAGCCCCACTGTTTGCAGTGGGGCGCTGACAGCTAAGGTGCCTTTTCTCACTGGATCCTCAGAGCAGCACAGCGAGGCATTACCATCCTGTTTTGTATGTAGAAAACTGTCTTATGGACAAGATGCCTGAGCTGGCCTGCTGCTGAGGGCAACTGAGGGCAGCCCAGTGCCTTTTCTGGGACTCCCATGGAGGGCAGGAGGTTCATCCTAATGCTGGTGTTCAGCCCACTTTCAGCAAGGGTCAAAGAAAGGGACTTTTTATTTTTAATTGAGGGTTGAATAACTGAGCCGCTCACATCATGCCTCTGTGCCTCAGTATTCTCACCTGTGAAATGGGGAGAAGGGTATGGCGTGCTTCACAGGACCATTGGGGGACTCAGTGAGGGTCTGTGCCTGGCCATGGCGGTGCCCATGCATGCCAGCTGTTGGGATTATCGCCGCTCCCTGCTGAGCTCCAGGCAGGGACTTGCGCATCATTTCATGGACTCGCCACCGCTCCCCTTGATCCCCGTTATTCTCTTCACCCCACCTCACCCCCATTCCCCAGCTGAGAGAAAGAGCTTGGAGGTGGTGGAAAGGCACCTGTGGAAGGTCTGAGCAGCTGGTCCTGCACAAAGCCAAGCATGACCTAGGCCCCTGCTCCAGGCTGCCTGGGTCCTACAGCCTGAAGGTGTCTGCCTGGGGCTACCTAGCCGGATGGAGGGCAAAGACCACTGTCTGTGTTCCACAGTCCCGGTCCCGTGCCCAGGTCTGACTGTGACCTTACATCTGCCCTGTCCCTGTCCGGCCTCAGTCTTCCCATCTGTAACCCTCAGTAGGCTGGACTTCATCTCTCATGAAGGCTCTTTTGGCCTCAGTATAGAATGTCTGGAATTCCCAAAAGTCACCAGGAGCAGGAGGTGTGCCCTAAAGCTGGTTCTGCATCCACAGGGGGAGCAGGGCGAGGATGGCCAGTCTGAGGGGCCCCCCGGGCCACCTGGAGATCGAGTAAGTCCCTCCCCCCGCCTCAAACCTTCCCTCCCCAGAACCACAGCCAAGGTGGAGCCCTGGCCTCCTGCGGTGAGGAGGAAGGGAGGCTGGGCAAGGGGAGGCTGCTGTCCGCTCCAGGGGGTGTGGCCAGTGAGGCCCAGGTCCAGCAACCCTGCACCTGGTGGCATATTTTGTTGTTCTTGTCATTCAGGGCCCTGTGGGTGACCGAGGTGACCGTGGAGAACCAGGGGACCCTGGATACCCTGTAAGTATCAGAGCTCCTCGCTGCTGGCAGCATTGGGAGTGTTATAAGAGGGCATTCCTTGGCCCCCCATTCCATGCAACCTGGAATCAGAATACCCTTCACCAGGAGACGAGCCCTTCCTCCTACCAGTGGTGCCCAGCTTGAAGCACAACCCCATGAAAGAGGGCTCAGGGCGCAGTGCTACTGAGGGGAAAGGGTCCGAGACCTCTCCTGAGAGAGGAGGAGGAGGAGGCCAGGGAGACCCCTCCCTCTCAGGGCCCAGGATCCCCATCTGTGGACCAGGAACAGCTCTCCCAGCAGAAGCAGGAGACAGCCACTGGAAGCGTGCAGGCCCGCACAGGGTTCCACTCGCCTTCTCCATCCTCCATGGCAGGGTCATAATCTCACCCATTTTGCAGATGGGGAGGCTGAGACTTAGGGGACAATGACATGTGGCTAGGAAGTACAAGGGCTTCTCAGGGCTCCTCCAGGTGGGAAGGTGCCCCAGCCCCCAGCCCCCTCCAGGATTGGTCCCCTCACCTGTCGCTCCTCGGCTTCCAGGGACAGGAGGGTGTACAAGGCCTGCGTGGGAATCCCGGCCAGCAGGGCCAACCCGTGAGTGGTGTTTCCTGTGCCCTCCCTGCACTGCCCTGAGGTGGGGCGGAGTAGCTGTGGGGGAATTAAGGAACTGGGCCCTTTAAAGCTTGAAGGGACCCTCCCTACAGGAGGGCTAGGGGAGCCCATTCTGGTTTCTCCTGCCCTGACCCTGGGGGCATCCCCGGAGCCTGCACCCCCAAACCCCTCCCCACCCCTCCCCCTCCAGGCGGAGACTGGCCTCCCTCCCCAGGAGAGAATCCTGGGGCTGCCTTGCGTCATCTCACCTTGGTTTGCAGGGGCATCCGGGACCCCGGGGGCGGCCGGGACCCAAAGGATCGAAAGGGGAAGAGGTAAGAGGGCTGGGTGTCCGCAGGGAAGACTGAGGCTCCGGGAGGGGAGACTGGCCCAAGCACAGCATGTGGGAGGCAGGACTAGCTGGGCCCTGAGACAGAAGGGGCCACAGAGTGCCCTCTGGCCAAGGTTCCTTTCCTTCAAATAGCCCAGGAGGGGGTGGGATTAGGAGCCCTATTTGCAGGGCCTCCAGGAGGGGCACCCTGGCTGCCATCAGCAGTGGGATTTGAACCCTGAGCAGTAAGGTCCAAAGCCTACCTCTCTGTCTACCGTACTACAGCTTAGGGAGAGAGAATGCTAGGAGAAGTGAATCAAGAGGCCCATAGGGAAAGAGAGGGACGGCGCGGCCTTGCACCCAGGGCTGGTGCCTCTGCCTTGCACCCAGGGTGGATGAGCCGGCGCTGTCTTACTGTCTCAGTCCCCCAGGCATGCCCCTGTCCGCCTGCACACCCAGCCCCCACCCTCAGGGATAGCCACCCTCTTGAGGGTCAAATGGACCAGCCATCCGTGGGCTCAGGCCCCCACCAGGAAATTGTCAGTGCCTGAGCCTCTGCAGCACAGGGGCCCAGTCAGGGCCCAGGGCAGGGCCAGTGACATCCCAGCAGGCTCCAAGGTCAGTCCCACCCCTGCACTTCCAGGCCAAGGCACTGGGGCCCATTTGCTGCTTCCCATGCCTAGGTCCAAGGAGAGGAGGGGCACACGGGGGCCATGGGCCTCTCGGTGTCCCCTTCCTGAGCTCCTGGGGTTCTGTACCTCCTCTCAGCAGCACCTCTGTCACGTGCCCCTTGATTTTTCAGGGACCAAAGGGAAAGCAAGGCAAGGCTGGGGCCCCAGGACGGAGGGGGACCCAGGTGAGTGACCCTTGACTGCTCTCTCTGGCCCACCTTCTTGTCTCCCCGGAAGCCCTTACCAGCTTCTCATGTACCCCTAGGGCCTGCAGGGGCTGCCGGGACCTCGGGGTGTGGTAGGGAGACAGGGCCCTGAGGGTGTCTCTGGACCAGATGGGCTTCCTGGCAGGGATGGTCAAGCAGGACTGCAGGTGAGCGGGACTTGGGGCTAACAGACAGTGTCTCCATTTGAGACAGGTGTGTGTGTGTGTGAGTGTGAATATGAGTGTGTGTGTGTGTGTGTGTGTTCAAGAGCGGGTTTGGAGACTTGGATGGGGCTGACCAACATATGCAGAAGTTTCCTGCATGGACAGTCACCTCATCCCTTGGGACCTAGGAGGCTGGTTCTTCTGACTAACCATGCCAGCACCCAGAGGTCATCCCCTACCCAGTGGATGCAGCTTCTGGTTTTTAATATCCCTCCCCTTCCCCAGCTTGCACTTGCCGTCTGGTCCCACTGTCCTCACACACAGGCAGTGTGACCCCCATCCTGGAATTGGGCCTCCTTCCCTCCAGCTCCCCCACAGTTCACCTGGGTTTTGAGGTTGCCTATTTCCTGAAACATGAGAGACCCTCCTTTGCCCTCTCTCTTTACAGGGGGAGCAGGGAGACGATGGGGACCCTGGCCCCATGGGCCCTGCTGGGAAGAGAGGAAATCCAGGTGTGGCAGGCTTGCCTGGAGCACAGGGGCCACCAGGATTCAAGGTCAGGCACTTGTTACTCCACTTACCCACGCTTCACCCTTTCTGCCTTGGTACTAACTATAACCATAGTAACTGTAGTGCTGACATGGACACCCCTGTCCCTAGGCCTGTGTGAAAATGGAGTTGGTGATGTTTCTCGAGGGGTCCCTGCCTGAAAGGATAGCTTATCCAGGTAGCTGTAAATACTGCCCCCTGCCAGGCCCTTGAAACTGGCAACTCATTGTTGGGTTGTCTGTGAGCGCCCTCTTGTGGACCTTTGTGGAACAACAGATGTTGCTTGCCGCTGAGGCCCACCTCCAAGGCATCTTTTTAGAAAGCTTACCAGAGTTGCCCGTGGGCGAGGCAGCCATGAAATAGTTGTAGTCCAGGGCTAGACACTGAAGGGAAGACTGAGGGGAATGAATCAGACATGGCTCTTGTCCTCCCTGAGCTCAGGGTTTAGTTGGGGAGAGGTTGGAACCTTCTGTGAGGACAGCAGGCAGAGGGAGAGGGGACCTTGGCCCAGGGAGGATTTAAATGAGGAAAGAAGGGGAAGCAGCCTAGTCGTCAGGAGGAATAAGGTAAGCAGAGACGTGGAGGTGGGAACTGCACAGCTGGTTGGGCAGAAACAGTAAATGAGGGGCAGTGTGGGAGAGTGGGGGGGAAATAGGACTTTAAGTGCCAGAGAAAGGAGAGAGACTTCCCTAGAAAGGAGGCTGAAATGCTCAGGCCCCACCAGGCCTACATCAAGCCCGGGCAACCTGAGCTCTCAACTGCCCTGCGAAATCACAGTTCTGTCTTTCCTAGGTCCCCCTACCCCTCCCCTAAAACTGTTTCCTCTGTTGATTGATCATTTTGGTGTGTTTCTTTAAGGGTGAAAGTGGGTTACCAGGGCAACTGGGTGCCCCTGGCAAACGAGGAACAGAGGGCGGAACAGGGCTTCCCGGGAACCAGGGGGAGCCTGGATCCAAAGGCCAGCCGGTAAGTGAGGCCCAGGGAATACACAAGTTCACACACTCACGCACATACAAATACTCATGCTCACACACGCACACACAGAGACCCAGCAGCCACCTGCCTGCTCTGTGACAGGGCAGAGCAACAACGTCTCTGGGTACCAGATAGCCTTCTGCCTCCTCTGAGTGGGAAAGGTGGGAGGAAGCTGAGACATGAGATCTGAGTGGTTCCTTCAGAATAGGGAGAGGAGGACCGCAACCAGAACCCTAGAGAGCCCTTATGTGTATTTAAAAAAATTGAATCTATAGTTTAAAAAGCTTCTCACAAAGAAAACTCCGGGTTCAGATGACTTCACCAGTAAATTCTAGTAAATGTTTGTGTCAGAAATAATACCACTTCTGCATAAACTCTTTCCAAAAACTAAAGAGGAGGGAATACTTGCCTGCACATTCTTTGAGGCTAGCATTGTCCTGTTGTCAAAGTCAGACAAGGATATTACAAGAAAAGAAAACTACAGACCAGTATACCTCATAAATACAGATACAAAAATTCTCTGTACAGTTTTAGAGAAATGTATCTAAGAACATATAAAGAAGATAGTATATCAAGATCAAGTGAAGTTTATCCCAGGAATGCAAGGATGGTATAACATTTGAAAATAAATCACTATAATTCACAGTTAACACAGTAAGAAAAGAAAATCCATTTGACCATCTCAGTGGATACAGGAAAAGCATTTGACAAAGTCCAACTCCATTTCTGATGAAAGCTCTCAACAAACTTGGTGTCGAAAGGAACTTCCTCCTCAACTACATCCAAATTTCCAAGTGTAGGTGTGAAAATGAAAGGGAAACCTCACTGACATGGCCTTGGGAGGCCAGCAGGAGGCGCTCTCATGCCCACTACTCCTCAATTGCAGACCCCACCAGACCGAAGAGCCACACACCTTTGCCAGTCCATACTCTTTCAGGTACTTTACTATCCAGCAGGAGGAAAGGTTTCTGCCCCTTCCAGGCAACAGCCTGGCCAATGAGAGATTGTCACAACTCAGCCATTGAGAAGCCACTATAAAAGGAACTCCTGGTTTACTCCAATGGACTTTTGCTTAGAACAGCTCTCACAACTCAGCCCATTCATATAGAAAAGAGCATTCCTCTCCTTTGTTCTCCTGAATTGCCTATGGTTTTGCAGTAGCTTGCTTGTCCTGAATTACAATTCTTTGCTATTCCTGAGTAAGCTCATTTTTGCTGGTAAAATTTAAAAAAAGGGGAGGGACTTCCTCAACTTGATGAAGGGAATCCATGAGAAACCTACAGTTAACATGTTTAATAGTGGATGACTGAATGTTTCCTCCCGAAGAGCAGAAACGAGTCAGAGACATCTGTGCTTACCGCTTCTTCATCATTGTACTGACAGTTCTAGCCAATGTAGTTAAGGCAAAAAAAATAAATAAAAGGCATTCATATCAAAGAGAAAGAAGTGAAACTTTTCATTTGGGTCTGAAATAATTGTCTATGTAGAAAATCCAGTAAGATCTATAATAAAGCTACTTGAATAAATGAGTTTAGCAAGATGGCAGGACTCAAGCTCAATATTCACAAATGAATTATATTTCTATACAGTAGTGAGAAGCAATCAGAATTTGAGATCTAAAAAGCAATACTATTTACAACATAAAAATATGAAATATTTAAAGATATATATGACAATAGGTGTGTAAGACATGTGCACTGAAAAACTACAAAGCATTGCTGAGATAAATTAAGAAAAACTTGTTTACTGTGTCCATTGGTCAAAAGATTCAATATAGTTAAAATGTCAGTTTTTCTCAGATTGGTCTATGGATTCAACACAAACCTCCTTGGCAAACAGTTGGGCAGTTTCTTTAAAAGTTAAGCTTACGCCCACCATATAACCCAGGCCTCTGGTATCATTCACACCTGATCTGAATTTGGCGCACGCCACACAAATGCATCTATGTGACTTTGAGCAAGTTCTTGCCCTCTCTGAGCCTCAGTTTCCACATCTTTGGTCAGGGCATATTGTGCCTCCCTGGACAGGTATAGGAGCATGCATGCCTGGTGGTGCCTGCAAAGAAGTGCCTGACACATAGCAGGCCCTCGGCTGATGGGGTTACTGTTGAAACCCATTCCTCTGCAGAGTCTTTGGGATGAGTTAGGAAGAGTCTGGAGGCCCTTTCATTCTCTTCATTGAGGACCTGGGATAGGAGATCCTGTGTGTTCTAGAGCATTTTTTTGTGGATTCCCTGGGCTGCCTCTGCTTTCTCATCTGATGGAGGGCATAGGCTCCTGCCCCTCAGAGCCCAAGCTGACCTGATATCTAGTCTGTGATCTGATCACTTCATGTTGGAGTGGCCACTGTCCCTGGAAAAAGGCAGGCTAGGGGTCCCAGGTGACTGGCCGGGCATCCTTGTCCTGGCCCTTCTTGCCCCATCTCATGCTGTTCTCCCCACAGGGTGACCCTGGTGAAATGGGCTTCCCAGGAATGGCTGGCCTCTTTGGACCCAAGGTACAGATCCCCACTTCACACTGTTCCCACTGGGGTCCCATCCATCCACCTGCTCGTTCATTTATTCATGTATTCCTTCAACAAATATTTCTTGAGCCCTTGCAGTGTGGGCCGGGGGCTGGAACACAGCCAGACTCAAGCGTGAACGTCCTTGTCTTCCAGTCCCACAGTTTATCTGCTCTGTGTCTCAAGCAGGTTACTTTGTCTCTCCAAGTTTCAGTTTCCTCACCTATAAAATGGGCACAATAACAGTAGAGGGTTGTAATAAGTAAGACCAGAGGCATACACAGTATAGCAACAAGCCGGCACGCTGGTACCTGCCTAATAATTGTGGAGGTTTGTTAGTCTTCCTGGGGCCTCTCAGGTGTGGCCTCTCTCGACAGGGAGGGCAAAGGTTGGCCAGCCCCCAGGGGTGGAGCTGTGGGGGTAACCCTGACACAGACAGCCCTTCCTCTGCCTCCCACAGGGCCCCCCGGGAGACATCGGCTTCAAAGGCATCCAGGGCCCTCGGGGGCCTCCAGGCTTAATGGTGAGACCCGGTCTGTCTGTCCCAGGGGTACAGCCACCCCAGACCCCAAGCTGGCCAGCCATCAGCAAGGTGGACGCAGGTCTTCCTCCCTCCTGCTCCTTCAGCCTTGAGCCCCCTGTGCCCACAGCCCCCCTTCCTATGGCCACACCTTCACCTGCTCCCCTCCTGCACCCCTGTAGCCCACCCACAGAGCAGGGGCTCGGGAGGTCCATGGCCTGGCCACGGCCTGTGGAGGTCTCCCTTCCACTCCCTTGGGGTCCCTCAGGCTGCCCTCTGTCCGCCTGTCTCTGTGACTCTGTTCCCCAGGCCCTGAGGACACACAGGCTTTTCTCTCTGCTTTAGGGAAATGAAGGCATCATCGGGCCCCTCGGAATCCTGGGACCTTCGGGACGCCTGGTATGTGCAGGGGGCTGCCCAGAAAGACTGCTGGGCAGGATTGTCTCTGTGACCCAGGGCGTCTGAGCCTGTTTGCCCGTCTGGGAAGAGTCTGAGCCGCCTCTCACTGGGCCATGATTTATTACACACAGGGTCCAAAGGGCAACAAAGGCAGCCGAGGGGACTTGGTGAGTGGACGGGCTGGGGGGCAGTGCTGGGGGATGGGCAGGGCTCAGCCCAGTCCCCTAACTCTCTCTCCCTGCTTCTGTCTCCCTCTAGGGATTGCAAGGTCCGAGGGTGAGTGGGCTGGGGTACGTGGGAGAGCGGGTGGGGATGGGCCTTCTGGGTTCCCTGCCCATGGCTGCTGATGACCTGGACGTGTTCTTTCCCTCTGGACCTCAGTCTTCCCATCTGTACTCGTGATCCCTGAGGCACCTGAGTCCCTGGGTCTTCGGTTGCCTGAAAAGGCCTGGGGAGGGGAAGATGGAAGGCCTTTGAGCAGGGCCTCATTGTTGTTCTCCTCTTCCTCCAGGGCCCTCCTGGTCCCAGAGGACAGCCCGGCCCACCGGTAGGTAACTTTGCTCAGTGCCCCTTGATCCCCGGGGCAGGGGGTGGGGTTCCTCTGAATGAAGCCCAAGGCTTTGCCAGCAGATGCTTGTCTTGGCCCTGACCTCACAGGACTTGCCACCTTCCTGCAGCCCACACACTTCTAGGAGAGTGTAGACCGGCCCCAGGGGCTCGAGACTCCTGGGAGAGTATAGACTGGCCCTGGCGAGACCAGGCCTCCAGGCTAGCAGAGGCCACCTTGCTGGGTCCCCTATGCCCCAAAGCCCATTAGCCCCTGTAGTCTCCTGATAGCCCCTGGGACTCCAGCACTCAGTCCTTACCAAATACCCACCCAGTCTCTTCTTTTGCAGGGTCCTCTGGGGAGCCCTGTTCACTTTGTAAGTTGGAGAACTTTCTCTTTTACTTACTTGGGGTAATGCCTGGGGAGGGGGTGGGGGTGGCAAGCCAACCCCTCTCTGGCCACAGTGGCAAGAATCCTAAGCTAGGCCCAGAGATGCCCATGTCCTCTGGTCACTCTGTACTAGACCCTGGACCCTGAAGTAGCAGAAAGGGCCCTGGACCAGGGGCAGGAAGCCCAGGGTGCCAAGATGTGCCCCTGTGAGCCCAGGAAGACACTGCAATGCCTGGTGTACTCCGTATAGATCAGCTGATTGCTGAGGGTCTAAATAGGTTCTGGTACTGATTCCAGTGTTGGAGGCAGGGGTGTTTCCCACCCCAGCAAGCTATTCTCGGGACACCAGTTCAGTGTCCTAAGATTCAGCTCAACTCTGACAGCATCTACCTAGAGATAGCATCTGATTCCACAGGTTAAGGCCTCAATCCTGCAAGACTGCCCCACACCTTCAGAGGCGCCATCTGCAAGGCTACAAGGTTGCCTGTGCTTCTGACCGACTGACTATAAATGGGAGGCTCCCACAATCCTCTCCTCGGGTTTCGTTGATTTGCTAGCACAACTCACAGAACTCAGAAATGTTCTATTTACTAGATTACCAGTTTATTATAAAAGGATATAACTCAGGAACAGCCAGATGAAGAGATACACAGAGCAAGGCCTAGGGAAAGGGTGTGGGGCTTCTGCCCTCTTGGGGTGGCATGCACCACTCTCTCCAAACCTCATGTTCCGGAACCCGGAAGCTCTCCAAATTGTCTTTTTGGGTTTTTTATGGAGGCTGCATTACATAGGTATGGCTGATTAAGTCATTGGCAATTGCTGGTCAATTCAACCTCTAGCCCCTCCCCCTTTCCCCAAGGTAGAGGGTGGGGGGTACTAAAAGTTCCAACCCTCTAAACATACGGTCACTTCCTCTGGCAATCAGCCCCCACAGATTACCTTCCAAAAGTCATTTCATTGTTGTAACAAAAAACAGCTTTAAGGCTCTTATCACAGAAATTCCAAAGATTTTAGGGAGCACTATGCCGGGAGCAGGGGTCAAAGATAGAATATACATTTCTTATTATAAATCACATCACAGGGTCCCTATTTCAGACTGTGTCCAAAGAGGGTGGGGCACATGAGCAGGCTGCGGCCCTGCTTTCCTCCCAGTCTGAGAGCACGGCCCCCTCCCAGCCCTCTGATCAGTCCTTCCCCGTTTTACTACCACCCGGTTGACTTAGAATCTGGCCCTGACAGTGTGCGAGGGAATGGCCAGGGGAAAGACCGAATGGAGCAGGAGCCCTTGGGCCACGAACCGCTCGGAGTCTGCCCTTCTCATCTCTCAGACTCTCACCGTCCGTCCTTCTGCACCATCCACAAAAATGGAATGCCAGCCCTGTCCTTTCCCTCAACACTCTTCCCTAGTCCTTCTGGTCAATAAGGAAGCTGGCTCCGGGAAAGGAAGAGATCCAGGAAAAGCTCTTTCCCTCCAAAAGATGGAAAATTAGAGGGTTTTGAATTTTCTGAATGGCAGCTTCTATAGTGAATGCTTGTTATATGCCAGACCCTGCTAGGAGTGCTTTCATGTATTAACTCATATTCCTCCTAACAGTTCTGAGTTTTATTTTCAAGCCCATTCTCTCAGGAGAACTAAGGCAGAGGCAGCCAAGCGGCTTGCCCAGACCATGCAGGTAGCAAGCGCAAGGCTGAGATCCGAACTTGAGAAGTACCTTGAGAGTCCCGGCTCCACACCCCAGTCTCTCAGATTCTCCCCCTCACTGTTTTCACAGCAAGACCTCAGCTATGCTTCTGGCAAGCCCAGTGCTAGGGTTGGAGGTACAAGTGTGCATTAGACAATTGCAGTGCAAGCGAAAGAAGAAACCCAGGGACTGTGGGAATATAAAGGAAAGGGACAGCACCCAGCTTGGGGGCAGAAGCATCAGGGAAGAGTCCCGGGGAGCTGACATCTGCAGGTTGAGTATAGGGTAGGGTTTCTCAGTGGCAGCACTATTGACATTTGGGACCAGGTGATTCTTTGCTGTGAATGATTATCTGGTGCCATTTTAGGCTTCCCTATCCTCCACCCACTAGATGCCAGTAGCACCCCCTCTCGTTGTGACAGTCAAGATTGTCTTGAGATATTCTCAAGTGTCCCTTAGGGGGCAACATCATACCTGGCTGAGAACCAATGGAATTAGGAGCCAGCCAAATGGAACATTACCCAGCAGGAAGAGTGTTCCAGGCCATGGGAGCAGCATGTGCAAAGGCCCTGTGGCTGGGTAGACTGTGGCACTTAGGAACTTAGAATAACAATAATAAAAAAAAGAAGTACAGTAGTATGTCTGGTGAATAGAATATATGTGGGAGAGAGAAGAGGCAGGGCCAGAGGCCATGGCACTCAGGCTGGTTCTTACAACCATACTGAGTTTAGACTTAATCCTGAGGGTAGCGGAGAGCTATCCCGGTGACTAGGGGAAAGGAGTGGAAGGGTCAGCTCCGACTCTGTTAGGGAAGGAAGGGCAGAGGGTTCTACAGAAGGCATGTGGTTTTGCCATGATTCTGGGAGGAAGGTGGAGTGGAAGTGCTCCTGCTCAGACTCTGGGGCTCCAACTTGGTGGGTCTGGAGGCCTTTGGGGGCAGTACCCACATCCTGTCTTCTCCTTGCACAGCAACAAGATGACCTTGGGGCAGCTTTTCAGACATGGATGGACACTAATGGAGCACTGAGAACAGAGGTACCATCAGGACCCCTGCCCTCTTGGGATCCCTTTCTGGGGGAAACAGAGATTATGGCCTGTGTGTGGCTAATATCCTCCACGTGGCCTGCACCAAGCATTTCATAGCCCTTGATGGCCTCTCACTGGGAGGGGTTTGTGCTCAGGCTCAGAGTAGACAGTCATGAATCCGAGATCACACAGCCAGTGCAAGCCAGAGCAGGGCCAGAAATGGGCCCTGAGCTCCTTTGCTTTCCACCAAGTCCCTCTCAGGGTCTCTGTTCTTGCTGGCCTGAGTCAGGAAGAGATGCTCACCTGAGCCCAGAGCCCGCGGCAGCTTCCTGAACCATGGCTCAGTCCCATAATCCTCCAGGAGCAGGAAGGTCATAGTCAGTGCACAGGGCTCTGCTAATCCTGTGGCCTGTGGTCAACTCATTTGCAAGATTCCAGGCTGAGGTGGCACTCCAGTGTCCTCTAGTCAAGCCCCCATTAGGAGTGTGTTGGCCCTCCCCCTGATGGCGAGCTCACTACCACCCAGCCCAGACCTCCTACTGGCATTTCCATGTGTTCCCTGAGCTGAGCTGGATGCTGGGGAGAGTCGATGCTGAGTCAGCTCTCTCAGGGCTCACACTCCAGGGGGAAGGATGACATAGAAGGGCCTGTTATCTTCCTTCTGTCCAGGGCAGTCAGTGGAAAGACCTCCACTGGCCCCTTTTGGAGGGACACGGGGCCACTCCCTAGTGTCCCGCACCAGAGACCAGGCTGACTCTCCACTGCCTTCAAGCCTCCAGGTCCTTGTGGCAACCCCACCCCCTGCAGGGACCCATTTCTTTATCTGTTAAGTAGAGGGAGACCCAACCCCTGCCCCCTGCCCTTGCCCCTGCAAACTCAGGGCTGTCTCCCAAGTAGCAAGAACCTGGGGCTGTGGAGGCTCAGGCCTTGGGCTGGGCTGGGACTTCAGGAGGCTGATGGCCACCCTCTCTCCTCAACAGGGTTACAGCCATCCGGACCGGCTGGTGCTAGACCAGGGAGGGGAGATCTTTAAAACCTTACACTACCTCAGCAACCTCATCCAGAGCATTAAGACGCCCCTGGGCACCAAAGAGAACCCCGCCCGGGTCTGCCGGGACCTCATGGACTGTGAGCAGAAGATGATGGATGGTATGAGGGTCTATGGGGTCTGAGAAGAAGGCCTCCTGCCCCAGGAGTGGGACAGGCTGGGCAGAGGAATTCCAGGAGTGGAGAGATAGAGCACTGGAGTCTCCACTCATCTGGGCCTATTTTCTGTCCTCAGGGAGATAGACGTGTGGGCAGTCGTTTATTCACTCAGCAGGCACTAAGCCTCACAGTATGTCAGGTCTTGGGCTCCCTATAGTGGGAAACGCAGAGCAGCGGTTCCAGCCTTCCAGAGCCCGCAGATCCACACGCTGAGGCGGCCATTTCAGAGCAACACAAGAAGAGCTTTGGCAGAAAAAGCCCCCAAGGGCTAGGAGGGGGACCCCGTCACGGCTTTCCTGAGAGCCAGGATGTCCCGCCTTCCTGTCGGCACCTCACCCAACTCTCTCTTAACCCTCTCTGTGATCTGATGTGCTACTGTGGAAGGCCGCAGACTTGGAAGCAAACAGACTTGAATTTGAAAATCGGCCTGATGTCTGACCAGCTCTGTGAGTCAGGGCAAGCTGCGGCCCCAGCCGGAGCCACTCTTCCCTCCTGCTGCCCAAGAAGGTGGATTGGTGGCCATTGTCCCACTCTTCCAGATGCAGGGTCTCTTTCCTTCAGCTCCCTTGGTACCAGTGGGGAAGCCAGATGCCAGCAGAGGTGCCTGGCTGGTGGGGTGGAAGCCTTGACTCCCACCCCCTGGAGCAAGCCCTAGGAGGATCACTAGCCTGGTGGAGAACCATTCAACTAGGTGACCCCTAAATCCCTTAGACAAGTGGCCCTGCTTCTCTCAACTTCAATTGGCCCGTCTGTGAAATGAACACTTCCCACTAGCAACACCAGTAAGCCCTCAGTCTTGTGGCCCCTCCAGGGGGTTTCTGCCAGCTGTGGGCTCTGCCCACAGGCCTTCCTTCCATCTGTTAAAAAAAAAAAAAGCCACAGGCCCAAAGATGGAGTCATTCATGTTAATGGCCCTGTGTCAGCAAACCAAGACCTCCTACCTAAGCAAACTGCAGTTTCAGCCCCCCAGAATGTAGGAACCTTTAATCAGTCAATATGGAATTCCCTGGTCAGCCCTAGGAAATGTACTGAGACCCCTTCTGCTCTCGTAAGGGGTGACCTTGCCAAAAAAGCAATGGATTCTTTGCTTATAATTTCCTTTCTCCTCTCTCTCTCTCTGCCTTTAAAAACCTGTTCTTTTTGCAGTCCCACGGAGCATCTTTCTACTTGGTGGATGGCATGCTGCCTAATTCATGAATTGCTTAGTAGCGCCAGTTAGATCTTCTAGGTCTTCAAATTTACTTAGTTGAATTTTGCTTTGTAACACATCTCTGTGGTACATGGACTCCCTTTTCTGCCCCCTCTCCCCGACTTCATGCTCAACTGGGGCTCAGTGGGTCATAAGGGGTCCACCTACAGAACTAAGCTCTGGGTGCCTCCCCACATAATACAATACCCCCCATTCCATGCTGCCTGCAGGTACCTACTGGGTAGATCCGAACCTCGGCTGCTCGTCTGACACCATCGAAGTCTCCTGCAACTTCACGCATGGTGGGCAGACATGCCTCAAGCCCATCACGACCTCTAAGGTACAATCTGCTCTCCACGGCTAACCCCACAATCTGCTCTACCCCCACCCTGTTCTGGGCCTGAGTGCACTTAGGTTTTGGTCTAAGCCTTGACTGTCTTGCTGCATGGCCTTGGGAAGGCATTCTCTCTTTCTGAACCCGTTTCCTCATCTGTACACTGGGGAAGACTTATTGTAAATCTATGGTTTCCAAACCCTTTCAAGTTGCTTGACGCTGATAGTGTTTTCTTCAAATATCTAATATCTAAAACAGCGTAGTTGGCTACGCTGGCCTGGCTTAGAGAACCATGGTCCATCAACATGAGATAAGTCTGTGTAATGCTCACCTGGGATGTGCTGTCAGAGCTGAGCATGCAGAGCAACACCCAGCGTCCACTGCCTGCTACATGTCTCTGGGCTGAGCATTCACGTGGCTCAACAGCAAACCAAGGCAGGCAGTGGCGGTAGGGTATGGCCACTCCCCCGTGCAGGGGCCCTCGGGGGTGTGGGCCTGAAGTTGCAGAAGTCCTCCACGTGGGACTATTCATGCTGCAGCAGAGGCAGGGACCCCAGAGACCCTTGCATCCCATCCCATCAGTTCCCCTGGGGAGGCTCCAAGAGGTGCCCTGTGCTGACCACATCAGACCCAGAGTTTGAGAATCTCTAGGCATGCCAGATGGTCCTCTAGTCTTTGTTGGGTCCCTCCCATGTGCCAGCAAAGGTGCTGGGATTCAACAAGAAATAATAGCAGCCTCGCCACTGCCCACTGAGCCAGAGCTCACGGCCCAGCAGGCCCTTTTCCCGGTGACTCTCTGACTCTGAGGTTTGGGGGCCACACAGCAAACCCTCCTGGAGGGGGACAAGGCCAGAGCTGCCACCTGGGTTGGCAGCATGCCTGCCCATCTGGGTCCCTCCCCATCCAGAACATTGAACCACTGTTTTGTGCGGGTCTCAGCCTGTCATCACCAGTGTCATGGCTGGGCCAGCCCTTGTGCTTCTTACTGTGATTGCAAGATGCCCTTCGTCAGTAACCATCAAGAAACTGATAAAATGAAGGTTTATTACTTAAAGGACTCAGAAGTTATGCAACACTTGGGGCCACACTGCGAGGTCAATGTAGAGAACAAGAGACAGCATGCACAGCCTTGGGGTTCTGCTTTTATTTGGGTGGAGGGTGGAGCCTAGGGTTTCCCGGGCTCATTCTATATTGGTGAATTTAAACAGAAGAACAGGAATTTAAAGTGTGGGAAGAGACAAATAGGTGGCCCGAATGGTCGGTTATCACAATCAACCAAGATCCTAAAACAGGAGCTTCAGGAGTTGGGGGGTGGCCTGGCTCTTTACAGTCATGAGGTTGGCAAGGTGTTCTTTTCAATTACCCCTCTTGGAAGTGGATACCTCTGCAAAGTTTAAGTCAGCCACCTGCACTGCAAAAAAGAGAAAATCCTTTTACATTGCTAAAGCCATAAATGCTGTCCTACTGTTCATTGTCAGGTCAGCCATTTCAAGTACCACCTCCCCCACCTCACTCACCATCCCAATCTTGGGGCTTAGAAAGGGTGGGAAAGCTACTTCTCATTTCCTCTGAACTCCAAGGGCCTTTTGATCTTGGACAAGGTCCACTTCTTCTCTTGGCCTCTGGATCCCAGTTCAGCCCCAAACGGCCTTTCCCCCTTCCTGCCCGCCACCACCACCACCACCACCACCCAATGGGCACGCTGCATCAGCCCTGGAAGCTTTGGCTCTGGAGTCAGGCAGTTCTTGGTTTCTTTCTACTACTTGTTATTCTCTGGCTGTGCTGCCAGCTCATACAGACATCAATTTCCCTGTCTTTCAAGTGGACCCACGTCTGGAAAAATGGTTGGGAAGTGCTTACCAGGAAAGGGTTTATCCCTGCATCCTCCAGAGACAGGTGAGGGCTTCTGAGAGCTGTGGGCAGCCTGGCCCACACTCACTGCTGTATCTCTTCCATAGGTTGAGTTTGCCATCAGCCGGGTCCAGATGAATTTTCTGCACCTGCTAAGCTCTGAGGTGACACAGCATATCACCATCCACTGCCTTAACATGACTGTGTGGCAGGAGGGCACCAGGCAGACCCCAGCCAAGCAGGCTGTGCGCTTCCGGGCCTGGAATGGGCAGATCTTTGAAGCTGGGGGTCAGTTCAGACCGGAAGTGTCAATGGATGGCTGCAAGGTAACACTTGGAGCCCCTCATAGGTCCCTCATCCATGGACAGATGGATGTATTTATACTCTAATATATTAGTATGATATATGTAATTTTTATCTTTGTGTAATAATTTTATGGTAATAGTTTTATAAAATTCCTTTTATTATTTTCCCTCTGGGAAACTTCTGAGGGAAGATCTTGGTTGGTAAAAATTCTACAGGCTGGTAGATTCTGTACTTATTTGCAAGGCTACTTACAGGAGGATGTGTTTCCACTCTTCTCTCTGCCTCCGCCTTAGCCAGGGTAATTTCTTCTCTTAACATTTTTGGTTGCTTAAAATGGTGAGTTGTCAGGGGAGGGGAAGTCAGCAAGTTATTTTTTTTTTAAGTTTCACAACAGTAAATAAAACTGTAATATACAATGGTAGTGAGGATGTGTGGAAACCAACACTGTCACACAAAACTATTTGGAAAAACTTTAATTGGTAGGGGCTTTCAGGACAGCATATATATCCCATATATAGCCAAAGCCTTAGAAATGTACCTACCCTTTGATCCAGAAAATCTACTTCTAGAATTAAGAGTGTGTGCAAGAGTTTAACCATAATGATCTTCATTATAACATTACTTATAAGAATAAAATAGGAGAAGTAATCTAAGTGGACAAATATTGGTCATTGCTATAGTGTAATACCATGTGACTGTTAAAATTATGAGGAAAGGCAATGGGGAAATAAACACACTTGACATATGATGAGGACCTCATGGCCATAGGTATTTGCTTTTCCTTCTGACCTCAGGTCCAGGATGGCCACTGGCATCAGACACTCTTCACCTTCCGGACCCAGGACCCCCAGCAGCTGCCCATTGTCGGTGTGGACAACCTCCCTCCTGCCTCATCAGGAAAGCAGTACCGCCTGGAAGTTGGACCTGCATGCTTCCTCTGACCTCTGACCTCCTGGCTCCTCTAGGCCTCCAGGGGAAGGGAAGAGGAGGAGGCGGCAAAGGGAGGGTCCCTAGGGGCAGGTAGGCTCAGGAGAGGCAGCTCACCTGCCCAGTGATCCCTGGGCAGGCCCTAGCCGTTGTCTGCTCAGTAAAAGTGGCTGAGGGGGCAGGGTAGCAGGGAACAGGGTGTCTGTGACAACAGCTGATCCCAGCTTAGCCCGAAAGACCAACCAAAGAGCCAGCTGGAGCAAGCTGGGCCTGCAACCCGCCTGAGCCCCGCAGCCTAACTCCCAGCTCTGCGGCCACCCCCTTCCCTCTCCAGCTTCCTGCGCAGAGAGCCCCATGTTCCAGTCAGCTTGAGGGGAGGGGGCATCTCATCAGCTGGTCCCTGCCAGGGGGCTTTGATGTGCAATATTAGAGAGGAAACATGAAAAAAGGAGAAAAGTGAAAGAAGAAGTATATATATTTTATTTAAACACAAAGAAGGTGCATTACTATGTTTTTCACCTGGGAAGAGGTGAGAGGGTGAGAAAGAGCAGCCAGGGGGTGGGAAGCGACAGAGCCAAGAGGGAGAAGCGAGATCCTTGGGGCTGGGGGTGCCCACGTTTGCTACCTCCCACTGTGAAATCGCTGGTGCTCGCAGTTGTCTCATAGCGTATGTGATTCTTAAGGGAAGAAAAAAAGCCTATTTAAGATTCGGAAGGTGCTACCATTTTTACCACAGACTTTGAAGAACCTTTCTTGATGTGGGGTATCGTCCACATTTTCTCCCAACGATGAAGTTTGGGGAATTTTTTAATTTTCCTAGTATCACCCTGTGCTCATCAGGTAATCTATGAAAGGGGGAGCAGGGGAGAAAAAAACGCAAAGAAAAAAAACAAAAAACAACAGAAAAAAACACCTACCGGAAACAGAAAGATTTACCTTTTAACTTATGGACATTGACATGTGTGTCCTCTTAAGGCAGGGGGAGGCCTGAGCGTGAAGGGTTTTGACTGGGCCTTTCGTGGTCCTAGGAGGGCAGTTAGCCTTGTCTTGGGGGTGGTGGTGTTCGATCTAGACTGTAGCGTCCTGGAAGAAGCCTTGACCCTGAAGAAACCAGGACCAGAGCAGTGCTGAGTCAAGGCTGGCCTTGGAGGTGGGAGGTGGAGTGTAAATAGGAAGCGGCTCATAAAGCCACGTACCAGCCCGAAGGTCCTTCCCTCCGGGAGCATGTCCTTCCAAGCGTCGGGCGTCCCTTGCTTGTTCATTGTCTTTACATCTGGAGAAACTCAGTGTCATTAGCTCCAAGTATAAATGTGGGCTGAGGAAAAGGAAGAATTATGGGAATCTCAGCATGGTAGAGGGATATTCAGTGAAATCTGAATTGTCCTATATCAGAGAACAGTCAACACCCAGGTTGGATTTTGAGGTAAACTATGGAGTTATTTTTATAAAGGGGAAATTTTATGTGAAAGTCTATTTGTGTCTTATTTTCTTCCCCCCTAAAATTGTGTCTCTTTGGGAATTGGCTTTGATTTTCATTATTTAATACCTCACTCCGGCCCACCCTCCCCCCCAGCCACTTCCTCTGTCCCCGCCCTCCGGCCCAGCCCCGGCCCTCCCCGTGGAAGTGCATGTTTGTAGCAGCTCGGGCCTCATCTCAGTGCTAGGTTTCCGTACACTGCCAGTCTCCACCTGGTCTCTGTCTTTCTTGTTCTTCGTTTCTTTCTCCTGTCCTTGTTTTTTGTCTCTGTCCACATGTCAGTGTGTTAAAACCCCAGTGGGTTTCGTTTCTCCTTTTCACTTCTGGATTTTAATAAATATTTAAAACTGAGGCAATGGAATGATGCATCTGTGGCCGAGTGCTTCTTTGAAAATTCGGGAGGGAACTTTCTGGCAGGGCTGGAGGATGGGAAGAAGATGCTCAGAGGATGCAGCTTCTCCCACAGAAGGGGAGCAGGGAGAGGTATGGTTGGGGGAATGGCATTAAAGATGAGAGGATCCAGGCAAGTGCCCATCCGAGGTCACCTGGTGAGGCCAAGGGAAAGCTGATTCCAACCCAAGACGGCCGACAGTGCCACCTCACACATGAGACCAGCGTGGGCCCCCCCACCCTGACCCCCGGGGACCAGCAGAACCTGCAGCACCTGGGAGCTGGTTACAAACGCAAATTTTCAGCCCCATGGCAAACCAACTGAATCCCCAACCACGAGGGTGGGGTGCAGCCATCTGGGTCTTAACAAGCCTCCCTGGGGATTCTAGGACATGCTCAAATCCCAAGAATCATGGCCCTACACTATTGCCTAAATCTGGAAAATGGTTTTCCAGCACTGGAGATAAAACTTGGAAATGAGATAAGAATGTTCTTTTAATTTCTTTGACAATCAAATGAAGTCGAGGCAGAATGCCTCATTTCCTGAATCATTTCCTGAGGTCGGGGTATATTGGCACCCTCAAAGGGTTTGCTCAGCTGCTCCATCATGCTTCCCATTTGGCTGATGGGAAAGTTCCATTATTTTAATGTTTGTTTTCCCACAGAATGCTCTCTGAGGGCTACTGAAGCCACAGAGTACAGCATGTTGAAGGCACTCAAACTTGTTGAACAATTGCTCGCTGGAATGTTCCATCTTCATTTCCTCAGCACACGTTTATCAGCCTCACCTTCCCTGTGTCAAGCCATGTGTGGGCACTAAAATTACAGGCACGGATCTGAGCGCGCACCTGAGGGGCTGTGAGTCTGGTGGAAGCTGCTGGAGGGGTTGGACCTTGCGTGGTTAAGGGTTCAGAAAGAGAAACAGCAAGCCAGGTATGAGGGGGCAGGGGGGGCGCCAGAGGGGCACAGCTGATGTGTCTCACTAAGAGGAGGATGGTCAGGAGGTGACACTATATTAATCAGGATCTCCAGAGAAACAATTAATAGGGTGTGGGGAAGTGGTGGCAGGCAGGGTGGAGGGGGGTGGGTATAAAGAGATTTATTATAAGAAATTGGCTTGGGTGATTAGGAAGGCTGGTGAATCCCAAGATCTTCAGAGTGAGCTGCTAATACCAAGTCCCACAAGAGCTGATGGTGTAGTTCTAGTCCAAAGGCTGGCAGTCTTGAGACCCAGGCAGAACTGGTGTTTCAGTTTAGGTCTGAGGGCAGGGGAAGTCTGATGTCCATCTCAGCAGTTAGGCAGGAGAAATTCTCTCTTACTCAGCCTTTAAATTATATTCAGGCCTTCAACAGATTAGGTGTGGCCCACCCACATTTGGGAGGGCAATCTGTTCTACATAGTGAACCATTCAAATGTTAATTGCATCCAAAAACACCCTCGTGGACACACCCAGAATGTTTGACCAAACATCTGCGCACCTCATGGCCCAGTTAAATTAACACAAAAACTTAGCCATCATAAGCTGAGGCTTAGAATGAAGAGAAGTTGGCCTGATGGGGAAGGGCATCGGGAGAGGGAACGACACCTGTCAAGGCCAGAAGTAGAGGGAGCACGCACATTTGTGACAGTAAGTAGTTCAAAGCAATGCCACAGGGGAGGGCATGGGAAGGCTGGGAATAGGACAAGCCACAGGCTTGCAGGGGACAGCGGGGTTTGGGTTGGCCAAGTTAGGTTTGCGCTGCAATGGGGCTTGAGTGGAGCTGTCCAGCAGGCAGCTGGCTCAGCTGGGAGGCCAAGAAACGTCTGCGCCATAGAGCTCCACAGGGGTCAACAGCATCTGCATGGCCTTGGAGACGGGAGGGGATGAGAAAGAAAGAAGAGCCAGAGGGGAAAAAGAAGAGGGGCTCTGTTAAATCAGCATCACTCACAACTCAGCCCATCCACATTCCAGAGGAGCCTCTGTGACCTGGCCAGTGAGGCCACGGAAGCTGGGCCAGCTCCTTCCCAGCACAGGTGGGTAGGTTTGAGGGGACAAAGGCAGCTTTTCCCAGGCTGGCAGCACCTGAAATTCCCAATCCCACATTACACAACCGAGTGTCAGGAAACAGCCAGGGTGGACTTTCCCTAGGCACTGCCACCTTCCAGGGAAAACCCAGGTCCACTGGTGTTTGCTCTGTCCACAGTGAATGGAGCCCCAGCCATGGATGGCCAGCGGCCCACTGCTAGGAAAGCAAGGGAGGGGCAGGCAAGAAGGGAAGAGGCTGGCAGGTAGATTCCAGTCCCAACTTCCCGACTGGGACACGGTCTTGGGTGGGTCGTTCCCTCTCTCTGGGCCTCGGTTTCTCCCTCAAAATGGGGATGACATGCCCTACCTGCTTGCCAACCACAGGGTGATTGCTCAGTAATAGTAGGATGAATCACATGGAAATGAATGATTTTCAACTGCTTTTTGACCCATAAAATCTGCAGTTTCATACAGTTCTACTTGGTAATAGTATCATTAGAAATAACAGCAGCTACAATTTATTGCGTGCTGTGAGCCAGGGGCCCTGTTGAACGTGACAGGTTTTCATCTCACACACAGACTTTTGAGACCTGTGTTCTTGCCCTGGCTCTTTAGATGAGGGAACTGAAGTCAAAAGAGGTCACGTAAGTTGCCCAAGATAACAAAACAGGATGTGAATTTGAACAAATCTTTTGGCTGTTTCCTAAGCGCGGTCACAAGGTTCCCAGTTTGAACTGTTTGCTCTGGCTCTGCCAATGTACCCTTCGTGGTTGTTCCTGTAGAAGATCACAAAAGTCATCAGACACAGAGCTCAGCCTGGGCTTCAGGAAGAAACATGTATCAAGTGGCTTTCTCAGGAAATGCTCTATTTCAAATGGGTGCATTTCCCTGATACCTAAACCTCAGCTGCTTACCATGCCACCTTACTAAAAATTACTCAGAGTGCTAACATTCAACCTCTAGTTGCCGATGGCAAGAATCAGATTCATGCTTAATGTGTGTTACATCTACCTATACACAAATTTAAGAGTAACATGAATGATTTAATATTGAAAAATACTTCTCAGCTATGTGCAACTCTTGCAAATACTGCCCATTTGTAGTTCAGGAGGGTCTCCACAACTATGCATTGCAAGAAAATAGATGCATGTCAAGAGTTTATAAGGATTTATTGCCTTTATGTGTCTTTTCTCTTACCTCTAAGCCTGCCCAGATCTTCCCTGAACTCTGAAACAGTGCCTGTCTCCTTTATCAGCATTAGCATCACCCACAAAGCCTCAGGATTTGTATACAGCAGGCTGACAGAGGGCAGGATGGGAGGAATTGTTCACCTGGGGTCTGAACAGGTTTGGTTGTAAAAGAGGATGTTTAGGGTTATGGGACACTCTGTGCCAGTACCAGGCACTGGATCTCAAGGGACAGAGTTCCTTATGCATTATTTAATAAAGTGTGTGTGTGTGTGTATGTGTGTGATACATAGGACCCGCTAAATCTCTGGGCTCTGGACCTATTCCAAGTAACACTTATCCTCACTTTGAAATAGTGTCCCCATCATCTCACACCTGGACCACCGCAACAGCTTCTGACTGCTAAACCAAGTCCACCCTCCTACTCTGATCCTTGCCACCTTACCACTGCAGGCAGACAGAGTCATCTTTCCAAGTCTTTTTATTCACCCCTATCCCACTTAAAAGCTTTCTATTTCTTCAGTACCCCCAGAGTCCACTGCAGACTCCCCAGCCTGGCTTCTGTGCTCTGCAGGCTTGGATTTCCACCAACCTCTCCAGCCTCAGCCCCGGTCATTCCGACACCATCCTACACACCAGCCACACAGACCTTCCAGCTCCCTCCAGCCCATCTCTCTCACCTGTACCTTGCTCAAGAGCTCCAGTCGTTTTTTCAAGACTCAAATTAGAGTAATGCAAATTCAGAACACTCACTGAACCAACCAAAAAGGAGAAAAAAAGGGAAATTCCAGTTCTAACAAGGATGTGGAGAAAAAGATGCATTCATATGTTGCCAAATGGTATAACGTTAAAAATTGTTAGTGTGTTTTTATTTCTCTTGGTTTTATTCTCCATGTTTTAGGGTGAGTTTTTCTCAAATCTACTTAAGGTATAATTGGCCTACAATAAAATGCACACATTTTAGGCTTATAGTTCAATTTGTTTTAAAAAATGTACGTTAGGTATGTAACCCCCACTACAATGAAAATTTAGAACATTGTCATCCACTGCAGTCAGATGGCCCTCCTTGCCCTTGACAATCACTGATCTGATTTCCACCATTATAGATCTATATAGATTTCTACATATATTTATTTATATACGTATTTCAATATAGATGGTTTCAGGGGTTCCAGAACTTCATATAAATGGGGTCACACAATACATACTTTATTGATCTGGTTTCATTTGCTCAGCATGTTTTTGAGATTCATTCATATTGTTACAAGCATCAGAGAGTCCATTATTTTTTATTGCTAAGTAATATTCCTTTGCATGAACATGTCACAATTTGTTCTTTCCATTTCCTGTTGACAGACATTTGAGTTGTTTCTAGTGTTTGGCTGTTTGGAATAGGGCTACCGTCCTCATACATGACATCCTTTTCTTTCTCTTGAATGGTATGGTAATTTTGGAAAGCAGTTTGGCCACTCTCTGACCCTCATCATCGGAGGAAAAATCACAATCTAAAATGCTGTAGACAATTATATCTCTGTAAAGCTGGACAAAAATAAAATGCTATAAAGAGAGGACCTGATAAAGGACGTTAGGATCTAGGACGTGATAGAAGGTTAGGTATCCATTAAAATGACAACCACTGACTACACTGAAACATGAAAAATTATTCAAAATACATGAAACAAATAAGAATACAAAATTTTAAGTATATTGTAATAGTACTTTTAGAAAGTATTTGTTCATATTTATTCAAAAACATATTCATGTTTAT